AGGAAGTTCAGGAAATGAAGAAGGAGGTTAAGGAAATGATTCAAACACTTTTAAACACATTTAAATAAGTAAAGGATGGCCCTGACAAATCCGCAGCCAGAGCCTCGTAGTGGCACCAATGTCTGGTTGTTTGTCGATTTCAAATAAAGAGCAATGGTCTGATTAGATGGTGTTTTGAATATTGGCTAACAATACGACAAAACATTTCAACAACTTGAGGTCTCTTCAACGTACCAATGTAATAAATGACTGAAGTAATTCTTAATCAAAATGTTTCTTACTCCATTACCGTCACGAGGGATATGGAAGTGACAAAGATACATCTTTGAGTCCTTAACTCTTCGCAATATTGTACAATGACAAGATCTCTAGAAACCATGATGTGAAAGAAATCATCTAAGACATCCAAACCTTTCACTTGCTACAGCAGTGCAATTTGAGACGATGAAGGTAAACCCTCAAGAAGAACAAATGGTGTCTCATCGTTCAACATCAAAAACATGTCCTCCGAATATCAAAGCAGTATTATGAGGTTTTCTTGAAATTAATATTATTTAATAGAATTTCTAACAAAGTAACAAGTTATTTAAAAGGTCATCCAATCACATCAATTATTATCCTTCGGAGTGAGAGAAACACCAGCCATGGCTGCTGAATTTTTCAATAAATCATGTAAAGTTGGTTCATATTTTCCGACCTTGTACATTTGTATCAAATCCGAATACTCTTTTAATGATGTAATATATTGTTCATAGAGTTGAGCCTTTCTATACATTTCCGTATTCGTTTTATTCTCTCTAAATTGTGTTTGAAAATATTTCAATGATTCCGTACTGCCTGTTAATTCTCTTGTCGTTCTCAAAATACGATAAATATTGCGATAAGTTTTCAAAACAGTGTCTCGGGATAGCGATGATGACATTTTTTTTGAAATTTTTGAAAAATAATTACTAGTTGGTTGTTATTAAGGTAATGTCAGAGAATTGAGTATTTGAAATTAACTCTGTCAATAATCGTTCAATTTCCTTATTCACTTCTCGAATGAAGAAGGCATTATCACTCCATGCAGAGGAGCATACTTTCCATCCTTTTGTGGCAATGGAACGATATTTATCAAAGCATGCAAGTCGAGTAATGACTTGTATGCTGTCAGAATGACCATGGTGGATATCAAAAAATGATTCTTCTTCTTCATCTTCAGAATTGGCACCTTCATCGTCATCACTCATGGAACTTGTCAAAGAAAAATCTCCCAGAACTCCATAATAATTGCTACCAGCACCGTAGATATCCCCACGATGAGTCACAAAATACGCAAAATCTGAGCCACACTCAATAGAAGTGACAAAAGTATTCAATGAATCAAAAAATGTAATTCTCGTTGGTGAGGTATAGGTAAATTCATCAGTATTCACCACGCTAGAGCTTGTGGAAAATCCAAAATATCCACAAATATATACATGTCCAGAAAGGGTTAAAAACATGGTGAAATTTTCACCACACTTGATAGAAACAATTTCACAATCTGTGAAGGTTGGAATTCGTGACAGCCCTGGAACCAGCTCTGTGCTACCAATACCACATTGCCCAAGTAAATTGTTTCCTGCAGCATACATGGTACCATCCTTCTTTTTGAAAATGGTATGAGAGCCACCGCAATGCACACTCTTGACTCCAGTGAGAGGTAATTGCCATGGAACATACACTTCATCCTTGTAGACTCCAAGCTTGCCCTGTAATGTGTGTGCACATATGACGCAAAGAATTACAACATAATGAAACATTATTGTTGATAGGGTGGTCATTCATCGAATTATTCATAATTCCACAACACTTACATAGTCATTGTCACCACAGCAAAAAATCTTTCCAAGATTGGTAATAAAGAATGAGCAATTCACTCCACACACGACATTCTCGACAATATCTCCATTGTTCACATTCACTCGAACTAATTGTTCTGTGAATTTCTTTTTTGGAAGCCCGAGTTGATATTTCATATTCGAACCCATGCCATAGAGCCTCTTTTTAGTCAGCACAAAGAAGTGTCGATTACCTAGAGCCACTTGTTGAATGCAATCATCTTCATCTTTCCATAGAAATGGAACTGCAGTTGGATTCAAGAGTGGCGGAAATAATTCTTCTTGTTGGTGTTGTTTCTTCTTGTCATTTGACTTTTTCTTTTGTTTCTTTTGCTTGGATTTCATTTCTCCTCCACAAACATAAAAATGTTTTCGGAAATTGGTCAAAAAGACCGTGTATCCTCGTTCATCGTTACTTAGTGTGTGAATGGATTCCACACGTTCATAACCTTCCTTGACACCACACGATCGTAAAATTGGATTTAAATATTTTGGATACGAAATGGCATGTGCATTTTGCGAAGTAAAGCCAAGATTATTGGTTTCATTTCTTCCCAATGCAAGAACAATGTTTTTTGTAAAGACTTTCCTTGTAACAGTTTGAGCTTCACCCAATAATGCCGAGTTATTGTAATAGGTTGTATAATAATCGGAGGTTGTTGCATCATCTTCATCTGTTACTAAACGAGAAGCCTTCAACACACCACATTTCAACTGAGAGTAGTTGGATCCCAATGATGATGATGATGGTGCTGAATATAATTGTGTTGTGTTTTCAGTAGTTGTTGAGAATGACTTGTCCATATTGTTATGATCATGATTCATGCTATTTATATTCGTGTTGTTTGAGATACCGATGACCGATCCTCCAGAGGCATCGACAGGATGCTTGGCGTGGTGTTGTTGCAGCATTATTTTTTTTCAGAATTTCAACATCAATTTCTGAATCGACGATTTTCTAGATTTCACTCGTGTCCAATTCGAAATTGATCAATCTTGGTCCCTTAATGCAAAAATAGAACTTTAGCAACACTTCTTGAGGGGCATGTTTGCTTCATGAATCATTCCTGGTTCCACATACATAACATTTCACATAGCATGGCTTTTTTGGTTTTGCAATTCCAATCACTGAATAATCTGGCTCTTCCAATGGTGTGGCCAATCGAAGAGGAGGGATGGATTGACGTACATGCTCACTTGACCCCTCATTCGACGAGAATCCTCTTCTTGAACCTCCAAATAAGCTCAACATACATCCCACAATACATTTACTCTGAATGGTTGCAATTTTAGCTCCAAGACACACATGTTTACCTGCAGAGAAGGCATGAAATCCCTGATTGAAAGAATGTAGTGTTGGTATACTCTCTTCTCTAAAAGTCTCTTGTTTTTCTCCACTTTTCATATCAGCAGCAGCAGAACTACTTGTCATGAATCGTTCTGGAATGAACTCGTATGGATTTGGAAATATCTTGCTGCAATGATGATAATGATAAGGTGAGAGAGCGAGAAAATGATTGGCTCCCATTGGAAGTTGATAGTAGCATTCTGTCAGATCAGAGTCGTCCTCATTCTTGGTTGTATGTGGTTGTGATTGCTTCTTGATCAAGTGTGATTGGAGAGTGAGAGGTTTCATGACCTTTCTCAATACGAGTGGACCTGTAAATCTTCGAAGTGTTTCTTTCACACAACTTTCAGCATATTCAGCCTGACGTGCATAATGCAATACAAATTCCTTATTGAAAAAACTTGATGGAAGATCGAATGCAACACAGTCAGTGCTTGTGCTCGATATTTTCGTGTAAATGTGGTGAATCTCGTTCATGTATTTCACATGACAGTGTTCATGGTTCAATACAGAGAGAAGAGTATAGGCCGATGATTTACAAACGGTGGATCCAGCATAAATCATCACGAAGAGCTTGGCACACATGGATTGAAAGCTCTCGGAATGCTTTTGGAAGATTTCATTCCAGGAGGGTGTTTGGCCATTCGTTGAGACTTGTGAGCACGCTCTTAATTCTGTTGAAAGAATTTTCAAAACGTCCAACCTCTCATTGGAATTCTCCTCTCCATCATCAATTTCCTCTGTGTGTTGCTCTCGTTGGTGATTCTTTTGTTGTTCTTCTTGATCATCTCGTGCAATTAAAATATCACGAATTAATGTTGTAAAGTCAAGAAATGCCTTTCGTCCTGCTCTCACGTTGGGAAATAGTACTTGAAATGCAGATGGAAGAGAGAGAGCAATTCCCTCGAGACCATCATTCATTTTGGGAAATAGTTGCAAGAGTCTTTCACGAAATTCTTCAATAGTTCCCAATTCTTTGGCTACAATGGATGACGCATTAATAAGCAGCACTAGCTCAGTAAATAATTGCATGGGATCGAATTGGAAAGATCGATGATGTGATTGCTCATGGACCCATTGAATGTCCTTCTTTTTTGATAAATTCTCTACATTGAAAAATCGTTGTAATTGAAAAGAAATAATTTCTACATAATCTTCCAACTTGGGAATAATTTTGTGTTGCATCATTTTCAATTTCTTCATGGATTTTCCAGAAAAAGTTTCCATTTCAATAACGTTAAATGGAAGAATGGTTTGAAAAAAGTCGTTAAAGACATTGTAAAAACTAATATCTTCTTCGGAGGTGTTGTAAAAGAATTGAGGAAAGTTTGGAATAGCCTCCATCGATGAAATCATGGTAATGTACTTGTTTGCAAGCTTGAGTGTGAAGAGACCTTCACGATGAACATGTGATTGCTCGTACTGTACACGATCCAGAAATGAAATGGGATCTTGGAGGTAATCCAGAGCACATCCAAGAAACGGAATTTTGGAGGAAATGATGGGTGGAGTTTTTAATAACATTATTTTGCCATGATGATTGGTTTTTGATGAAACCATAGAGGGATTTTTCCGTTTCGTTTTTAAAAAGAAGATGATGGTCATGACTATTAAACCAATGATAATCACAGTGAGTGCAGTTGAAACATCCACACCTAGTAACAAGTGGTCAATCATTTTTTTTTGGAATTCGGAATGAAATAATTCACACAGTATAATTTCAAATAAATAAGACTTGTCTTGCATGAATATTTATTGGTGCATGGTGATATTCACATGTGATTGTTGAAGATGAGTACATGAATTAGTGTTGATGGTGATGATGAATTGGACGGAGTTTTGGTTCTTCATCTTCGAGAGAAAGCTCCCAGTCGTGGTGAGGAATCAAAGCTGGACGAAGTGAAATAGTGACACAAGTAATGTTTTCCTTTTGACATTCAGAGTACAAGTGTGATTCAACATCGGTAGAGACGGCAGAAGTACACTCGTCCAAAATTGCATACGCAGGCTTATGATACAACAATCGAGCCACAGCCAATCTTTGTTGCTCTCCCAATGAAAGAATATCATCCCAGTTCTTTTCCTTGTCCCATCCTTCTCTGTCGGCAATATAGGCAATTCTAACTCTACGAAGGAAGTCTTTCAATTGATCATTTGTGAATTGTTTAGATTTTTCACTGTTTGGATCATCTGGATAGATAATTTGTTCTCTCAAAGTACCATAAATATTGTATGGTTTTTGAGGAATGTAATAAATATCTGAGGTTTTGGTACTCTCGGCACCACCTGGTTTTTGGATTTTACCCGAGTCGGCATACCACAATCCGGCCAAGACTCTGAAAATAGAGCTCTATTGGGTGTTACAGAATGTCATACAAGCGAAAAGGAGCATTCACCAATTACATCATTTCACCCACATGAATGTGCGAGTATCACCAGAAAACAATTAAAAAATATGAATCAAATTACAGTACGATTTACAAATCAATCTACTTACCTTACCAGTACCGTTTGGACCAGTAATGAGGACATTGTTTCGTTTCTCAGGTGTGGTCTTTAACACCTCAAATGAAAGATTCTTCACCAAGGTATGTCCATCTGGGGTCGATAAGTGAACCTTATCAAATTTGATAGTCTCGCCCGCAACCATAGTGTTAATCTTCTTTTCCTTATCGACTTTTTCAATGCTGTCAATTGTTTCTAACAAGTGACAAATGTTGGCGGCGTAACCTGATGTTTCTGACAAACGTGTGTGCAAGTGAATAATTTCACCAACAGCTGTGAATTCGTGTGACACGACTGCGGCCAAATATCTCAATACTCTGGCCAATTCAGTTTGATCAGCACTCTTTAACATTCCAAAGAATACAGGATACATGGCAATGAGCCAACTCACTGCTTGTGGGAAGTTGAAAACAAAGAAGTCATTAAAGAATCCGAACAACCATTTGGCTCTAATGAGCAAACGCTTGTGGTTGAACAAATTCCAGAACGCCTCATCTGAAACATTTCTTTCCAATTGGTCACCAGCATAGAATGCAATGGACTCACCATTAGTGGCTGTTCTGTAGTGAGTATGTCTGAATTTACTTTCCAAGTCTTGCAATTTTGAGGTAAGTGTACCAAATGGTGGTCTCAAAATAGCCATTGCAATAAATGAGAAGGTCATGTATCCCAAAACTACCAAAGGTCCACCAACACCAACAATATTCACAAATTGATAAGTGTACACAATGACGTCAGCAATTGGTTTTACCAAGTTGGCATACAAGCCACAAATACCTTCACAGAATTTGTCAACATCTTGTGTGATGGTTTGGTCACTATGAGTAAAAGAGATGACGAGATAATTTTGAAACTCGAAGTCAATATTTCAAAATACTTACGGATCATTGAGTCCAGTATTCAAGTTTGCAGTCTTGTAATACATCATATTTCTCAAATATTTGCTGTGAATATATTTGGTGAGAGAAATTCTCCATTCCAACTGAAGTTTGTTAATGAGGAACTTTAAACTTGGAGCCAACAATGCAGAGGTAAAAGACAACAATGAAGTGTAACCCAGAATGGCCATGAAACTTCTGAAATCAAAATTCATGAGAGCACCCGACAATTCACCTGATAAGCTACTCAACCAGTTACTCACAAATGTTCTCATAATGACTACAACGGTCACTGCAATTAATTGTAAGAATTCCTTTGACCTGTCAGTGTTGTTAACGATGAGTAATGAATCATTGGCGATCAGCAGTAGTCATGCATTTTAAAATTGGTTGCGCGACAATGATGCAAAATGTATGGCAGTTTACAATTCATTTCATTGGTTGATCCAATTAGTGGAAATATTGTTATATGAATATCACTCCATGTTTGTATGATTAACGTTGACACTTACTTGATTGAAGGAACGACAATGGAAATGAGCAATTTCAATCTATTCAAGAATTGCATGTCAATATTGGCCTTGATTGATTTTCTTCCTTTCGAGTCCTTATCTATTTGCTTGTTGAGATTTCTCTTAAACTTCCAATATTTTGCCAAACCAATAAGACCAGCAATACCCAAAATGCTGCTAATTGATGCATACTTGATGTTCCTAGCATTCAAATGCTTGCCGCTGATGGCTTGGAATAATTCAGTGATACCGAACATGGTATCCTTGAGAGCTTCCGTTAGAGTTGGTTTGCTGTGCAAAGTTACCATTTTCTCTATGAAGGATATTGTCAATATAAATTAATGATTTGTATTTGATGAAAACCGATGATGTATTTGTACAAAATAATATGACCGGTCCGTCCGCAACAACAAAATCTAGAATAATAATTTGTACAACAAGAACTCTAGAGTCCGTTGATTCTAATGAAGAGATGAAAAATGAAGCCCGACAAAGACGAAAAAAACCACGTGGTATTGATGTTTGTTGTTGTGGATCAAATTTTTTAAAATGTCCCAACAAGTCGACTTTGGGCAGCGGCTTTTTTTTTTGATGAATTTATTTTCCAATTCTCCCTTTAAGTCCTGCTGAATTCAACAACAAGATATTCAAACCCAGCGAGAATTAGGATGACCATTCAGTTTCTGTATGTATTGAATATGAGATGTCATTCAAAGTTCACCACCAGATGGTCAGTATTGCTTTTTCAAAGAGCAAGACCTCGCAGGTTCTAATAATTTCTGAAGAAAAATGAAAACGAACAACAAAGTCAAGTTGTTAGGACTTGGTTTGTTGATGACATCTCTTGCAGTGTCATTCTTTTTATTTCATCAAAAGAGATTATTTTCATCTTTGAATCATTCTTTTCCAACATTGAAGAGAGAATTTCAGAATTTCGGAACAACCAATTGCATGATGCCATTGAATGTTACTGAAAATGATTTTCAAATGTCAGCGTTGCCTTCCGATGACGAATTGACAGAGCTCTCCAATGGCCTCCCTGTTCTATTTCAATCATTTGTAAATGTGGACGAGAGTGTGAAACAATTTATGAACAACAAGCAGCATGAGGACATTACACGAGATGAAATGTTAAATTATTTCGAAATTGGAAGAATTTGGAAAAGTAATGAACACTCAACAATCAATGACCAAGAAATTGGAGAACAAAGAATATCAAGTTGTGTCAAAAAAGTAGCAGACACTCCATTCCGTTCATTAGTCATTCCTACGAATTATCTTGTGAAAAATTATGAGCAAGTGAAAACAATTCTTTCGACAACAACGATGAATCATCATGCCAACGACAACCACCCTCATCATTCATACATTTTACGACACAAAGATATAAATTCCTTCTGGGACAATGATTATTCAACAATTTTGGAAAACAAAGCCAGGAAAATGGTTGGAGACTCGTGTTGGAATTCGAAATTGGTGTTCTTTTCACCAATGTGGCAAATATTTCATTCGGGAGGTCCTCAAAAAGTTGGTGTGACACTCATGTCAGCTCTCAAATTCATTCGAAAGCCTTTCAAATTTATTTACAACATATCAGATCCAGAATTGTTGCAAGCAGATGTCATTTATTCGTACAATCCATACAAGAATGCTGAAATTGTTCCCAAAATTCTGCAAGCTCTTGAGAAAAAAAAAGCTAATCCAAATCTTCACATGATCGTTGGACCTGTGGTGGCTTTGGATATTGTTCAAAATCAATATAGCAAATTGGGTAATCGTTTGACTTTTATTACCGCCTCTCATTGGGTCAAAAGTGAATGGTATGGACCTCAATTACCCAACTCGACTCGAATTGAGGTTCTCCCGACAGCAATCAATACGAAATTATGGTCACCTAACTTTGCTCCACCTCGAGACACACGTTTGAAAAATGCTGCCACAACTCCTCAACTTGGTGCATTGTTTCCATTGAAAAAAGATGTCCTCTTGTACTTGAAAAATTGTCCATTCGATACGAATCATGTAAGATCCCTCCTGAAACAATCCTTAAGAAATTCTTCTTCCCTATTGAAAACAGAATTTTCCTTAATGAATGACAAGCATGACCTTTTCACAGCACCAGACATTTATGAAATTTCCTATGAACACAAATATTCTGAGGAATACTTTTGGAATTTGCTTCGAAACAAAATTCGATTTGCTGTGGTGTGTACTGCCTCAGAAACTCAAGGTATTGCCTTACAAGAAATCATGTCCATGAATATTCCTTTATTGGTGTTATGGAAACCAAACAAATTGGTATTCGATTCCAATTCTCCTTCGAATTCTCAACACGATCAAGACACTAATAAGAAGAATGAAGAAGAACCCAAACCAGCACCCATTTCAGTGCCTTATTTTGTCGAAGGTGTCACTGGAATGATTTGTACAGACTTGTCAAAATTTTCACACATGCTCCAACACTTATTTATTCCAAAATTGGTGAGACACATGTTTCAACCTCGAAAAGTCATGGTCGATTGGTTCAATTATTTTGATCTTGCTGTTGAATTTTTAAAAATCACATGTAGTAGAAATTCCCAACCTGATGCAGCATCCATGAACTCACAGACCACACGATTTGAAACCTTTTCAAATTATTTAAATATGGTAAGAAATATTCAACACGATTTTAACAACATGGAAATGCAGAGGGTGGGAGAAACATGAGGTAGTAATTGTTGTTTCCGACCAAGGAAATGCATATATTTCATTCGAAATGTTTCAAAGAAATTGATGAAGATGACATTCGCCCTTCCCAAATGCAAAATTTGACACCCATTAATTTATATTTTAATGCCAACCAGAAGGACTGCGGTGCTGCCAATTCTGTCAACGACGGAAGATGAAACCATCAGCCAAATGTCAAGCAGTGTGTGTTGTCTCAAAAAAATCCGCAACTTGTGAAACCACATCACCGTTCACTCAAGTTCATTATTGGTTGTTGAGAACCACAACATCAAGTGTTTGAACAGGGCTATATTTTCCATATTGTTGCCGATTACTAAAGACAAATTCATTGAAACACAGTCATCATCATCATCATCATCAATAACAACACAATTACTCGATCCGCCATATACGGATTCTCTTATTTTGTCATCTTCTTTTGAACACACATAAATTTCACTCGACGACGTGTGTACATTCACTCCATCACGACGAAATCTTTTTCTCAAACTTGTTCTCTGTGCCGACACGTAAAATTTCATGTCGAACAGCACCATGATGAATCATCGTCATTCTACTTCCACTTCGTCCTCCTCTCCTAACTATTCCAATCATCATCATCATCACGAGGACAGCACCGATGATGACTGCTCTCCAATCACGACCCATTCGAACACAACCACGTTTCGAAATTTCCAAAAACAGCCACACTCGACCTCTTCACCCACCATGAATTCTTCTTCCGTTTTACAATCAAGTCATTGGAAACGTGTGAAATTTACTACCATTACTCTCGTGATCATGACGATTGTTTCCAGTTTTATCTATTTTGTGAAATTCTTACCAAAGAGAGGAGATTTTTATTTACCACTCGACGAACAAGTTGATACATTGACAAAGGATCTCGATGTCTTGTATCGTCCCATGATTAATATTGATGAAAATGGTGTGAACAAGTATGTGAAACCCTATGATGAGCAATTGAGTATTTTCTCAACAAGTGCCATTCAGTTGGTGAGAAAGAGAAGGAGTTTGTTGAAAACAATTAATGGACAAGATCGAGTACACTTTTCACGCCACTTGTCAGAGCTTGAAAAAATTCATAATATTTTACAAAAACAAATTGTGGAATATTTTGATTATGAAAGAGTTTGGGCAGGTCCTTCGAAATCAAGTACTCAATTTACAGAAAATCCATTTGATTCTCCTGTCATTCCAGCTGACAAGTTTGTTGAAAATTATCAATTTTACAAGAATGAAATCATTCCAAAACATGAAGCTTACTTTTTATTGAAAAAAGTACATCCAGTGAAAAGAGAATTAGATATTGTATCCATTTGGGACAATGACTATTCAGAAACCTTGTCAAAAGTCGCTCGCCAAATTGTTGGTGAAACTTGTTGGAACAAGAAGCTAGTTTTATTTGGTGAACATTGGCATACGTTTCACCAAGGAGGTCCAAGAAAAGTTGGAGCTTATCAAATTGGTGCTTTAAAATTGTTGAAAAAAGATTTCATCTTCACCGATGACATCAATGATCCAAATTTATTGGACGCTGACATTGTCTATTCTTATAATCCTCACCGCTACAGAGAGTTTATTAAAAAGTTGGTCCTCGGAATTCGAAATGGAAAGGTTGCACCTCAAACGAAAGTATTTATTGGACCAGTCATTGCTCATGATTTAGTGCGAGATCATTACTCACTGCTCGGAGATCGAGTGACACATTTAGCTGCTTCTCAATGGGTCAAAGATGTCGATTATGGTCCTAAAATTGGCGGAAAGGTCAAAATTCTCGTTCATCCCACTCCAATTAACACCAAAATTTGGTCACCCAGTGAAAAGGTCAACGTTTTTGACAAGAGAGACATTCTCTTCTATGATAAGAATTGCTACTACAAGCAAGAAGAACTTTTAACCACATTCAAAACATTGTTGAATGGTTATCCCGATTTTAAGGATGCCACTTTTCACATTGTGGATTACAACAAACGTTACAGTGAAAATTATTTCCTTTCATTGTTGAAAGAAAAGATTCGATTTGCCATTGTGTGCGCTCGAACAGAGACACAAGGTGTGGCCTTGGAAGAAGTCATGTCCATGAATATACCACTCTTTGTCATTTGGACACCTATGGATTTCGAAGTGGCTCATGATCCAGTTGTGGTTCCATACTTTGTTCCTGGAATGTCTGGTCTCATTAGTGGACATCAAAACATTACAACTGTATTTCCAACATTTATGCAAAAAGTGATGGATAATTCATTCAATCCACGTCGATTTGTTGTGGAACTTTTTAATTATTTCAGTAACGTTGTGGATTTTTTGAATATTTTGTGTTATGGAGAGAGTCGATTTGAACCAAAGGAAAATTATTTGAGTGAAGTGAAACGATTGACCAAGACCTATGTTCCAGATGATGACGATGAATTGTTGAAGAATTAATTCTCATGGACGAGTGAGTGAATAATATATATATACAAGGAGAGTGGAGCCTTTCATCGTTAGCGTTTCACACACGAGACAATTTTCATCATGGTTTGGACAAGTACTTGTTTTGTTCATTGTTTTCCAAGAACTTTCTGAAACAGTGTTGTCAATAAAATTAGTGAGATTTGATCATGTGATCATGACATCATAATTTTCACAATACATTTCGAATTTGCATTCGGATTAGAAGAAAATTCACAAAAAAAATGTCGAATCAGAATGAGGAAGAAGTTTTGGTTTATATTCGTGTGGAAGAATTGATAGAATTATTAAAATCGATACATGCAGGTTTTTCGAAAGGATTAAATAATGATCCATTTCGGAAGGATGATCGGATTCGAGGATTGTATTTTTATGGATCGAGTGTTTATGAAAATCGAATTACTTTATTAAACGATCAAGACCAATTAAATCAATACACGAATGAAAATAATAGCAATACTTGTCCACACGAAAATCAATTGATTCAATTTCGAATGAATCCTCAAAAACATAACGACATTGATCTATTATGTGTTCGAGATGAATTTTACCATACTGGATTGGAAGATTTATGTCATCCGAATTATCAAATGATGCAAGACTCGGTCAATCGTGATGTTTATATGGAACAAGATGTGACTTTACATTTTTCACTTTTTGGATTTTACAATGACCACGAGATGGATCGTGAGAATTCTTCCAAACCATTATTGAAAAAGATTCCACAAAAAGTTCAAATAGAAGCTCATGTCATGTCCACTAATTTATTTATGCACTGTTTGAGACAACACAAGGGAATTTGTTGTCAATACTTGTTTCTCGATCATGACACTTATATTTTGCGAGAAGAAAACACAATGAAATGGTTTCGAACGTTTTGGTTTCGAAATTTTCACTTTCATCGAAGACTTTTGAGAAGAATGATGACTCGAGAAGCTGATGTTTGGTGTTATTCAAAAGCAAGAAGACATTTCATGATGCCAGGTGTCACTGCAGGCAATAGTCGCAACAATGATGATTTTGATATTGAAAAAGGAAAAAAGAATTTGATTCATGGAATTCGATACTATGTATTGGCACAGCAAATGATTTCTTCATTGACTCTCAATGACTGGAGTGTGTGTAATGATTTGAAACAAAGAGTCTTTTCTCAACAACATGAGAGTGTCAATAATAATTCAAACCATTCATCATCTTGGACGTACTGGACTCGTCTTTTCGATCCTCTCTATAAAGAGAATAGAAATGCATTAGCTCAACAAGTTCAAGCTTTCATTGATGAAGGATTGCAATTGGCATTGCAAGTGGAACGTCAGGAGAATTCCCAAACGACATTTTTGACGAACCAATCAGTAGAAACACCTTCCTCAACCACAAATAGATCCTTACTTTTACAAATCATGGAACAATATGGACTGCAATACTTGTCTCTAAATCTTGGAATGGATGTCATTCCCATTTTGTTCGTACACAACGGCAAGGAATTAAGCGTAGAAGAGGGTTTGACATGTCAGCCTCTCATCCAACAATTACTTGAAGGTTTAACCAAGACAGAAATGACACGTTATTCGACGACTTGTTTGGAAAATTATCTCAATAGAATCCATCACTTGTTACAACCTAAGGAAGAAGGGACAAAGAATAATTTTAGTGTCCTATTCAAAATTACTCAAAATAAGGAACTAGAACGAATGGAAGAGAGTATGAATTGTAAAGCATTGAGAGAATCAAATGGAATGATTGTCGAGTGGAATACTGTGATGCAAAGATTTTCAATCGTTGCATTTCCTTTTTTGAGATTTTTCGATGAATTTCGAGTGTTGAATGCCACAACCAAAAACAAGACAATGACAGGCTCTTCCACTTCAACGGCTCGTAAGAAAGCAACAAGGAATAAGGACACTAGCACGTCTAGCACGTCGAGTGGTATATTTTCCAACATTTCACACATTCGAAAGGTTTACAAAAAACTCACAGGCAAACTAGTAGTCTTGTATTTTTACAACAACAAGTGGAGAATATCTTACAAGGAAGAGGAAGAAGAACGGTACTATAATGTGGTATCTTGTCATCATGACCGTGCTGTGAATGAACATACAAGTTGGGAACACAAAATTTGGAAAATTTTACTCGCAAGCAACAAAACCAAGTCCATGCTGGAGACAGATATTAACACACAACATTTCAGTTACACCAAAAAGAATTTCATGTTGCAATTATTACCCGATGAGGAATCAGTAATTCTCATTGGAGTTCGAAATGTGGAAACTCTCGAAGAAGAAGAAGACCTTTTCGCGTATGAGCATGTTTTTGACCACATTCATCAAGAGGAGGATCTTACGGAGCTACAACATCAAGCGCATCAACTTGAACAAGATCTTTTGTATAAGAATCCTATTCATGTGAAAATGTCAGAAAAAGATAAGAATTTACTCCTTCTGCTGAAATTACTCTATTACAAGTCGAATCAGTTGGATCCTCTTCGTTTCAGTGGTTATGTTTGTTTGGTGGACAGGGCAACGATTCCATTCAATGAGAATACTCCAAATCAAACGCGTTATGAAAAGCATCGATTTAAGATTGAGTCGACATTTTACTACAATCTCAATCAACTGAGCATTTGGAACATTTCTGTGAACATTCAAGAGAATACTGATGCATTTCAAATAGATCCTAATCAACAAATGAGTCACGAAGGAGAATTTCAATCCGTATTGCCCAACGCATCCACAAAATCGTTTAATCGATGGAATGGTAATTTATCAAGTCAGAATAATGAACTATTACTCATCGAAATGGCAATTTCAATGCTTGGAAAAAGTGTACCGTCATCCTTTATTCCACCTGAACCAATAGATGACCTCGATCATGAATTGAAAATTTCTCATTCTTCGAGGACGAGACCTCTCACCATTGAAGAGCTAATTTTCAAGAGAGAAACCTTCAATGAAAAGATTAAGGCCTTCTCCTCTCTCTATTTTCAAGTGAAACAAGATTGGGAAGGCATCACTCTTCTTTACGATCAATTTTATCAAGAACTTGGTCATGAAATGGAACAAAGAGCATCTTCATCATCAATCAACCATGACTTGTTGAATACTTCACAACACCATACATTTGATTCATCCTCATTTCAGAACAAATTTGTGGCTCAACAATGTGAAAAATTCCCTCTCGAAAACAAGACACCCATTTTCAAAATGGTAGAAGAGCAATGCAGTCATTCACGAGAGATTTTCCAATCACCTCGTCGCATCATTGATTCCAATAGTTTGGTCAAAATTTGGAAGAATTATTTACAAACACGAGAAAGATTCAAACTGGAAGAACCACTCAAGAAGATGCAATGATGACATCGTTGAGACACAACACAGACCATGTGCCACAATCGACCTGCAATTTTCAAAATATGGCAGGTGTTGAATCATGAAATGTTGAAACAATCACATTTAAATGCCACTTTCAAAAATTAATAACCAAGTTTTTCAAATTTGCACACAGCGTATTAATAACACTCCTTCGCCATTCAGTTCATCCACAAAAAAAATGAGTCAACACGCACAACCTTCCCATAATGATCATCACGACGAGAGAGAATACCACATTGTTTCATCACCTCTCTTGCCCATCGAAAAGGTCAATGAATGTAAACAATATTGGAAAAAAGTGATGCAATCTACTTCGTCTTGTTACTTGCTTCAAAGTGCTGAGTACATTAAACAACACCCTCAGGATTATATGCATGCATATATGAACTACCCATCGTATTACCATGCAGAGGCCCTTTTCAATTATGCACCCGATCAATTGGGTGCTGACAATGTTTGGACATTTGTGTCCAAGGCCGACCAATTCACTGACGAGATCAAGGAATTACAAAACAAGATCAATAAGATGGATTTTATTCAATTAATTGATTATGTTGAACAAGAGAATGCCAAAAACCTTTCCAAACTCGCGTCTGATGTTCCGGAGGCCAATTACAAGTACATTCCAGCAATGATTGTTCAAGGACGTTACACTCCTCAAAATGCCGCATACTTTTTATATCAATGGTTAGGCTATGTCGAACAAAAGATGCAAGAATTGAAAAACGATGATTATGAATCCTTGGTTTTTGCCAAGAGCATGCTCATTCAGAAATTGAAACGTGCACTTGTATGGAGAACGTATTGCAATGGAAAACTTGAAGATTTCTTACAGAGTGATGAACAAAAGGAACCTCAAATGGTTGCTTCCTGGATGTCAGACTCGTTTAAACCTTTGATTGGCTTCCCAAAGGTGAAACTTGAAGTTGTGAACAAGATTTTGACAGAGGCTGGAACACCTGCATTGGATGAAAAGGTCGATCTCAAATCACTCTCCGATTATTACATCTTGTTAAATCGATTGGAGTCGCTGTGTGGTGTGAATGAACACTCTGTGGTCTCGTACCGTGAACGTAAGCGATCTGGCAAGAAGAGCGGTAATACTGACAATTATTGTTATGGACCAAAAAAACAAAACACTCTCACCGCTGTCTATAAGGGACTCAATCATACGGAAAGAAAAGAAAAACTCCACAAATCCTTACACCATTTTAGAAAGTATAATAGAGCCTTGTTGGTTGCAGGAAAATTGAGAGGACGACTCAACAGATTCTTTGATCCCTACGTCACTGGATTGTGTGCTCGAATTGATAAGAGTGGACTGATCACACAAACCTTCACACCAGAATTTTACCTCTTTGAGGATGACATTAAGGCTTTGGTGTCTGATGACTCTAAATTTGACATTTTAACTGTCTTGTTTGGTTGTATGGCTATCAGCGAATTCAGTGTGAGAAAGGCATTCACCATTGAGTCACAAATGCAAGGTGGTTTAGATGAATTATTGTCCTACTTGTTGACACTCATGCGTGGAAGAGAAGAACAAACCAAGTGGGAAATTGTTGGTTCTGTCTATCCCGTAGAGGACGTTATGAATCGTATGAATGCTGACACCAAGTCTGAGCTTTTAGCTCAATTCCTCTCCATTCAAATTCCAATTGCCAAATTCTTGGAATCTCAGTGGTTAAAGGGAGTCGATAAGTGCACCAAGAAAGACATGATGGTTCCACGTAGAGGAACAACCAAGATTAATACTTCAGGATGGAACCAAGCCAGTGGAGCATGGAACAATGCCATTCGTTTTATTAGAGCCATCTCCAAGTCTCTGGGTCAAGAAGCTCCTCTCATTATGAAATGTATGAAGTTGACAGCTGCTGATCAAATGCGTTGGGCTCAAATGGCTGGAAAAGAGGAACCTGATGATGTTCCAGTGTTTAAGAAGCTCACTTTGGAGAAGAACATCACTCCGTGGGGAATTGTTTTGGAGACAGTGAAGGCCACTCGTGAAGACATTATTTTAGCATGTCAAGAGTGTAAGGTCGATCCAAAGAAGTGGCTTGGATACGCACAAGAAAGAACCGCTGAATCTAAAATTCACCAAGACATGATTTGTGGTTGTGTGGTGCCCAATGTTGCGAGTGTGCAAATGTTGTTAAAGTCGTTGGGTGCATTTGGTTACAAGCCACAACAACAATAATGAATCTTCATATTGAACTCTCTGAGAATCAAGTTCAATAAACAACACTATTTATTGAGTATCAAGTTGTATTTAAAATCTGTCTGACATCTTGCAACTTGGCATGCTCCACAAGTTATTCACTACCTCTGATTGAAATATTGGGCAATATCTGACACAAGTTTTGTATGGGCTTCTTTCACAGAACTTTCCACAAATGATTTAAAGATCCACCACGTTGCACCATCCACAACCTCCATACAAGCAATGGTTTTTTTCATTGAAGTATCAACAGACGCATCATTAGTCTCTACAAATGTCAAGTTTGCAATTATTTGACCCAATCTCAATGGAAATGGTACTTGTGAAATAATCTCATTTCGAGACGAGTCAAATTGCTGCTCAGCTCGCATTGTCACTGTACGTATGTAGGTCGAATTTCCGAGGATGGGAATTTTCTCTGAAAAGTCAATGGTTCTATGAGTGTCATTCACAAATACAATATTAATCTTATCACTGTGAAATTCATAAGAATCACAAAATATACGGTTAAGGTATTTTGAACCATTTAAATGAATCACAAAATAACGAGTTAAATTCAAGGTAATTGATCCATATGGAATCAAGTGTTAAAATATTAATGATTATTGGTCAATAATGAATAATATTTTAAATTCATATAATTTTCATGATTATTAAACAAAATATTAATTTTCACACACACACTCCGTCAATGCTCTCCACACACTCTTCAATGACACTCACACAAAAGGTTGCAATTTAAACATGACCGTCGTTTTCTTCAATACTTCAAAAGCATCCCGAGCACTTGAATATTCAAATCGAGCTGAAAACGTTTGCGAAGAAAGTGGTACTTTGGACGTGAACAAGGCCACCACGACTCCAATTAATGCTAACAACACTGCCACGAACGTCCATTTAAACATTTTTTTTATAATAGGGATTAGGAATTTCGGTATTTTTAAAAAATACCCAGAAAATACCAGAATATCCAGGTATATCTTGGCATTTTAATTGTATTTTGAGGTATTTTCAAAAATAAAAAAATTCGAAAACTATCTAAAATATTCGAAATTTAATGAACAGTTCTTCAAAGAATCTGCTGCTCTTACTAAGTACTAGAAGGAGAGTTGGACTACTTCTTTTTGAATAAGCTCAAAGGCAAAGGAAATTTCGAAAATTTTCAAAGCTAGACGAACAATTTATGACAGCAATAAAAAACGAAAAGTTTCAACAAAATTTGAATTTATTCGAAAAACTGTATTTTTTCAGGGATATACCGGTATATCCTTGGTATTTTCTGGTATATTCTGGGTATTATCTCGGTATATTCTGAGCCAATTTAACAGGGTATATTCCGAGATTATACCGAAAATCCTAATCCCTAATCATGAATAATTGTTCTTTTCTTCGAAATTGTCAACAAATTACAAATGACTCTCCAAAGAATTGAACCCTTGACAAAATCAAAATCATTGCGACGGATGAAAAAAAAAGCCTTAAAAAAAATGTCCACCTTTCTTTCATCAGCGAGAGGCTCTCCAACCAAACCACCACAACCTCCTTCATCGACAAACACCACTCAATCAAATCCATCTGCACTGAATTTTGCTGCAGCTGCAACCTCGAGTTTTTCAATGGGATTTAAATCATCGGGATTTCAAGGCTTGTCGTTGCCGTTGCATACGGTGGCTCAGCAACCCTTGTTGGGAGGATCATCATCAACGACTACTAGCACGATCATGGATCATCATGATCATGGTGGTTCACACGTATATCATCAAAATTCATCACGATCATCAACATCCTCGACCACTTCTTCCTCTCCGCCCTCTCACGGATCTTCCTTCACCCAGCCCAGTATGAATTTCGGGTTTATTGAATCCACTTCAAAATCATCGACAACAAATAACAACACTCAACAACAAGCAATATTATTGAAATCCAACAATAGCAACAATAACCAAAGACCACCATCTAATTTATTTTTCAGCCAAGCATCACCAAATTCATCTTCAAACTCACCAACAAATTCCTCTACTGCTAACAAGACATCGTATCCAGAAAATGATTTGGAATTTCTGAGACAACAAATAGAAGAAACAAAGGAAAAGTATGAAACATTCCGAAAAGGTTTTCTCATTGAACGCAATCAACGACTCAAAACAGTTCATGATCTGTATAAATTCACAAAAAAGATGGAAGTGCTTCAAAAACAATTATTCGAGAAGGACTCTGCTCTACTTGTTCTCACCACTGAGAATGTCAAGCTGAAAGAAGAAATTTATGAGATACAAAAATTTGGTGGGAGCAACGGTGCTAGTACCTCGAATTCTGTCACACCGTCTTCACAGGCCAACAATCAATCAAACTCCAACACTTCCTCTAACAACAATAACACCAATGGGGAGAGCAAAAAACGTCAAGGTTTCCTGTTTACAAAGAGAAGGAATCTTTCGTCGGATGCTGCTGATACGACCAATAATGCGTCCTCCAATTCGGAAAACAAAAATGAGTTTGGCGTCACAGATTCTCCCTCCAAGATCAACAATGAAAGTAAACTCGATGCAATTCAAGAAATGAAACACTGGAGAGAACTCTACAGAAAAACACAAAATGATTTAAAAAAGAGAGAGAAACAAATTAGTGATTTACAATCACAAGAACATGTTCAAAAGCAAATGCTTCAAGAAATTCAAAGCAAGTATCGAAGTGTTGAGGTGACACTTTCAAAACATCAAGAAACGATCAATACCTTAAAATCAGAATTATTTGAAAAAGAACAATTGAGCATGAAAGCACTAAACGATAATGATTTTTTACAGCAGCAATTAACCATGGAGAGGACAGAACACCAACGGTGGAAGGACGAATTTTTAGAAAATTACAAAAATTTGGAAGAAACAGCCACATCTCTCAAGAATGAAATTGAAAGAAAGGATTTGGATTTACGACGCCTAACAGAAAAGTGCATGGAATTGAAAGAACAGTTGAATTCTGTACGATTACAAATTCGAAAATTCAAATGTAAACGTATTTCACATGGAGGATTGGCAAGCAAATTTGGACTTGGTTCTTCCACCAAACACGATGCAGCAATCATTTTACACAAGAATCCAAAGAACGGTTTACTGTGGGTAGACATTAAATTGAGATCAGGAAAAGACGATAATCTCGACTTGAATAATGCAATTCATTCAAATATGGTCCAATCACATCCTCTCACATCCATCACAGATATTGTACCTGATGTTCATGATTCCAAACGGTTTTCCATCTATTTCTTTTCGAATGCAACAGCTAGTCCCTCAAAGAATACACCAAATGCAGTGGTAGAAACATTTGAATGCTCGAGCGAAAGTGAACGAACTGAAATCATGCAAGGAATTCAGGAATTCATCAGTATTGCAGCTCAATCCAATTAAAACGAGAGTTTTTTTGTCACATAGCCAAATTGTGTCGACACTCTTCTCAAAAAACATTCTATGCAAATGGAAGGATCAATCACATAAATCCCATATTCGAGAACAATGAATTTGACATGAAACCTGTTTTTTCACGCCTTTTTCTTTTTGGAAGTAATGGAATTGTCTCCTTCTGCTGTGCGAATGCTGGTTGCGTCTTGTCCTTCTTTTTCAATTCCTTCCGTGCTGTCGATTGTTTCAACATGGGTTCAAAAACAACTTGATCAAAAGCAAAGGGATGATACATTTCAGTGGAAGGGTCCAACCATGGCAAGCCCATAGGATTGTCTTGAAATAATTTTCGATCGGCACGATTATTGAACACACTCGCTACTTGTTTCGAAAACTCATATTGTCTCTGAATTTGATACGCCAAATGTTTGTTGGCATCTGCATTGGGAATGACTTGATGTAATGATTTTCTTGCATGTGTCAATCGATTATCTGGTAATGATGGAATATCTAGGCCTTCATTCAATGAATGTCCCTGAAGTAATTGGATTGAAGTATTTTGGGCATTTCTTCGTTTGAGACCCTGCTGATACAGCATGTCCATTACAGTATCCACATATTGCTCGAGTGTCATTGTGTTTTGAAGAGACGTGTATCGTTCAAAAATCTTTTCAACAAAATAATCATCTTCTTGTAACATTAAACTCAATTCTTGTCGTATCAACTCTTCTCTCTGAATCGATTGATGAGACAATAAATTTTTGAGAGTATTAAACAATTCCACATCACCATTATTAAAGTCCACAGGGTTTAAATTTCGAGGCATGTACATGGACCTAAAATTGTGTGTTTGAGAAAGTGTCAATGCTGCGGCATGATGTTTCATTGTGTCTGAAGAAGAGCCTCTATTTCTTCTTCCACGAGAAGAGGAACGAGTAGAGAGTCCATACTTTTTCAAAATGTCTCGATTCTCCACAAGAGGCTCATCAACGTGTTCTGAATGCATCATGTCGGAGGAGCCACCTTCTTGATTGGTGAATAGAGATGGACGATCCTTGTTTAAACTTTGTTTCTTGTCTATATGTAATTCAAATTTCTCATCGGGAATCGCCCATGTGTTTGGAGAGTATTCTTGTTTGGCAATTCTATCTTGATGATTCATGATTTTCTCTCTCCGATCCAAAACCTTGTTCCATAAATAATCATAGAATAAATATCCTTTCTTTTTCCAATGATTTAAATATCCAATATCATTCTTCTCTGGTATTTGAGAGGTTGAATGTGAACCAGAATTTTGAATACTTCTCTTATTGTGCAATAATTCCTTCTTGATGATGTTAAAATCCTCTTCAAACTCGTCGAATGTACGTGAAGAAGAATTTTTCATCATCACCATTGCATTCCGAACATTTGTATTTAATGCATGAACAATTTCCTCCTCATTCATGGTGCAACATTTTTTTTACAAAAATCTCTCGAGTTCTCATTACAATGAAGCTGTCTTTTGTGCCTTTTCGCAGATCCCTAATGCATTTGAGGTAAGGAAGAACATTTTGTCAGTACATGATCTCTTGATCGAATTTGTTCGTCAAGCTTGAGTTGGATTAATCCGACTAACCCCTACATGAGCGCCAGGTTTACCATAAATTTTATAGTGGTTCCCTCGTTTATTATTCAATAAAATGCAACAAGTGGAAAGTTTGAAAGTGAACAACAGCAATTGAAAATGTTGGATTGATTCGAGTCCTTAGGGAGGATTCTATTGATATTAAAGATCGTAACAACTGAAAGTTATTATTTGTCCAAAGTAGTTCTTTCAAGTTCAGGGGAGACGAGTGCTGGTTTTGTGGTTGTGGTCAACAAGTTCTTTAAATATGTCTCCCATTCTTTGTCGAAGAGTAAGTCATAGTTGCTCATGTCAATAAAGGAGCACAAATAGTTTTTCTGGTACTTCTCTACAACCTCTGTTGAGAATGTTTCAGTTATATCAAGTCCAACACACACATGCATCATAGTTGACGATTTAAATACTTGTAAAACAGCATTTCTTATGTCATTATACCATTTTGCCTTTGAACGAACTTTCATGCCTTGTCCATTCGCATCATCTATTATCTTATTTGAATTGTCCTGTACAACGAAACAATTTTCATCATTAATCTTGGTTTCTTCAATATGATTACTGTTTAAATTGTAAAGAGTATCAGATTTCAATTTTCCATAATTATCGAGATAAAATAGTTCAGGGATAGTGGAACTAAAATATAAATGTGGGTCAAGTTTAGTTCCAGATTGCACTCTACACTGGAAACCCATTGGAATGATCATATCTGTAGATCCGTTCACTCTGTTAACACCAAACACAGTGTTATGGTGTTCATTCGATACAGCAATAAAAACTCCATCTAATAAATCCCACTTCTTCTCGGCAAAGTGTGTCCAGAACAACATTTCTCCGTTAATTTTCTTCTTGTTTGGTGCTATAACACGTTTTGAAATACAGTACTCTACATATCCATTTGCGTCTAGATAATGTTTGCACTTGAAAACATGATCTTTCAAATTTGGATTGGTGGTGATTAATGATTTGAAACAACCAATTTCAGAGAGCTGTGTACCATTTAACTCTATGAGTCTAAGCATAACAATGGATTCCAAATTGATGTTGTGGTCTGAAGATTTCAGGAGTAATTTGATTCTTTCTTGAATAATCTTTTTCATCAATTCTGATTTATCTTCAATGCCTAATATCTTCTTTAGAATTGCTAATCCAGATTCATACCCAATAAAATCCTTTGCAGAAAACACAACATTGGTCTGATCATTTTCAGAGCTTTCTGGACCAGAAAATCCCAAATATAGTAATTCATTAGCAACCTCTTTGTGCACCATAAACTCAGAACCTAAAAATGGTAAATGATAATGAGCAACATATTTAACAATGGCTTGAATACCTTGTTGTGCATTGATTAATTGAGTGTTCATTGAGGTATAGATAAGATAATGTGCCAGCTTTTCTACTCCCAATACAAAATCTTTTACGGAAGATTTAATAGCATCTATCAAGCTGTTGTTGGTAGAAAATTTTTCTAATGCCAATGTGATCAATCTTCTTCTAAAATACTTGTATCCTTGTTCATGAAAATAAAATAAAATCTCTTTCTTCTCGTTTTTTGGTATTTTGATATGTTTTTCTAAAAATGAAATGATATCATCTCGTGAAACCAAGCCAAAGTCATATATTTTAACCGTATCAATTTTTGCTTTAGTTTTACCAAGAGTTGATTGTATAATACTTTCTACATTAACAGAAAAATTAGTTCCAGAAAATATAGATAAATGAAATTGTTCAATGCTAGCAATTACTTGTGCAAACCTGGCTAAAAGTCCTCTCTTCTCACCGTTCAGACTTGTTAACTCTGAAAGGTTAGTGCAATGGAGTAAGTTTTCGCTAGTAAAATAATATGAATCAAGTAAGAACATTATTAATCAATACAAACCTTGCATAAAGTTTAGCGTCATCAATAACAACTATAAATTTTTCAATTTTCTTGACTATTCCAAATAGAGCGGAATTGTCATTAAGTGAATGAATTATCTTGTTCACCAAAGTTGCAACAAATGCCTTCAAATCGTCGGGAGAAGTATAAACATATAGCTGTGCATACCTCAAAGCATTAAAACTGGTATCAGTATTGCCATTTGATTGCTTATATGCGAGATATGGAAGTATTCCACCTGTAACAATATTTCCATCCCTATCTCTCTGAACAAAATTTTCAAATACAGTTGGATTTTGTTTTGCATCATCAATTAGCTTTAAAATATAAATCAATCTACATATGAATACCATTAGCACTACTTGGTCTACTTGGCCAAAAAGTTCAAAAATATTTCGGCCGTTTAAGTGGCCAAATGCTTGCTTCATCAAAGAATCCGTTGTCAATCCACTGGATACCTCGTTTGATAAAGTACATGTTAAAACCATTCCAGGATTATGACATAACAAACGCACGCAAGCTGATGTCTTACCAGCACCAGATGGACCCATAAACATTATTGCGCTGCGTTTGCTCCTAGGAGCTACTCTTTTCAATAATTCACCATCTTGTGCCATAGTGTACTGAAATTGAGTAAAATATGGCAGTTCATGTTTGGCAAGTGAAGCACCTATTAAAGTTACAGGCAATTCAATAGACCGATATTGTTTACCAAAGTTTGGATAGCCAAATTTAGAATTATAAGCTCTAATAGTAGTTTTTGCAAATAAATTCTGCTCAAAATCATCAAAATCTTCAGGTTTCAACACCTTGTCAGGGTGATTGCTTGCTAATTCGTTCCGTGCTTCAGAATAAAACTTTTCGAAATCTGTAGCATTTTCAAGATGTGCTTGGTGTATTTCGTTCAGAAATTTCTGTGGTTTTGGGAGAATTTTATCATTGACCCAATGTACAATACTTTGACAAGTGTCGGAGAGTTGAGGAATGTTATTCTTGTTATAAGTGCTTTGAAGTCGATCAATGGCATACTTTACACCGTCCAACTTGATATTCTCAACAATGTTGCGGAGAGATGAGCCATCAAAATTATTCTCATACAAAGGCTTCACAGCATCAACTGACAAACCAGCACCACCCCAAGATTTAGGAGAAGTCAATACTGATGCTACATCATGGGCATCGTAATCCTTCAAACTGACTGGTTGGCAGAACGAAGGTGTTGAAGTGTTACCTCCACTATCATTTGTTGACGCTTCTTTTTCAATAGACCAATTTGTGGTGGTGTAGGAACGTATTTGACCAAATGCTTCTGTTGCTGTTGTTGGATAATTCGGATAATTCGGATAATTCAACAATTTGTTATTGTTAGGAACATGTTTCATCATTGAATTTAAAAATATGGTGTTTGCCTTCATTGATGAAGAAGAATTAAAAACATGATTACTGTTGATGATGCTCGATGTTGTGTTGCTATGGGAATTTAATCCTTGCAACATGCGATTGACACTTGTTCTTTTCATGTTCGAGAGTTTTTTTTTTGATCTTTAAGCCAACCTGAGAGAGTCGTTGTATGAAATGGCAAAACCTTAGAAACTTGACTCTCAAATTCAATCAAAAAAGAGTTGCTGAACCTTTTTGAAGTGTGTGTTTCGAGTGCGAGTGGGTTTTGTGTGTTGTACATAATTCTTACCAATGGTGCAACGGATCCAAAATGTAGGGGTTGATTTATTCACCAACATTAAGGCAGCACAACGTTACTGGGTCCAGCATTTCAACTTACCACAGAGTATTGGTTTAACTCGCTCACTCCATTGAATTCGCTCCCAATTATTGAAAATAATCAACGACGATTCGAGACAATTTTTGCAAGGTGGTCAAGATGATTCTACACTGGATGAAGATGACAATGAATTTGGAGTTTCTGCTGCCTTCTTTTCCACACTTTCCAATCGTGCGAAAAAAACGGATCTTTACCTCGATCCACTCGAAATCTTCTGTTTGAATTGTTAGCAGTGCTTCTCAAGCATCTTCTCTGTCTCAACCTTTATCGATCCATAAACGGGGTGTTCAGACTAATGTCCTTGTTTTTGGACCCCGACTCAACGAGACTGAGTATGATGCCAAATTTTCAACGGTGCCAAACAAACAACCTCCTTTCCATTCATGAATTATATTGTAATAAAATTGTTCCTTTGAAAGTCTCACTGGTCTTCACTCGTGTCCAACAACCTTCGAAATTCTGTGGTGGGCTTTTGCGGAGAAATGTCACTATAAAAAATCATCCGAGCCTCCAAACATCAAATCCCCATCCATAAGCAAGTTGTGTGATTTCTTTCGAATCGAATTGAATCATCATTGGTGCCTCTACATATCCTCCTCATTCCCATCATCCCATCTCATATTACCTCTCTCCACAAATTCCATGAGCTTTTTATCTTCATCATCGGAAGACAAGAAAATTTCATCCTCCTCTCCTCCAATACTTTTGCCATTAGCTTCATCATCCTTTGAACAGCCACAACAAAGAGCAGCTTCTTCCGTTTCTTCTTTGAACCGCCTTCCTCTTCCTTTACCGTCCAAACCATCCCATGATGATGAAACAAGTCAAAAACAACTCACAAGATCTTCAACCGATTCAAATGATGTATCATCAACAACAACAACAACAACGAATCATCATCATACGAGTGGTACCACTCGGAGTATCATGAACAACAGCAAGGAAACGAGTTGGAATTCCAATCATCCTCCCATCGTACCACTTGCTGGGTTCAAGCCTGGATTTATTGCTCAAAATACCTTGACACGAACCACAGGCAACCACAACCACAACAACAACACCAACAACAATACGACTACTAGTTCTTATCCAGCAAGTAATCATGAGAGTGGTCATAGTCCGAGCAATTTGAACCATTTGGATCATCATCACCATATTCAACAACATCAGCGAGGTAGCATTCCCATCATGACCAGTAACTTGGTGAATCATCCACAAGCTCACTCCATGGCTGTGAGTGAAGGTGAAGCGACCATTCTTCCTCCAATCATGATGAGGAGTGGTGCAACAGCGGCAAGTCAGTATTCGAATCATGGAGTGCATTTGCAGCAAAAACAACAAAACCTTGCAACAACGATTGAGGTCAATCATGGCAATGATTTTAATGGAGCTGTTGCTTCCATGTCACTTTCAGTAGATCCTTCACAACCGAGAATGTCGTGTACTCACTGTAGAAAGAGCCACAGAAAGTGTGGTATGTATTTTGCTTATTTTGTACAATGTTCACAATTTTGTCATCATGGATCTATGTCAATATAAAATTTACAGACAAATTACATCCATGTGGAGAATGTAAGAGAAGAGGTCTACAGCATGAATGTGTATTTTCAGAACCTAAGGTGAGTGTTTTATTTCATCAAACTGCCTTTTCTGATATTCCAATGTTTGCATGAATGACATGTGTGACCACATCCACCTACCTCACAGAAACGAGGTCCAAAGTTACGAACAGAAAGTGATGAAACCCTTATCAGTGTCTCCCCGTCACCCACACTGAAACAAACACCCTCACAACGAAAAATTAACGAACCTAAAAAGAGGAAGCTTCCCAATGACAATTCTCAAAATGAAACAAACTCCCCAACTCGTGAAGTATTGAAGCCTCCAACAACAAATTATCCACAGGTAGACGTGTCTCCTCTAAGCACGTTTGAAGATGCACTATTGGGACGAAAAGAAATTGATCGAAGGAATTATCTTTTGCAAATGATTAATGTTTCACTCTCGCATAATTTTGACACATCCAGCAGTGCGAGTAGTATGTATCAAATTGAACCAAGTTTAGATTATTCAATGCAACTCTTCTTCAGAGAGGATTTCATTAATTTCATCGTTGATTGTTTGGATAATAATCATCGAGAAATGTTAAAAATGTTTGTCAAGGAGAAACTTTTACTATGGATTCAGCAACGAGTGATGAGCGATACATTCTATCAAAGTATTTACAGTGCTTTCGAAGCACTCTTCTTAAAATATCACTGCTTATTTAAATTATCCATTTATGATGACAATAGATCAATATTACTTTCTGAGAGTGAAAAGAGTATCAAACAATGTAAAAAAGAGCTTTTCAAATTTCTAGACTCAACACAGATGGGGAATATAGAAAAAGCATCATGCTTCATGTGGGCTGCATTTATCAACCAAGTATTAGACGGAAGTAACGAAATGAGTGTCACACTCTCACGGTGTGCTCTTGATAAGTTGCAAAATGATATTGCTATCCAAACAACACAATCACATCAACTCTCAAATAGCCCAAACTCCGAATTCTTGAACATGATCTCCAAACAATATTTACTATTTTGTAAACATTCATTGTGTGCCGATATTCAACAAGAACTACAGAAATTGTTGATACCAATCGACCAAGTACAGCCAATAATGACCAATGATGTGAATTCAATCTACTTTAAACGACTGGTATTGAAGGCACTGCAATTAACTGTCATATTTCGTTACACAAGCTCTTATCCATATTTATTTTTGGGAGAATTCGAGCGATTGGTGAAAAATAATGACGCTTTCTCACAACTCACCATTACGCCAGTATCTACAACTTTGGACACCAACATGATGACTGCTTGCAAGACAATACGTCAGACATTAATGGACATGGATTGTTTGATTCCCAGATCATCCATGGAATGTTGGTCTTTCCTATCACAACTGAATCAACAAATAATCTCAACCAACTCTCCTGATATTTTATTTTGGCAATTTTTTATTCAGTATTTGAAAACAAGAATGATATTGACAGGCTTTTCTCCTCAATCTAAGCAAGATTTTTCAGAACAATTGAATCATAACTTGGTGTTCCACTTGAAAGCAATCATGGAAACTTGTTTTGTAGTTTCTCCATTATACATCTCCATAACATTGATATGTGTGAGGGATTTGATTTTGAATTTAAGCTCTTCACTACCCTCAAGCTTGAAAGAGGACTACAAGAAATTCATGACGCACCTTACCAGCTCAACTCGAGAAGGTAGCCATATGAGATCATGTGGAAATTTATTTATTAACCCTCAGAAAGAAGACATTGCTGAATTGTTAAATATGGTTGAAAGGCATTTGAAATATTCCAATTGAAAAGTTGTGTAATTTAGTCCATCAACAATTTATGGTTGTTTTGTACACATAATGTTCAATGCATAAGAATTTTATATCAAATAATTTATTTCATCACACTCCATAGTATGGAATTGTTTTAGAGGTCTTTGAAAACCAAACATTGCGTTTACCAGTCGTTCGAAGGTGTGATACAATGTCATCCACTGATATCTTCTCTCCAACGAAAATCTTTGGAGTTGAGGACTTGAAAAAGAAGCTTGCCAATCCCTTGCTGTCTTCCAAAATCACCACCTTATCAAAGAAGGAGTCTAAAATGTGACGAATGGATGGTGCATCATCCGCAGTTAACTCTACAATAATATTGTCAATCATGTAGGATAGCGTTCTTAAAGCTCCCAAGAAAATATCGTCTGTTTTTTTCGAAACGTCTACTTTCAATAAATTAATATGTGTATCGGTTGAGAAGTAATCCTCATCAAGAGTTATCGTCTCCACAGAGTCAGGAGTAGTTTCATCGGTGTCAAATGGTGCAGTGACAACATTCGTCAAGTCAGCGACATATTTCTTCGAGTATTCAATTCGGGTGCCAGCTTCTTTCCACACAGCTAGATTTTTCACAGTCACTAATTTGTCGATATCATTCAAAGATGCTGAGCTCATTACAATTCCTGCCATTTGTGGCTGAATTTCGTATGCAATGACTCGACAACCATGTAATGCAGGCAGAATTGTGTAAAATCCTGCAAACGCTCCAATGTCCACAACGAGACATCGTTTTCGTGTTTTTTTTGACTCTTCTTTAAAACTAGCAATCAACATTCCAAATAATTCTTCAGTCGCTGTTTCCCAATTTCCATATTCAACCAAATGTTTCGAAAATCCTACATCTCTATTCGGATTCAAAACTCTCAAATAAAATGATGGGTTCGTATTTGTTTGTACGACATATCCCACCAATCTCGAATTCTTTTTATCATTTCTATAAATTGCATAAAGTGATTTTGGTCCTCCACTCATCATGATTGCATACAAGATCCAAAAACTCAATAGACATAAAAAAGAAATTACAATTATTTTCTGATAAGGAAATACAAATCGTTCCAAAAACGGAACTTTGGTCAATGATTTCACTCCAAAGCACTTCCTCAGTAAATTTCTTCCAATTCTCGGTACAATTTGACAACACCACGAATTTGAAATTCGTTCTAACCAACTCATTGAAAAAGCCTTTACCGCTTTTCCCGAAGAGGGATTTAAAAGATTATCATGATGATTTAAAATAGGTATGGTTTGTTCTGGGTCGTGATGATGATGAGCAATGTTGTTGTGATCGCCCGTTATATCGGAAGATGACATGGATGAACGGGTAGGTTGAATGGGATCTTCTTCCGAGGTAGGATGAGAAGAAGCTACACGATGTTGAACAGAACCACTCATGGATGATGATGAGACTACATGATTGGAAGTAGATGAAAGAGAAGAAGGAGCTTGTGATGAATCAGTTGCAGACATTTTTTTTCCCAAAGATGACAAAAATCAGTAATTATATCTATGTATTCATTGCAGAAATACAAGGAAAGACTATCTTCTAGGAAAGAAGAACACTACGATTTCAAGACCATTCATATAATTTGGTAGCCTTTTTAAAAGAGTTTGTTGCCTTGACTTTACAAAAAAAATGTCTCAAAAGGTTGTTGCTGTGTTTGGTGGTGTCGGTTCGTTGGGTCGGAATCTCATTCGGGCCATCAAACAGAAAAATTATATGGCCATCTCGATTGATTTGAAGGAAAATTCTGATGCTGATCATTCCATTGTGTTGAACAATCAATTGGATAAAAACAGTAAAAACAATACATTAAGCTTTCATGATGGTTCCGAGAATGAACAAGTCATTTCTCAGAAATTACAACAAATTCTTGCCAATAACAAATTGGATGCTGTGGTGAATGTTGCGGGTGGATTTGTTATGGGATCGTTGAAAGAAAAGCAATTGCTATCTCAGGTGGATGCCATGTGGAAAGTGAGCGTTCAATCATCGGTATTGAGTGCTTTGATTGCAAGTGCTCATTTGAAGGATGGTGGTTTGTTGGTGTTGCCAGGAGCTGCAGGAGCTCTGTCTCCAACACCACATACTATTGCATATGGATTGGCTAAAAACTCGGTTCATCATTTGGTGAGAAGTTTGGCTCATCCAGAGCAATGTGGATTGCCTGCTCATACGACAACCATTGGAATTGTTCCATCCATGTTAGATACTGAAGCAAATAGACAAGCCATGCCAAATGCTGACACTTCCAGCTGGACTCCGCTTGACCATGTTTCAAGTGAGCTCATCAAATGGTTGGAAAGTTCTTATACTGAAAGACCACCTTCTGGATCACTTGTCAAAATTGTCACATCCAAAGGAAATACTGATTTTATTGTGGAAAAGTAATACTTTGTTTGAACATTATAGTTTCTTTGAAATCGTGATTGAAAATTAAATTCAACAGATCATTATTTATTCAAAATTGTAACTCTATTTGGTTTTCTTGAAAAACGACTCGATGGTTTTTTGTTTTGCAGGTTTAGAAATCTCCTCTTTAACAAATATCACATCATCATCAGAGTCATTCGCTCGTGAGGTGTCTGTAGACGATGATTTTTCCTTACTGGACTTTTTAGAGGTCTTTTTCTTCTTTGGAGATGGTTCTGTATCGCTAGAGCTTGATTTCTTTTTGGTGGTGGGCGATGACACCTCATTCTTTTCTTCTGATTTTCGTTTCTTTTCTTTTTTGTCTTTCGGCGTTATGGCCGATGTTTTTCTTTTAGGGCTAATTGGTGGCTCTGGATATTCACACTTAAATCCTCTCTTGATGCATCTCGAGCACGCTGGTAATGTTCTACTGCATTTTCGATGAGATTCTTTACATTCCAAGCATGCATAATAGGCCTTTTCTTCGTCAGAAGCTTCATTCTCGTCCTTGTCAGAGGTGGAACTCTTTTTGGGTTTCTTTGGTTTTTTGGAAGACTTGTCAGTTTTTGCGGCTCGGTCTGTCTTGGATGCATTGTTTTTGTCATCCTTGCTCTCATAATGGTGTGCTAATTTCGGAGAAAAATCTGTATTATCCTGTGAAGAGGAAGAGGATATTTGACTTGAAACGGTACTCTGTGAAATTTGAGTTACGTCTGTTTTTGACAGAGTGTTATCGCTCATTCGATTCTTCTTGGAGTTTGTAGATTTTTCTGAACTATGAGAAGATTTCTCGTGATGGTCTTCGAACTCGAATTGTGATGAATTTTCTGTCTCTTTTTGTTCGCTTTTCTTTTTAGTGTCATCGTTGGTTGAGCTTGAGGAGATTGTTTTAGTACTTTGTTTGGAAAGCTGGTGTTTAGATGAAATGGATGATGGTAATGCCTCAAGCTCGGATGATTTTTGGTGTGATGATTTGGAATGATTGTTAGAAGTAATTTCAAAATTTTTAAAAGTATTCTCTGGTGGCAAAATTGTTTTGTGTTCTGTCTTTGGTTTTTCCATAGTTGTTGAGTGACCATTGAGCTCTGTTGATTTTGATGTCGATGAATAATTATTTTCAAAATTGTTGAAATTGTGAATAGGTGAAGAATGATCTTGTTGTGGATAATGTCTATGAGTTGTGGAATTATTCCGACCATTTCGTCTTTGTTTCAGCATTGACAATTTATGTTTCAGTCGAACTGCTTTTAAAGCTAAAGATGTTGGCTTTGGACTAGGTCCAATAGATTTGTTAGTTTCTAGATGTCTTAAACCAGTGCTACTACTTGTCGTTGCGTTATATCCATGATTATTAAAATTGCTATTGTGTTGAGTTGATTTCAAAGTTGGTCTTTCGTGCATGTCTTCTTCTCCTTCATCATCGGAATGACAACAAATTTCTTGAAAGGCTTGCCAATCCTCTTCCTCATCAGTGCTCTCTCCATTCCAATCCGCATCTTCATCATCGGCATCACCTAGTGCTTGATAGGAATTTGATCTTGACTGTTTCTCTTCTGTAGAAGGCGATAATCCTTCATCTGCACTATCGCTTGATTCCTCCACAAAAAAGTCATCATTCAGAACTTCATCATCATCGTCCTCATCTTCCATCAAGTTGTCCAACAAATTCCGAATAATATTTTCATCCATTAAATTATCTACTTGATTATCATCATGATGATTTGATGATGAACCATGAGTATGTTCTTCTTCATTCTCCTCTTCCTCTCGGAGCAAACTCGATAGAGCCAAAGCTCTTCTCTGTATCTCCTCGGGCGACCTTCCATTATTCATACTGCTCCGATGATGATTGGAATTTTCTGAAGATTTCAGAATGAATGATGAAAACGCCTCTTTCAAGGGCATGGTCGATGATGATGATTTTGGCTGTGTTTTCTTTGGCGTCATTTTTTTTTGAATTCGCTCGCTCTCTGACAAAACTTTTTGAATCATTTCAATATTGGATTGAGAAGGTTTACAAAATATTCACACAAAATACTCTTGATCAAGGTAATAACATTAGACACAAATTTGATACCTCAGAAAACGAGTATTCCTTAGTATATGCCCCATACATACATTCATGAAAACAATTTGTTTCAAATCCTTCATCTGTCACTCATCATCCAACAACAACAACAAAAAAAAATGTCAACAACCATCTCATCCCAACAACTTCCTTCAGTCGTCATTGACAACGGATCAGGCTTCATCAAAGCAGGTATTGCTGGCTACGAATCTCCCACCACTCGTTTCTCCAACATTATCGGCAAAGCCAAAGATTGTTCCGTTCTCGTTGGAACTGTCAATCGAGAATTCTATGTCGGACAAAGTGCCCAATCGAAAAGAGGTATTTTACAACTTTCATACACGATGGAACATGGTTTAATTGAAAATTATGATGCTTGGGAATCTGTCATTTCACACACGTATTACAGTGAATTGAAATTGGCACCTGAAGAACAACCATTATTGATGACAGATGCTCCATTGACTCCAAAAACACAACGTGAAAAGATGACTGAGATTTTAATGGAGAAATTGGAGGTTCCTGCGTTTTATTTGGGAATTCAGGGAGCTTTGGGTTTGATGGCAAGTGGAAGATTGACTGGAGTGTGTTTGGATGTGGGTGATGGTGCTACCAATGTTGTGCCCATGTATGATGGTCAATGTAAGTCTTTTTGGTGTGTGAATTTTTTTATATATTGGTTCATTATTTTGATCATTTGATATATATATTCATTTGGATGTTGATTTTGTGAAAATTTATTCATTGAAATGATTTGGGTATTGTTTTTATGAAATTTCTTGGTTCATGAAATCATGTGTAAATCTACAAAAACATTTTTGGAAAATGAATCATTTTGTGTGTGAATTTTTATAGTACTTCTCAATGCTGTACTCAGATTGAACATTGCAGGACGTGACGTGACTGGATATTTAATGAAAATGTTAAGTGAAAAAGATTACAATTTTCACACCACTTCCGAACACGAAATTATTAGAAATCTCAAAGAACAACACTGTTATGTTGCATTAGATTTCCAAGAAGAATTAGAAAAGGCAGATGAAAGTTCATCTCTCGATCAAAACTATGAATTACCGGATGGAACCATCGTGACTGTCAATTCAGAACGATTCCGAGCTCCTGAAGTTCTCTTCTATCCTCAACTCATTGGAATGGAATCTTCAGGAATTCACGAAGTGTTATTCGAATCCATTTCGAGATCACCCATTGACGTTCGTAAAACTCTCTATCATAATACAGTATTGACAGGTGGAAGTACGTTGATGGAAGGATTGGAAGATCGATTGACGAAAGAAATGACAGAAATGGCTCCATCCTCAATGGATATTCGTGTGGTCGCTACTCCTAATAGAGAAAATTTGACATGGATTGGTGGAAGTATAATGGCAACATTGTCTTCATTCTTTAATATGTGTATTACTAAGGATGAGTATTATGAACATGGTGCAGATATTGTTCATCACAAGGTTTTGATTTAATTGAGTGTGAAACGAAGGTGTGTTTGTTTCATTGTTGTGACAAGTGGCATTTTGAGTATTTTGTGCAAGTTACAATAAAAATCAGTGCGTGTACTTTGTAAATGGTATCATCATTGGGTGTTCAATGTTGTGTGGTCATTCCAATAAAGTTCCAAGTTCCTACCACCAATCTTTCAAACTCAAAGCATTGGATTGGATACTACAACACCTATCTTTCAAACTTGTTACACTTCATCAAGTTCTAAATTAAAATAGGATTCATGGATGAAGCTGTATAGGTTCCTATAAATACTTGCATCTCGTTTGCTCTTGGAGGTTCAACAACAAAAAAAAACAATTCAAACCACAAGTTTTGCAACACATATTCAACCAAATACGAAAATGATGCTTCCAGTAAACCTCCATGACAATGCCATCCAAGCATTTCAAAGTATGAGAATGGGAAAGGGTGATTTCAAAGATTGTAAATTCCTTGTCATGAAGAAACATCAAGAAGGTAACATCCAACTCGACGATGAGCTAAATGCCAAATGCCAAACTTTGGAAGATTTGACCAACTCTCTGCCAAACAATGAAACTAGATTCATTTGTTATCATTTACGGTTTGAAATGCCAAAAAGTCAAGAACATGAATCTGCACGTGAAGGCACTCGAAGCAAAATTGTGTTTTTAGTTTGGTGTCCTCCTGCCACACCTGTCAGAGAGAAATTCCAATTGGCTGCCTCAACAAAAACTGTCAAAGACAAGTTGAATGGTATTTTCGTGACTCATAATGCCTCGAGTAAGGCTGATTTGGACGAACAACAATTGATTGAAAGATGTTTAACCATTATGAAGTAAGATAGTCCTCATTGAAAATTATGGCTCCTGCTTGACATCGTTTAAGGGATTTTAACCCTCAAACAAAAATCTGTAAATAAAAAAGTTCAACATTTAGCATTCCATTCCATGAACCTAAAATAGTTTACTAGTTATTTCAAACTCCAACACTTGTGTGATTAATAAATTAATGAGAGTTTTTAGTATTACAAAAGTCACGACAACGCACTCAAATTACTTGGTGACTGCATGCATGGCCTTAGCAACAGTGGCAACATTGCTAGTATTCAAACCAGAGATACTGATTCTACCATCCTTAGTCATGTAAATGTGGTATTCCTCTCTCAATCTGTTGACTTGTTGCTCGTTCAAACCACTGTATGCAAACATACCAATTTGCTTGGTAATGTGAGACCAGTCACGAGTGCTTCCTGCAGCCTTCAATTCCTCAACCAATCGACTTCTCATGGTTTTAATTCTGTCAGCCAATTCCTTGACATCCTTCTCCCATTGAGCCTTCAATTGAGGACTATTCAAAACAGTAGTGACCAATCGAGCACCATGCACAGGTGGATTACTGTATTGAGTACGAATGATAATACCAAGTTGACTTTCAACATTCTTCTTTTCCTCAGCATTTTCACAAACCACAGAGAATGCACCAATACGTTGTCCGTACAAACCAAAGTTCTTGGCATAGGATTGACAGAGCATGATTTGATGACCTTCCTTCACAAACAAACGGAATGATTGAGCATCAGTGTTAGCATCACCAGAAGCAAATGCTTGATAAGCAGAGTCAAACAAGACATAGTGCTTCTTTTGCTTACAAATATCGGAAATTTGCTTCCAAGTATCCATGGATGGATCCACACCAGTTGGATTGTGAGCACAAGCATGCAACAAGATGACTGATTTCTCTGGAGCATTCTTCAAATCCTCCAAACATCCAGCAACATCCATTCCATTGGTCTTTTTATCAAAATATCGGTAGGTTGGAAGACGATCATCGGAGAATCCTTGAGCACGGAAAATGTTAAAGTGATTGACCCATGTTGGATTTGGGAAGTACACTTTGGTATCTGCTGGAAGGAACTTTTTGATGAAACAAGCAGAGAGACACAAACTACCAGTACCTGAAATGGCTTGCACTGTAGCAATAGTGTCCTTGTTCTCTCCGAAAGCAAATTTCTGAGTGGCCTTACAGAATTCTGGAACACCAGTAACTGGTGGATATTCATGATCTAAAGCCTTGTCGAAAATGATCTTCTCGGCCTCACGGACGGAAGTAAGAGTCTTTGGCTTACCCTCATCGGTACGATAAACACCTTCTCCTAGCAAGATCTTGTTTGGTGCAGTGTCTTGATTGAATTGAATGGTCAATTGTTTGATGGCATCAAGAGGAGCATATTGAACGTTGGCCCAAATACCTGCATTAACTTTGGAGGTGGAAAAGTAACGAGTTTGATGGCAATTGGTAGCCTTGCTCAAGATCAAACGACAAGTGTTCTTCATGATGATGGTAGTGATGGTAATAATAACAGATGGTTGATGGCTTGATGATGGGTACGGTTGTATGAAATTGTTTTTCAATCAATTTTGTGTTGATTATCAATTTCTGTGCGAGGCAATTGGCTTAATTTTTTTGTCCTATTTTTTCCTAACAACCACAACGCATGCGAAAGACATGACAATGAAATTTTCCATTGCCTCTAATAATCATTCATGTTCGTTACATGGAAAAGCAGTCATGATTCTGAACACTTGATAAGGAAGCAAATCATCGTGAGTGGAGGGCAGTTACAGTAAGAGGATGGTGGTTTCATATTGAGAGGAATGCTTATCATGATTACAAGAGAGAGAAGGATGGCCTTTTCAATAAAGAGAATTTTCTTTATTTGAACAAGTTGCTGAAAAGGGTTTTCAAAAGACATGTTGTTGATGATTAAGGTTCGTATGTTCGTGCTGGTTGTCCTCACTTTCGGGAACAGTATCATCGGTGCTGAATGATATACCTTGGAATGTCTGTATCCATCCTCAATCCTCTCTCGCTTCAATTTGAAAACAACCATGCGACACCTCACAATTTGCGTCAGATTGCCAAGTTCCGAAACCCAATTTTTTTGTAATCCAAACGATAAATTTTTTTTTAATTTAAAACACAAAAAAAAATTCGTTTTTGCTGATTCGCGTCGTGTGCTGTTATTGCGAACGTTTTTTGTACCGTCATCATCACCTATCGCTCGCTTTTTTTTGATACAACAAGAGTTTTTGTGTGCGTGATTTTGAAGAACAACAACAATAAGAATACTACGCGTAGTTTTGTGGAACAACTAATTATTGAACAGCTTTTTAGCACCCTCACTCGAATCATTACCATAACCGAAAATGAGTAGTATCAGTATGTTTGATATCAAGAGTAAAATTAAACAAATCAAAAACACGGTTCTTCAGATGACCCCACTGGAGATCAAAGTTAGAGAATGTACAAGCAACGATCCATGGGGAGTCAAGCAAACCGATAAACTTGAAGTGGCTGATCACACCTTCAACTATGAAGACTTCAAGCTCATCATGTCTGTCATTAGAATCAGATTGGCCGATGTTGGTAAAGACTGGAGACACGTTCAAAAGGGCATTCAACTCATGGAATTTTTGGTCATTCACGGCTCTGAAAGATGTTTGGATGAGGCCAGGGATATGACATCACTCATTCGTCACTTGAAGAACTTTAAATATGTTGATGATGAAGGAAAGGATTGGGGAGTTAACGTTAGAGATGCTGCCAAACACTTTTTGGAATTCATCAAAAACGAAGAGGCCATTAAAGAAGAGAGAGAAAAGGCCAAGGAAGAAAAGAGCAAGTATGAAGGCTTCTCCAGAACTGAAGCCAAATACAAGGCTCGCTCCTCAGGATCCTCCTCGTCAGAGAAGAAGAAGAAACCACAAACCACTAGCTATGATGATGACGACTATGAAGCTCCAAAGAAATCCACTTCTCGTTCCAGCATGGATGACGACGAGTATCGTAGAGATGACGATGATGAGAGAAGAAGCTCACCACCTCCAAAATCTACCTCAACAACAAGTGGAGCAAGACCAAGAAGACCATCCACAGGAACCGAACCACAAGCAACAGTCGTGAAACAACAACCACAACAACAAAAAGAGGATACTCTCATTGATTTCTTTGACACTCAACCAACTGGCCCAACAAATACAGGATTCGGAAACAATGCATTCGGAAACAACTCTGGTTTTGGAAACAACAACAACTTTGGTTTTAACAACCAACAACAACAACAACAACAATTTGCAAACACTGCAAATACTTCTGGTGGTGGTTTCAATCCAAGAGGTGGTAACACAAGTGGAGGATTCAACCCAAGAGGTGGTAACACTGCTCCATCGTTCGGAGGAAATCAACAACAAACCAATGATTTTGAAGCTAACTTTGATAGCTCTGGATTTGATGATGCATTCGGAAATAGCGACTCTTTCGGCACTGGCTCTACACAAGAAAAGAAGGACTCTACATTGTTTGATCTTTCCAGCGGATTGGTCAATTTGGATTTGAATGATTCTGGAAAGAAGCAACCTCAACAACAACAACAAAATAGTCAACCACAAACAACCAATATGACTCTCAAGGAGTTGAAGAGATTGCAAGGAACAACAACTCCACCAAACAAGCCACCAACAATGAACACGTCATCATTCAATACACCATCCTTCCCACCAAGCAATCAACCTTGGGGTAATACACAACCTCCAATGGGCGGCTATGGTCACCCTCCAATGGGAGGCAACTGGAACAACACTCCACCAATGGGAGGAGGCGGTTATCCACCTAGAAATCAACCACCATCAGGAATGGGCTATCAGCCACCACAAGGAAATGCACAATGGAATATGAACAACCAACCAAGACCAAACACCAATACCAATGCTGGTGGTTTTGACTTCTTCTAAATTAATTGTTGCAATAAAAGATCCTTAATATTTTAAAGAATGGTGTGTGAGATTGAAATTTACAACGTTTGACGTTATTTACACTAACTTTGATGACAACGTTTACTCTAATTGTCACAGGTCTTGTGTGAAGGAAGGATTTTAACTAGTGTGGTATCTTTATTGTTTTGGAGCGTCTGTGGTTACAACTTCTGTAGACGAGCTTTGTGTTTGCTGCTCGTTCGACGAAGTTGGAGAATTTGATTTAGGACCTTGTGAATTGGCAGAAACAACAAAATCAGACATTTTTGAAGCAACATGCCTAAAAAATTGGTGAAAGGCAAGAAAATTGCCTTTGCCTCTTCTAAATTCAATAATTAATAAAGAATCGGAAACAGTTTTCAAAATTGCAACGTTCATCGTAATTACAGTGTCAGCCATATTCATGTAGCATTTGATAAGGGTGGTTCCCTTGAATTTGGGATTTGCTCGCTCGTTTTTCAATATTTGGAATACTTTTTCAGAAATTTCTTCTGTTTTTCCTAGGGCAACCAACCGCGTTTGTCTCCTTATTAGCAGTGCGTCTTGGCCTGTAGCCATCTTTGAAATCGATCCCATCACAAATTGTGACGCTAAATCAAAAGCATTCATCCGAACCTCAGATGGTGGTTTTGGTGTGGATGAAGATGGAAGTTGATCGACCTCCTTGTAGAAGCTATCTTTTACGGCGTTTTTTATATCTGAATTAGATAGCTCTATTTTAGATTGAATATGTGGCATTATGACTGCAAACTCTTCCTTATATCCTCTGTTAGGAATAATAAAATGACAGTGTTGGTTGAATAGGAACTCAAATCACAGACACAAATGAGATGATACTTACATTTGGAACCATTTAGATGCCTTGATTTGAGCAATGGTATATCGTTTCTTTGGATTCACCTGCAACATGCTTGAGATTAAATGTTTTGCTTCTTTTGAAAGATGTATGGGATAATCAACCTTTCCACTTTCTATTTTTTTAAATAATACATTAATATTCCTGTCATCAAAGGGTAGTCCTATTAAGGTTCATTGGTGATCAACAAGATCTCAGCCTCATGGGTATATAACAACTTACTTCCAGTTAGCATTACATAAAGAATCACTCCAAGTGACCAAATGTCTGAAATGAAACCGTCATAACCCTTTTCTTTGATGACTTCAGGCGAGACATAGTTTGGTGTTCCGCATGTTGTTTTCAATAGTTGTGATTTTCCGAGTTTGTTTGGTACAATACTACTAAGTCCAAAGTCCTATTGGTGAATTTCAAAAATATGCAGATGGATCAAAAATTACGAAATGTACAAGTCAGGCATGATGAGTCGTTTTTTGTTAGCCCTACTTGTGATCTCAACTTACCGTAATTTTGAGCCGATCGGTCGAATCCAACAATAAATTTTCTGGTTTCAAATCTCGATGAGCAATTCCCTGATTATGACAATATTCGACTGCAGACACGAGTTGATGGAAATATCGCCTTGCTGTAATTTCATCAAACTTCTCCGCAGCAACAATACGGTCAAACAGCTCTCCTCCCGTTACTAACTCCATAATGACATACATATTATTCTCCGTTTGTAGCACTTCTTTCAATTTTACAATGTTCGGATGTTTCATTATTTTCATGATGGCAATTTCTCGTTTCAACTGCGTTTCCATCTGCTCCTTTTTTATATAACTCAAATTCATAATCTTAATCGCATACGTTTCTCCCGTCTCCAAATCTCTCCCAAACTTGACTTTGGAGTATTTGCCTTGTCCCAACGTTCTCATAATTTCATAGTTCGCCACGATTTTAACCATTTTTTTTTTAAGGTTCATTTAATGGTGCCGCTTCCAGTTGTAAATCTCCGGCGCCAACTCTGCACCATTTTTGTGAGAGAAAAAACAAAATTATCGTTCCGGTTGTTGTAGTTATGATGGTCATGCTGATGATGAAGAATGTAAAGTATCTCTGGGTGGATGGAACATTCAATGAAGGGTTGAGTTTTTCTTGATCGTTTGAGGTCGAGTGAGGTTTTTGGATTTACAGTAACCCAATGTAAATGCCCAAGTTCATCTAAAAGGGCGTTCCTGATCAAAGGTAATATCGGAGGGGCTTTCTCATCAAGCATCTCAAGACTTGATGATCATCATCAACATGTCATCCACATTTTCATCAAACCACAAAAAATTTCAACAGTCATTAACATCATCAACAAGAAAATTTTCACATCATGATGGCTCAACAAGTCAAACTCGCCGATTCTAACTGTGCTCTCATTGGATCTTCATTGGATATGGCGGCGCAATTGGTACTAGAAACCTGTCAGATATTCGTCAATCCCACGTCAGCTGATTTGAGTAAACTCCAAAGGAATCAAAAATAAAATGAGTGAGTCTCTTCCTGATTGGTTTGCAAGGGTTTGAAGAACCGAAGCAACTTGGGTTCTTACTGCAACAACAGACAAACTGAAACGAAATATAGAGGCCATAGGACGTTACACCATTATTCGCTTCAGCTGAAGCTTGTAAAACAACAGCGTGCCAACGAACAGCTCACGGAAGACAGATCCTTGCTAGCACCCTAAACCAGAACTATTACCAATTCTACTGCATGACATTCAACGAATAAATTTTTTTATGCTTTCATATTCATTTTTGACTTGACGAATATCTGACAGGTTTTTAGTGCGCTTCAACGTCGGATGCGCCGCCATACTCGTGTTCGTGCAGCAAGAACAGCCGATGAATGGAAAGGAGCTGGCGATCACGCAGGATTGTCCATTTGGCGAATTGAACAATTCAAGGTCAAGCCTGTACCAAAGAATGAATATGGAAACTTTTTTGATGGTGACTCCTATATTGTGTTGAATACTGTGATTGATAAGAATGGGAAAAAATCCTATGATATTCACTTTTGGTTGGGAAAATTGACCAGTATTGATGAAGTAAGTTTTGAAATAATGTCATCATCAACGCTGATCATGACAATCACTTGATTATTTAATAATTTCAAAATTATTTTCATGATGGCATCTCGATCATTTCTAAAACACTTATCATGACAATACTATCAATTTTGATCTCATCATGAACGTTTAATGTGACAATTTTCACACACATTGCAATTGATCTCTCCATCTCATGCTAATTGAATTCCTCAACTCCTACACAGATGGGAGTTGCAGCATACAAGACAGTTGAACTCGATGATTTGCTCGGCACTCTTCCAAAGGAACATCGTGAAGTACAAGGAACTGAAAGCGATCTTTTCCTTTCCTACTTCCAAACTTGTAATAAGAATTCTGGACTACGTGTCGTTCATGGTGGTACTGCTACTGGATTCACACACGTCGATAGTGAGCTTGAAAAGGGAAGATCAACTGCAAGCGATAAGGGAGTCGTCACATTGTGGCATGTGAAGGGACGTAAGAATGTTCGTGTCTATGAAGTCTCTCCAAAATGTGCCTCCCTCAACAAGGGTGATGCTTTCATTCTTGACGCTCGAAACAAGATTTTCGTTTGGGTTGGAGAGGAGGCATCTCCTCAGGAAAAGTACAAGACTGCCACTGTTGTGACAGCCATGCAAGACGATCGTTCCGATTCTGCACAAGTATTCCATGTTGGTGCTGGATCCAAGAACGAACGAGATTTGAAGGCAGAGGAAGAATTCTTCTCCTTATTGAAGGGATCTCCAAGTGATGTCCAAAATGCAATTCCAGACAATGCTAGCTTAATTCCTCAAGAAGCAAAACAAAAGAGATTATTCCGTGTGAGTGACGCTAGTGGTAGTATTGTGTGTACACTTGTTGGCGAAGGAGATCAAATTCAAAAGTCCTTGTTGAACGAAAATGATGTCTTTATCTTGGATTCTGGTCTTCATGTCTTTATTTGGGTTGGTGACAAGAGCAGCAAACAAGAAAAGACAAATGCCATGCCTTTAGCCATTAATTACGTTGCAAAGAGAGGATATTTACCTAATGTACCAATTACAAGAGAAGTTGAAGGATTGGAAAGCCAACAATTCCTCTCTGCTCTCTCCAAATAATTTGAATCTTTGGATGTAATAAAATGTTGTGGAATCAATTTGGCACAACTGTCAAACTTCAATATCAAAAACATGTTTAAAAAAAATACAGAGATATGGAAAACTACTAGTATGTTTCATGATTATCTAACCAGTTGTCACGGATTGAGTCATCCTGTGTTTCCGTCATTTCATGTGCGCTTCTGTGAATTAGTGTCATTAAAATTTTGGGAAGAGGTTCCGAAGGTATGTCTGATCATTTCTCGGATACCATCACACCCTTCTTAATTCATCAATGAACAATCTAATCCCATTCATAATTTATAACAATAATATTATGACTATTATATATTTATATATTCTTCATATGATGAATTTGGATTTCACACACTCACATCGTTCGTTCACACAGGACAAGTCGTATTAGCCGAACATAAAAAAACACAAGAACAAATTGCCATCAAACGTATGGAATGGGCAAGTTACGAAGATGCCAATATTCATCTCAACGAAGCTCAGAAACTCCGAGATCTCTCTCATAAAAATATTATCAAATATTTGAGTGTCTTTCTTCATCAATATTCAAAGAAGGCAGAGACACTCTATGTGTGTTTGTGTTTGGAATATTGTCCTGGAGGAGATTTACAACAATTGATAACGTCAACGATTAAGAAAGGAAAGATGAAAGAAGAGGCTATTGTCAATTATGCAGAACAAATTGCAGAGGGATTACGATATTTACATGAACATAATATTATACGTAGGTGTAATATTGTTATTTATACATGTTGTTCTTTGAATTCTGATGGTTGAATAATGCGTGTGTGTGTATGTGAATGTATATGTGTATATATATGTGTATATATATGTGTGAATGTATATGTATGTATATATATGTGTGTGTGTGAATGATGAAATTATACTAGATCGAGATTTGTAAGTGTTTAAGGTGTTTAAGGAATTTATAATGAAAATATTGGTCTCATATTTTCTTCAATAGAAAACCTCAAAACATTTTAATTGCTTCGGATGGTGTGTTGAAAATTGGAGATTTTGGAATTTCTCGAGAAATTTCAACACATTCCATTCCCAAGACTCAATGCGGTACTTTGGAATATATGAGTTATGAAATGCTTAATAAGGAGCCCTATGATCAACTCACAGACATGTATTCTTATGGAGTGTAAGTTGGAACAGTATGAGTGGCACTTGTGGACACATCCAAATATATATATATGGAAATCAAAGAATTCTTTTTCAAATGATGATTGGCAAGTCCATCATGTTTTCAATGGAACTTCGAAAAAATCCAAATCTTTTTATGGACTTGGAACATCAATGTATCGAAGATTTAGGATATTCTCGTGATCTCTTTCAATTAGCCAAATCATTGGTGAGTTATGACACTCGTGAGAGACCTTCTGCTGAACAATGTTTGAAAAAATTGAATCGATTGAAAGCTCATTCTAGTAAGCATCATGGAAAACTTAATCTAGTCTTGCAAGATTTTAAGGCCTTGACCAATGATTTGAAATTACGAGTTTTTGCATTTCTTCATATTGAAGACATGTATCATATGGGTGAGTATATGATTATTTATGAACCAACTATGTGTGAAATGAATGATTATTATTGTGCTATGAAATGAATATGATACAAAGGTCTTACATGTATGGAATTTTATAATTTATGGGAACAACATGTAAGTGTCAACAAATTTCAAATCACAATTTAATATATGGTTCATCATCATGAATAACAACCACCTGTGAACCTTCTGACGACAATGACGACTACAACTACTACGACAATGACAGTGGTGGAAATTACTCATTACATCTACCAAGCTTGGAAAAGAAATTACCAAATCACTCTTACAAGAATCTCAAGGAGTAGGATCATCCTCTCCAACTTGCTCCTCATCACGTCGAAAACGATCAGGAAGTGCAAAAAGTTCTCATTCCGATCTCTCCAATGTTCACAACACAAATTCTTCAAGTATCATGAACACGACCATTCGTGCCTTAAATTTGAGCATTACAAGTTCGAGCAGTGTCCACAATTCTTTGGAAATTAATATTTTTAAACAACAAGTTTTCAATTATGTGAAATTTCAAAAACCTAAAAAGAGACGAGACATGAATAAGAGAGGACGGAACGTGGTGAGTGAAATACATCCTTCACAAATCGATGAAGCTGCTTTATTTATGGCTCGTTCCTTAATGTTTGGATTTTCGAGTCTTTCTAATGATGAAGAATTATCTCAACGAAATGATCATCAGAACAACAATTCCAAAGTTTTCATGAATTCTCGAGTTGAGCAGCAACAACAACAACAACAACCACCACTAAATACTTTGATTCAAAAGAGGAAGAATAACATTGAAGGGCATGTTTCTTCTTCTCCCATTTCCATGGATTCTCCTCAAAGTAATAGTAGTAGTAGCAGCACAGCAACGACAACAATCACTGAAAAATCATCATCCTTAGAAGACACAAGAGATTTGAAACATGATCTGAAAAAAATTCCACCCCATACACGTCACGACGTATCACATGCTTCGTCACGATCATTCATGTCCTCATTGCATCCCTTATTGAAATATATTTTTAACATTTCACATCCATTGGAATTTTCGGAAGAGGAGAAGGATGGAAAAAATTATAGAGATCATGTAGAATCGAAAATATCTAAAGAAGCCATTCTATTTCTTTGTAAACTTGTCATCAAATATGGATGTAAATATGGCCGAGTGTATGTGAATGTGAAATTTCCAGTCGATGCTCAACCTAAAGAAATTCAAGCACTTTCGATTTGGCAAGATCCCTACAATACAAAAGGAATTGGATTTTGGAGAATGTTAAAATTGGGTATTGTCAAGGCACCCAAAAGTTTGTAAGTAGATTAATTTCCAAATTTTTTCTTGTATGTTTGTTTTACCGAAATGATGTCAATCTTGTATCTCTATATTTGTCAATCACACACACACATATACACGACTCACGACTGCATACCATTGGCAAATAATGCACCTTCAAACAATTGTAAATCATGATTATTATTGAAACACTACACACAGAGGTCTTAAATCCATTTATCGATCCATTAAGGCAGCCGAATGTATGGAAAACATTCATTCTCAACTCATGCCCATCCATGAAAAACCTCATTGGACTCTCCTTGCCCTTCTCGTTTCACCTCTCGAACGAAAGAAAGGTCTCGGAAGTGAAGTATTAATGCCCATTCTGAGAGCTAGCGATGAAGCCACGTTACCCATCTTTACCATTTTGTATCATCATCAAGAAGAAGAACCATGTACACACGAGAAGGTCATTAAGGAATTGAGTGAGAATCGAGACCGAACGAACAAGAAATATAACCAAGAACGAGATGCATTGAGTGTGGTGTCTTATGGCGGCGCATCCGACGTTGAAGCGCACTAAAAACCTGTCAGATATTCGTCAAGTCAAAAATGAATATGAAAGCATAAAAAAATTTATTCGTTGAATGTCATGCAGTAGAATTGGTAATAGTTCTGGTTTAGGGTGCTAGCAAGGATCTGTCTTCCGTGAGCTGTTCGTTGGCACGCTGTTGTTTTACAAGCTTCAGCTGAAGCGAATAATGGTGTAACGTCCTATGGCCTCTATATTTCGTTTCAGTTTGTCTGTTGTTGCAGTAAGAACCCAAGTTGCTTCGGTTCTTCAAACCCTTGCAAACCAATCAGGAAGAGACTCACTCATTTTATTTTTGATTCCTTTGGAGTTTACTCAAATCAGCTGACGTGGGATTGACGAATATCTGACAGGTTTCTAGTACCAATTGCGCCGCCATAGAGACATGGATTTGAAGTGAAAGACCATTTTACATCACCCTCTCATGGACCTGCTTTTACAGTTTTGATACGTTATGGAAGTTAGAGAATGGAGTGGTTATTACACTAAATTCTTCGAATTCACTCAATGTGGTATGTGGAGTGCGACCTCGATGTATAGGTGCGACACACATTGACATTGAGCATTGCCCGAGAGGTTCGTGCGCATTAATTACCGAGTTGTTTCGCATGGCGGTATTTTCAAATTTATTCGACCTTTGATTCAAAACGGTGTTTTTCTTGAACACAAGTGACGACGAGTGAACAAATTTCAATTGAAAAAACAATAACAACAGTTCTTCTTCATTCAACACTACAACAACAACAACAACAACAAAATGGTCAAGGTTCTCGTCTTGTTTTACAGTACTTATGGTCACATTTGGCAAATGGCTGAGGCTATTGCTGAAGGAGCTAAACAAGTAGAGGGAGCTGAGGTGCATGTGAAGAGAGTTCCAGAAACATTGCCTGCTGAAATTTTGGAGAAGGTAGGTTTCGTATGAAGAGTGATTAGAGGGAGAATCATTTGTTGTGAAATTTATTTGACTCGTGTTGTATAACTTGGATACAACATTGTCATCTTTGATTCTGGACCTTATTGAAAATTTTGTTGTTCACTAGATGGGTGCTACTCAAGCTCAAAAGGCTTTCGAACACATTCCAGTCGTAAGTTGTGATGCTACTTGAATTATAATTTAAATATTAATTTTAACTATTTTTTTACAAAATTGTATTTCAATACTTGATGACCGACAACATGTAAATCCAAAAGGCCACTGTGAGTGAACTCGCAGACTATGACGCCGTCATCTTTGGAAGTCCAACTCGATTCGGAACCATGTCTGGCCAACTCAAGTCCTTCATTGATGCTTGTGGTCAACTCTGGGCTAAGGGTGCTCTCGTTGGAAAAGTTGGTTCCTTCTTCTCTTCCAGTAACTCTCAACACGGAGGTAATGAAACCACCATTTTGACTTCCATTCCAAACTTGTTGCATTTAGGATTTGTCTATGTTGGTCTCCCTTACAGTTGTACTCTTCAATCGGGTGTGGATGAAGTGAAGGGAGGAAGTCCCTATGGCGCCACTACGATTGGTATGTTTTGTTTTTATTGAATATTGAGAGAATATTCCTTATCATGAATATATTATCATCATTCCTTATGATATAATTTTCAATTCAATATCATGATATTCAACATTTATTCAGCCGGATCGATGGGAGAACGACTTCCATCATCGCAAGAGAAGGAAATGGCCAAATTCCAAGGTAATCATGTTGCTCAAATTGCCAAGAAGTTGGCTGCCAAGTAATTGTACTATGAAAGAATAAATCAATTCCTAGATTTTGATCAAAGTTACTTTATGAAATTAATAAAAAACAGACCTATGAACATTGAGGAACATTTTCCCCGCTTTTAAAAAAACTGTAATTAACGAATTCAAAAGCATACTTCTTAAAAAAAATTGTAAATTTGTTTCATCACGGCCGTTCGTTGAGAGTGCAATACTGTATAAACATTCAGGACGACCGTTGAACACTCTAAAGTTTATAGAGAGGTTATATCGATATCGCTTTTTTCAAGAACAATGACGTCATACATCATTAAGGATACGATCCGAGATTTTAAAGCAAAATATGGACATCTTGATGGCAAGTCCCCACAATACCAATCAACGTTTCAATCATTGTTCAAGTGGGAATTAGCCATGGATAATGCCATAGCTTTGGCAAAGCCTCCACATGTCGATCATTATATGAACTATGTGAAAAAGGTCAACTCGGATTTTGAATCAAGCCTTAACACTTGGTTTCCATCATGTTGTGAAACGTTAGATAAGGAAGACAAAATTTTGAAGGAATGGTACAGTCATCCAAACATTCCTGACTTCATGAGCATGACCAAACAAGAACTCATTGAAGTTTGCAAAAAAATACCTCCTCATCCGCGGTTGGATGCTTCAATTCAGGGAGTGATTAACTGTATTGAAAAGTGTGACAAGTTGTTGCAATACATCAAGTTGGTGAAGGATTATTATTGCATTTCAAATGGAGTATTTAATCCAACAAAAGAGCTTGCTGAAAGAATCCAACGACGCAATTCAAATTCAATGTTTGTTGACAGCGACATGAATACTGATTGGGATTTTTATGAAAAAGTTTCTGCTTGGTTGCGACCATGTGAATTATGTGACGATCCTCAATTGTTCTTTGAAGGAGTCGACATTCAAGATGTACGACAAGGGGTGTTAGGAAATTGTTATTTTTTGGCAGCAGTTTCGAATTTAGCGTACCGAAATCCTCGAATTATTAAGGACATGTTCAAAGAGTATGACACGAAACAAGGAAAAGTAATTGTTCGATTTTGGAAAGACGGAAAAGAAGTTTTAGTCACCATTGATGATCGTCTTCCTTTTGGTGGATGGGGCAAAGTTTTAGGAGCAAGATCTGCAACTGTCAATGAATTTTGGATTAGCCTGTTGGAAAAAGCATTTGCCAAGTTTATGGGAAGCTACAAGCTCATTGGACATGGAGGTCAATCGGACGTTGCTTTCTGCTATTTGACAGGAGCACCTCCAGCGTCTGGTCTGACCGTGACACCAAACTCTAATCAACTCGATGTTTGGCGCTTCTTAATGGATGTCTACAAACGAGGCGATGTCATCTTTGTTTATTCTCCTCAAAATTACAAGGAAATCGAAAAGGTTAGCGGAATTAAGGAATATCATGGTAAGTACTACATTTTGAACCTTTACATTTAGTATAACTTCTATTGCTCTTTGATATGAAACTAATTTTCAACAGCATACGCCATTTTAGATTTGGTTAAAGTAGAAGACGAAGATAAGATACATCGTTTGGTCAAATTAATGAATCCTTGGGGTTTCATGGGAAGCGAATTTACAAAAGGTAAGATTTCATTCGAATCATTTAGGTCATTGCTTATGGATTTATATCTTGTCCAATTTTTCAGAACAAATCAAGCAAAATTTTTCTAGTCTCGAATGGAATGGTCGTTATTCGGATCACAGTACGGAATGGACCCCACGACTCATCAAGAGATTGAGTGTCGAGTTCAAAGATGATGGGGTATTTTGGATGTGCATTGAAGATTTCATTCATCATTGGAGAGATGTCAAAGTCAACAAATTTTCTCAAGTTTATGATTCGTTTTATTGAACTCTCTAGTCACTAGATTGCCAAAGTAAAAACCTTGTGAAAAATTCATGATATATCTAGTATTATTTATTTACAAATTTTCTAAGCATTCAGGCTAGATTTGGGGTATGGCGTCGTGTAATTTCCAACATCGTAATCAATTCCAACAATTGAATTGTTCACCTCGGTGATGGGTTGTCCATTTTTGTTGAATGGACACTTGCATTCATTGGTATGAATATCAATCAATGGTTGTACAGTTTCATCGTCCTCTGTCTGCGAGGATTGACTTCTCAACCAAAAAGCTCGATCGAATGCCTTCAATAATTCATATTCTTGTTCACGATTCGTCATGAAGAGAGGGAAATTTTGTTTGATAAAACTCACAAACTCATCCAACAACGTGTGTGAAGTAAATTTGACCTTCTTATTTTTCACCAATTCTTTCAGAGCACGACTGGTTTGTGGAGATTCCTTAATAGCTTTTGCAATTCGATCATCGACATAGTAGGCCATATCGCAAACTCCCTTCTTCTTTAACTTGGTAATGTATTCTGCTAGAGGTGGATATCGTTCCAAAATATTTTCAAAATTGTCACCCAATCCGAGATATTCCAACATGTCAATTACAAAGTGTTGACAATTACAACTATCATTTTCATACAATTTGTATCCATTCCATACTGTACAGAGTTGAGCCACAGAGTCAATAGCTTCATTGACCTCTCTTTGACCTTCAATTCTAGCAATATCGACTGCAAACACTGCCTTACTACTACTCTTCTTTCGTACGGTAGACAAGCTCGAATCGTTCCACTCCAAATACCATGGACCAATAATGAGAGCTGTGTGAAACATTCCCCATCTGCTATTTTTCACAGTGGATGAGAAGGTATTTGCAAAACGTCTACAAATTCTGTGAAAGACTTCAGTGTCCATTTCTGTAATGACCAACTTGACTTTCAAAAAGGTTCCATGTTTGCCTCCATCTCCTCGTTGTTTCAGTCGATCTGGATTCAAGAATTTGTATTTAAATCTGTCAACAATGACCAAATCTTGTGCCAAAACATCAATCAATTCTGGTTTGATGGGATATTTCAAATTTTGAACCTTTTCAATTGCATTTTCAAAAGCTTGTTTTTGTTGAGCAGTGAGTTGATCAACCATCCATGCAGGACAATCCTTCACAGCAGATTCTGGAGCCGATGCATTACTTGTCGAAGCAGATGCAATAGTGAGAATTTGCAAACCACCACCTGCTGATTTTCTTCCAGAAGATGCTTCTACAAGAGGAGGTGCAATTTCTCCAGGATTATTTAAATCGTGTGCCAATCGAATGTCATCTTCTGCTGGAATGGCTGCTAAATTGGTAATATTACTTGACGAGGATGACTTGCCACCATTGGTTGTGACAGCACTATTCGTAGTAGTAGTAGTAGTAGTAGTAGTATTACTTGAAGTTCCTCCTCCTGTTTGTTCAATATCTTCCTCTCTCAAATTAGGAACCAGTAATTTCCCTTGTTGTTGTTGAATAATGGTTTGAATATAATTCAATTGGTGTTGTTTCATAGTGGAATTGGGAGAGGTTCCAAACATTTCGAGTGAATTGTGTTTTCCAGAAATGTCACTTCCATTCATGAGTAATACTTGACCATTTTGTCCACTTGTACTCGATGAAGAGTTATTATTTGAAATCACTGTGAAATTATTATTGGTCGAAGAAGAAGATCCAATGTTCGAATCACTGGTTGAAATGTCACTCGATGCAGAATTGACATTGACTGATATTCGATTCTTGGAAGGGAGAATATTCTTTTGAATTTGAGTATCAATCAATTCATGAATGAGAGTATAAAGTGCGCGTGCGGAACCACTGGCAAGTCCGAGTTTTTCCAAATCTTCAACTTTGGCACTTAACATGGAGAGACCATTCCATCGTTCGGTTCGTAATTCTAAAGAGTTGGTGAATGAGAAGGAATGCGGTGTCAAGAATGTGAATAGCCAGTTGTTATTGTTGTTATTGTTGTAGCAATCATGAAGTTGTTGTGTGTCGTGTCAATGAAGAAGAGTGTGAAAAAAGTTAAAATAAGTGTCGTGAATGAAGAAGAGTTTGGTGGACGGTTCGAAAATGGAACGTGCGGCGCAAATGACGATTCGAATCGATTCGAACGGTTGATGATGATGAAGATGACGTGGATCGTATGCAATATATTCATGAGAATGATGATGATTCGAGACATTATTGTGTGTTTCATAATGTTCAGAACATTTGTTGAAAAATCGTGTTCATGAATGGCACATGGATGATGAATATTGTATTTATACACACATGAAAGTCAGAAATATTTCAAACATCAACAATAATAACCATACAATAACAATGATCATCATAGGATGGGTCATCATTACGGAGATTCACAAAATATAAATTAATGAATTGACAACAACAACACAGTGTATAAAAAATCGTCGAAATTGTTTCATCATTCGAAAAAAAGAACGACACCACTTACTTTTAATATCCTTCTTTTCTAATTCAATCTTCTTTTTATTATCTCGTAAGAATTGAGTCAATTGTTTGGAGGACCATTGACTGACGGGTGTTTCTTCAAGGCTTTCGATCATGGCTGAATCAGCCTCTTGCCCGCTGTTCTTGATTTTGAGCCAACTGAAAGACGGCATTTTTTTTCGGTTGAATTTATGATGAAAGGTGACAGCCGTTAAAGGTTTGAGGAACAGTTTCAAAGGGACCAACTTAACAATTGGGAATGTGAAGGACGAAGAAAGAAATTGAGTAACGAATGTTGTAGTAGGTTGGAATTTGGTTGAATTTGACGTGTTTTTTACTACAATTTAACCTTGTAGTGACTTTTTATATGGTTGTTCTAATGAAGGGACAATAAAACATATGAAAGAGTGAATATCTTTATAGTTGCCGCAAATTAAAAGGATCTTCAAAATTTGTTGAAAATAAATAATGTAGGGGAGGGAAGTAATAGAGTGACTTGGACGAATGGTCATCAATCCTTTAAAAATCAAAATAGCTTTTGACATCAAAACCCTGAGATTGACTAAATGGTGTGTTGAGAATGTTCGTAAAGTCGTCTGTTGGTTTTGTAGTCGTCGTCGTCATGGAGTTTGTTGCATTGTCGGCGTCTGATAATTGTGACACAATTCTGGGTCCAATTTTTGCAAGAAAGTCTATTAAAATGGAGACCTCAACAGGATCTGAAGAAAAGTGTTCTGGAGATGCTGCAATTCGAGCTCTCAACAGCATGCTTTCAAGTATTCCAAAGATGGCGTCCTTTTTCGGGTTCTGTAATAAATCTACCACTGTGGCATAATTTTCATAAAAGCTCACAATTTCATTCTGTAAGGATGAATGGAGTGGCTCTCGAACTAACAGTGAATTAGAAATATCAGTAGCGTCAGTTGTATTGTTCATGTCTGCTGACGGTATTGCTGATGAGGAATCAACAGCAGTAGGTGTCTTTGTGATTTCTTCAGTAGAAGATTGAGTCTCTTTTGACTTTTTGGATTTGTTCTTCTTCTTTTTAGGCTTGGGAAACTGGGGCTCTTCTTCTAACTCTTCATTTGATTCCTCGTCTACCTGTTCTGAGTTGCCATCTGTGTCTTTTCGCTTCTTATCATTGTCCATCATCTTGTCAAATTTTAAGACACTGTTCAAGATGTGAACAGTTGCTGTTTTTTCAGTTGCTGATCGTTGTTCCAAGATAACCAAACCTAAATGAAAATTTGTGATGAGTGAAGCAATCTTAATCTTTTTGTAAACATCAAACTTGATAATATTTCGACTCTTCTTTCCTTTCATATTCTCTGTGCTGTACATGTGGAGTTTTGGTGGATCTGATGTTTCATAGAGATAGGCATAAATGGACATGTGTGGATCATTGGGTCCATAATAAAGAGTATTTTGTAAATCTGCAGTAATCTTGAATCGAATGGTTTTTCTGTGCTTCAAAATTCCTGTTTCAATGGCCTCATTCTCAACATCAGTTTCAACAGCAAATACTGAAGTTGGGGGAATAGGATCATCTAAGAGTGACCAATCGGTAGATGCGAGGTTAGACTTGGTAATAGCTGCTAATCGTTCAATATTTGCATCCGACGATGAAATTGATTCCATGAGTGTGACATGATGGAATTGCAAGTTATACGAGCATTCCACTTTTTTGTTTCTTACAATATGTTTTTTAGATGCAGATTCTTTTGATTTCTTCTTTTTCTTGGAAGATGATGGAGCTCCAGTTGTTGTTACATGATCATTCATTGATGAGCTTGCTTGCTGTTGTGAATCTTGAAATATTGGAGCATGTTGTTGTTGTTGTTGTTGATTACGGTTAAAATACATTAGGAGTATTTGTTCCAATTCTAATTGTTGTGGAGTTTTTTGTGAATGCTGGTGATTGACTTGTTCGCTTGTTAAAATTTGTTGTGAAGATGTACTGGTTGTCGTATTATTCAAACTTGTTGGAGGAAACATCATACCATTCATCATGGAAGCTTGTTGTGTTTGAAAATTAAACAGGTCTGAAATATTCGTACTGTTCCCAGCCACTGCATTCATGTTACTTTGAAAATGACTCAAGTTATTGTGTTGATTCATCATGATGTTATTATTGTTATTCAGAATATATCCTGTTGTTGTTGTTGTTGGATGTCCACCATTACTGTTGCTGCTACTACTCGTCGTGGTCGTGGTCGTAGTAGCACTACTACTACTATTCGGAGCATTAAAGTAATAATCATAAAAAGACTGATGAACCATCTCTGATCTTTCCAGAATTGCAATTCCAAACAAGATGGAACAACAAATTCAATCCGTAAAGGTGTTTGTGGGTTTGGGAGTGTTGATACCTTCTCCGAAAAAGATGTTTCTGATTTCGCGATGATGAAACAAAAAACTTTGTTGCCGTTGGTAGGAGCGGTGTTTGTGGAGAGCAAAAAATTATGATTTGTTTTCGTTACAACGCAATTTTTTTTGTGTTTTTTATGTGGTCCAATCGTTACGTTGGCATGCCTACGACGAAGAAGATTGTTGCAGATATCTGCTGCGAAATTCGTTAGACGTACAAAATTGAGAGGTTAAAAGTTTGTGGAAACTGAGTTGGAGAAATCATTGCAATTCATTTGTAAATACAACAAAATTGTTCTTCAACATGTTTTAAGAAGAGTAGTGTTTTTATTGAATTCAACACTCATTCCACTTGTTACTAACGATTTAGAGCGTGTGACATGTGCAACTTTATTACCTCTTATCTCGTCTGTCTCCTTGTTTCATTAACCTAAATTCCATTCGTTTTAAACCTTCATTAGAATTGAATTTTTGAAAAGAATTGGCAAGATAATACTCTGATCTTGATGGAAACTGTTGCTCATATCGAGAATTGTTACTCGAGTGTTGCATTGAGCCATCCTTGTTGTTCATGACTGTTTCTCAAATCGATAAGCTCCACTTTTGAATGTTGATCTTTGCATGTTCGAAACTTTTTCTGTCCTCCATTGTATCGATGAGAAGTTGCAGTCTTAGGCACATGAGGCGTTTCATATTTCACTTTCCCAGAACGAGTATCCAAATGCCACCACATGGACATTATTTTAGCTTAAAAGATCTTTGTGAGATCTTGTCCTTTTATTAATAATTCACAATATGTATAGGAGGGGGTTTTGAGATTGTTGTGAGCATATTATGGTAATGGTTGTTAAGCAATTTGCTTCATGGAACGCAATAGAGGGGGTTGGCGAAAAGGTGTAATTTCTGTCGCCTCCCCAGTTGCCATCATGCATGTGTCCTTACAACATGGTTGTTCCTTATGATCAGTTTTTAGAAAATGCTCAACGCGGAGAGAGCTCTCTTCTATAGCACTCTTGCAGACTTTGCTTTACAAGATGAGTGTCCTCGGAATGAATCATTCACATTCGTTGTTGCATTCTTCAAAAGCCTCGTCTGTTAATTCAAAGATTTCCCTCATTTGATAAAAACCTTCTTTTGGGTGGTTTCGATGCCACTTTTTATGATTTCTTGCTTCTCGTAGATTCATGTCTGCTTGTTGCATGACATTCTGTTCTCGTCTCTCTTCATGCCTCGAAGCAATAAATTCCAATCGTTCATAACCTTCGACAGAATTATAGTTATGATAACTATTAGAAAGAAAATTGGGAGCTTTGGTTGAATGTATTCGTTCATCAATCAAGAAGACCGATGAGTGATGAATCTTTTGATCAGTGGCCATAAGGTTGTTATTCCATTCGGTTATCACTTGCAATCTTTCGATATTGTTAGAAGATGTATTGTTTTTTCGAAACTTTTTCCGTCCTCCATTGTATCGATGTGAGGTTGATGTTGTTTTCGGAACGTGAGGTGTTTGATTTCTAACTTTACCTGAGCGAGCATTGATGCCCCACCAACCCCATTTGGACATTTTTTTTGTAAGTTGAAATTACAAAACTGAACTAGAAAATCAATTTCAAATTGCGACTGATGGTTTGGAGAGTCATTACATCTATCATAATTCTGATTCAAGTTCTCTGAGAGTTCTTGAAAACCATAATAATTCCACTCAGAATTGTTGATGGCTGTTGTATTTGGTGAGCACATCCCAACAACTTTCGGTGGAGATGCTCTTTACAAGGTAGATGGTAACGCGAACCTACCTGGTGAACGGTAGGAATGTTCTTGCTACAAATTGCACGAGGAATGTGCAAAAGATCAAGTGGCCACCCTGTTAACAACAACCCATAGGAGGTTGTTGATGTCCACGAGGTACTATGGTATCGTTCCACGGAGGGGTAAAGAGCTCTCCATTTTACGAGTTGCTTTGCAATCCTGAACTCAATATTTCAAAAGAAATTTTCAACAATAGAGAGCTTATAATCGTTGAAAGAAATAAAATGAAATGAAATTGAAATGTGTTTTTTGTGTTTATAAGTTTCTAAAGAAATGAAATGAAATCGAAAATTCCGCAGCAAAAAAATATTTCGTCATGCCAGCAACTTCCGACACAGCATCAAGCCCACTCTCTCGCTTCGCTCAACCTACTCAATCATCAAGTCAGCCCGTACAAAGCAACACAGGACCCAACCTCACATCATCAACATCGGAACCATCTACCCAAAATTCTCCTCCTTCAAGCCAAAAAAGAAAGAGCAAAAGAAAGTCAAATCACCAACAGAGTTCTCAATCAAGTCAGCCGAACAGCCAAATTTTACAGAATTCCCAATCATCAAGTCAGCCCGTACAAAGCAACACAAGATCAGTATCCAACTTAGCATCACAATCACAATCAGAACCATCTACACAAAGTTCTACTCCCACAACTAAGACAAAGAAGAGAAAAAACAACAATCAAACTCCACAAATCACTCCGAAGAAAAAGAAAATCACAAAGGAAGAATCTCAAACAATTGCTAATGTATATGCTTATCATTCTGGTGATTGGACTAAATTCTTTAGTGACATAAGCTCTCTAGTATCAATAAAATCGATTTCCATTTCATTTCTTAAGAAATTTATAAACGCTCGCACAAAAATGAAATGAAATTAATTTTGATTTTCAATTTTCAGACCATCCACCCAAATCACGAGACTCATTTTATTCCGTATAAGCTCTCTAATGATCCATCTTTTGCTCTTTGATTTCAAACAAGGAGAGTTTCAAACAGTCCTGAATTTTAAATTTCATTCGATTCTATTCAAAAGCTGAAAACAATTATTATTACAACACCTAGCTCAGGAAAGTTGTGTCACTCTTTTGTTTCAGGAACTGACAACAAGTGAACAATTAATTGATCATAGTTCATTGTTCCATTTTCAACACAAAAAAAAAATGTCGAATGATGATGACCGGGCATGGTCCGATCATGACAGCTCATCACCATGCAGCGACGACGATACAGACATGAACCCCAAACCAAGAAATGAAGGTACTGGTAGGTACACTATATGATCGGGCTTGGTATATTGACGTAATGAACTTGGAACTTTGATGATCCATTTCAAATACAAACACAATATGGATGCAGATGACCAACCACTTCCTCCTGAACTCAAAGTACAACCTGCCATGCCTTTTTCTTATCCAAATGACACTATTCCGAATCATGGTTCAACCAATATTGGTAATAACAACAACAATATTCAACTCCATGACGATGATCATCGTGTCGACTCAAATTCGAGTTCATCCGCACAAGCAACAACATTACTCATCAATAACAACAACATTCCGAATTATGGATCCGAAACCAATCATGCAGTAGTACCAATTCCAATACCAGTGCATCAACAACGTTCTCAATCGACATGGGATCATGATGAGTTAATGAAAGGATGGATTGTGAAATATACGTACAGTAATGTACCGCCAGAAGTATTGGTTGAAATTTTCAAATTTTTGGATATTTCTTCCTTGTCCATGTAAGTCACGGGAGAGAAACATGTTGTTTTTTGGAGATTTAAAGTATTTATTATGATGATTGATGACATGTGTGAACAATTGTTGAATGAATGAATTTTTGAATTCAAGGTGCTCTCTTGTGTCACAATCATGGTATTATGCAACATTGCATGATGCCTTGTGGGAGCCATCGGTGAGGAAATTATTCTACAATTTTAATGATCAGGAAGGAAATTGTAAGTAGTTGATTTCATTAAGAATCTACAACAAACATGAATTTATCTCAATTGCATTCAATTTTTTGTTCATTGTGAAAAACAATAGTCTACACCATTGACGTGGGTCGAATGAATAAGCGATATGGAAAGCCAATTCCACCTCCACCACGTCCAAAGAAAATTGAAGATTATGTCACCATTGAAAATGGTAAAATTATTTCGTATCACACTTTGAGAGCTCTCAACATCGAGCAAGGAAAAAAGAAGCTCGATTCAAAATTGAGAAGAGATCGAAAGGAATATCTTCGAGCTAAAATGCAAGAACATTATGAAAATATGAATAGGTGAGTTTTATATTTACAACTGTGTGAGTGTTGTAAAATTATTGCCAATAATTTTATGTGAAATTGTTCCACGTGTAAAATAATTATTTAATATTCACACACACACACACAGTTTGAGATATCGATACTTTTTTGGATTCGCCACTCTTGTTTACATTTCCCTATTTCTATTCCTTTGCATGGTTGCTGTCAAGGATGCAATTCCTACCGATGTCATTCCTAACTGGCATCAATATTCATTCATTCCACTATGGTTTTTCTTTATATTTGGCTTTGGACAAATATTTTTCGTAGCTTACATGTACGGCAATGCTCGAGATGTTCAAATATTAATGATGTGTGGAATTTTATTATTGGTCTTACTAGGAGGATTATCATCAGCAATTTTATCATTCCTTAATTTGGCTGTTTTACCTGCGACCTATAATTTTGTGACACGAGCATGGGAATATACCATTTCATGGTTTATCATTCTCATCCCTGCCTATATTTTCATACTCGTAATGTTTATTGGAATGATTGTCATTGTAGGAATTGTTACTATTGAAGATTGGTCCAATCATCAACCTTGGAAAAAGTCATTACGACATTTTGCAACAAGCATGTATTTCTCAACTCTTAACATGTTCATGATTTGTGCTGTCATCATGATTGGGTTTACATTGGAATATCCAACTTACTTTGCAACGTTTTGGCCAGGAATTTTAGCACTCATTGTATCGTTTGGTTTTGTTTTGACCACAGCCAGATTCCTTTGGAAGGAGAGAAAGAATGAATACTCTTCTGATAGATACATCATGTCATTTGGTTTGATCTTTTTCATTTGTTTGTGTATTAATATTATTGTGGTTGGTTTGTATCCATTTTTATTGAGCTATTCATGGTTCAGCAGTTTACTTCCTCTCACGGCTGCTTATGCCTTTGTGTGTAGAATCATTTATGAAGGTTAAGACGTGTGTATGTTGTGATTATTAAAATATTCATGTCATTAGACCTTAAATATAATGGACTCAACTGGAATCAACCTGAGGCAATATCATTTGTCATGCTGAGTCAAAAGATTCATATTATGAACAGTAAGTGGGCATAATGTATTGTACCAGAAAATCGATCATGTGGAAGAATTCTTGCATTCTTGTTTGTGAACACATCTCATTGCTGAATCTCTCCCGAAATTAATTGTTTTTCTACCAGTCGTTTATAAATTCCTCCCAATTGCATCAATTCTTCATGATTACCTTGTTCTGCCACTCGTCCATCATTAATGACATACACACGATGAGCATTTCGAATCGTAGACAAACGATGAGCAATAACCAATACAGTTCTCCCTTCCATCAATCGTTGCAATGCTTCCTGAACTAAAAATTCAGTATTCGAGTCGAGAGAAGCTGTCGCTTCATCCAAAATCAAAATCTTTGGATTTTTCAAAATGGCTCTAGCAATGGCTATGCGTTGTTTTTGTCCACCACTCAATTTCAATCCACGTTCTCCTACGAGTGTGTCATAACCCTCTGGAAATCCCATAATAAATTCATGAGCATTTGCCTTAATGGCAGCATCTTGAATTTCCTCAAGCGTGGGTTCTGTTCGATTCGAATTGGACATTCCAGATTCCCATCCATAACAAATATTCTCTCGAATCGAGTTGGAGAAGAGAGTTGGTTCTTGTTGTACCACTCCAATGTGTTTTCTCAAAAAATTGGTATCGAGCTCACGAATAGACATTCCATCGAGAGTAATTTGTCCATCATTGGGATCATAGAATCGTTGCAAAAGAGAAGCAACAGTGGTTTTACCTTGTCCGGATTTACCAACGAGAGCGGTCACTGTTGAAGGAACTAGTTCAATTTCGAGTCCTTTCAATACGGATTGAGTAGGTCGAGAAGGATATGAAAATTTCACATTATGGAATTGAATGTGGCCTTCAATTTCATGAAAAGGAGAGTCATCAAAATCGCCCTCTTGTTGCGAATGTTCATCCTTCTTGTCATTCTCATGAACCACACGTTGTTTCTCAATGGTTGGCTTTTGTAAAAGTAATTCGTGAATTCTTGCAGTGGCTCCCATTGCTTTCATTAAATCAAAAAAGATGGAACTCACCACTCCCAAACTCGAAGCCACATAAAACGTATAAACAATAAATGATGTCAATAATCCAATAGTAATTTCTTTGGAAAGAACAAGACTTCCTCCATACCACAGCACGAGAATGACTGCTGAGCTCGAGCAAAACATCATAATTCCACTGAACACTCCTCCTGAAATTGCCAATTTTCGAGCCAATGTTAACGTATTGTCAATCGAAACATTATATTCAGAAACATGAAAGGATTCTTTTGAAAAGGATCGAACCGTTCTCAAGTTGGAAAACGACTCTTCTGCTACTTCGGCACTCTTGGCCAATGCATCTTGAACCTTTCGTGATAATTTCTTCACAATTTTGGCATAAATGATAGCTCCAATGATGAGAGGAGGAACAATGGACAAGGTCACGAGCGTTAATTTCCACGATGTGTAAAATAAAAATCCAACACCACCAATGGCCTGTACCGTATTTCTCAAAAAGATGAATAAATTTGAAGTCACTGCATTTTCCAATGATTTTGTATCGGAACTCAATCGATTCAACAATTCTCCCGTCTTGGTCACGTCAAAAAAACTCACATCTTGTACAATAATATTTTCAAATAAATCTTTCCTTAATTTGGCAACCACTCGCTCTCCTGCAAAATTAAAACAAAAATGTTTAATGGCCGTGGTGAGTCCAATACCACACACAATGGCCAACAAATAGAGAGCGGCTCGATTTAAATAAGCCTGACCTTCTTCATGGTTCGTTTCACCACTTGGCAGATTGGAATTCATGGTCGATGGAATGACATCAACCAATTGAGTTAAAAAGAGTGGTAGCACGAGAGAGAGGCCAGTACTAATGAGCATGGAAATGGTTCCGATCAGTAATAATGGCCATTGTTTCATTCCCAAACCAAAGAGCCATTTCAATTGGGAAGAATTGAGAGAGGAGAAGAACTTTTTGATCATGGTTATGGGATTCATGGGTGTTGTTGGTGGGTTATTGTTATTATTATTCTGATCCGAATCAATCTCATTGTTGTTGGAATGTCCTTCATCATGATGATGGTCATCATTGGAGGAACGATAGGGTTGGATAGAGGACCGATCGGAATGATTCAATGTGGACTTGTCGTCATCATGACGATCGTCTTCATTGAATGATGATGATGGATAGTTGGCTGAGGTTGGATAGGAAATTTGATGCTGACTTTTTGCAGTCGGAGCATGTTCGTCGAGTTCTAGATTCATCCTGGTTGTGTTGCACGAAGAAGACACCAATATCCTCAATTTTTTGTTCGAAAGCGAGCGATTGACTAGCGCACTGAAAATTATGTGCCAGTCATGCAGGAGAATTGCGCTTGCGCAGAAATGATTCGAAAATAGGTCAATTTAAAGGCTCAGTTTATGTTTACGTTGAATGTGCGCCTTGTTCTAAAGCTTGCGTTTGGCAAATTCAAATTGATAGGTAGTCATCATATTGGATGCTTTTGTTGGCATTGCTTTAGCTTCCTTAACACTGTTGTTACCAATCTTGATGGTATCAAAGTTACTTTGTGAGGGTTGTTGTCTGGAAGCACCAAAGTCTTGAGTTGCCTTTCCTCTTGCCGATGGTGGAACAACCCTTAAATTTTCTTCCATTGGTTGAATGTCAAAGTCACAAGCGCTATACACTTCGAAAATAAATTCTCCCTTTCTGTTGCTGTACAATGTGCATGGAGTAATTACATAATCACCTTGATCCAAATCAAGCTCAATGGCATTATATCTTCCATACACTGGGAATTGCATGAGCGCATTGGGAGAGTTATCGGTAGGCAAGACTTTATAATTGTTGTCTGTGCCCTTGTAAACGGCAAAACCAATTCCACTTCTGTAATATTGTGCATCGGCATCAAGTGAAAGGTAAGCTCTGTAAATAATGAGGAAATACCTTCCACTCTTTTGAGCTGTCAAACGGAAATGAGGATTCTTGGCAAAGGCCATATTGTTGGTCATTCCACCTTCAGAAAACGAAATGATCACTGTCATCCATCAATGTGACATAAATTACAACAACTTACCTGCAGTGTCATTATCCCATTGACCTTTAAGCTTCTTTCTGTTCCATGAGGCACTTGGGAACGAAAGCTTGTTATTGGGAATTTTGTATTTCGGATCGCTTGACATGCTCAAAATTGAGTCGTTGAACAATCTGCAACAGGTAATCTTGTCAAAATGGGTGCAAAAGTCTTTGAATTCCATCCAAAAGATGCCGTCTGCTCTAACCTCCTCTCCCATTTCTTTCTTGTATTGGAAGGTCCAGTTACGACTTGTGTCGCTCCAAGCTCCTTTCCACTATTCATTTGAAAAAATGTTCAGTATTTGAGAATTGGAATGGATGTATTTACATACCTCTGCATATCAGATTTAGTCGAAATTAAGAAATTGCACCCAAACGGTGATTATGAATCGTTTTTGTTTGAATGAGACTTCAATCCATGCAAGCGTACTTACCGAAATCGTTGGCCCAAGGATTCTTGAGCTTAACGAGCTTGTATTTCTTGTCACTTGTTTCTCTAACGTCAAGAATAGAGTAGGCATGACCGGCAACAAGACCCTTGGCCTCATTCGCTTGTTCACCTCTGTTGCTACTAATGCTGGTACCCATCATTACGTTTTCTGATTTATAAAGTACTAGCTTTTCCCATAGTCTATCCTTTCTCCATGGTTGTTTACCTGGGTTTTGAGACCAATTATTAATGTAAAGTCTTTCAGGTCTTCCACCGGTAAGCAACACGACTGGGGACATTGAAAAATAAGTATTAATTAGGACAAGAGGCTATGAATAAATTAAGAGCACTGAACATACCTCCTTCCTCAAGATAACCACCATCAAGGGCTTCATAGGACCCAAGGAGCTTGGCACACGCTTTTTCTAAAATACTGATCCAGAATTCGTTCTTAGAGGTACTGTGTCCATAGCAGGGAAGTCCATCTCTGCCACAAGGGATTCTGTCATCAATTGTGACGTTTTGCCACTGACTCTCATAGTATAATCTGACAACATATTTTCCCTCAGTTTCGTTGGTCTCAACAAACAATTTTTGAAGTACCTCTGGATATTGTGCAACAACAGCCATTGCGCTCAACAGCCAACAATCTCCGAGTTGACCTTGTTCAATATCGCTAGGATTTACTGAGTCTACGAATAATGAACAGTTCTTGCACCACTGACTAGGACGTTTCCATGATTTACATTCAGCTACATGATCTGGAAGCTTATCTCCATCGGGCTATGATCATTGAGAATTATGGTGTGGTAAGTAGGAACCATCAGGTTGAATTCGATCATCAAGATGCCGTTCGGAATGATACTTACCTCAAAACAAAGGGATGAATTATCGGCAGGAAATACTTCATCAACGAATACCATGTTGCAATAAAAGAAATGAATTTGGCGAGCAGTAATTAGATTGTTTTTTTTTTGAAATCCGTAACAAGAGCCAGTTGTAATTTTTGGCGGCGTGATTGGAGCTGAGATAAAACATTCGAGTTCATCCTTTCGAATACATGGATTCACTCCTTTCTTGTGATAGGAATAGGGAATAATCGAAACTGAAAATGGCAAGATTCAGAAAGGCATTGCAATGCTTCATTGTAAAGTCCATCAACAATTTTTTTCAAACAAAAAAACTCAAAACTTGGTTTAAGCAAAATCATCATCGTTTTTCACACGCCATCATTTCCCGAGCTTTCAATTTGATTTTTTCATTCCTACAGTACTGATATATATTGATAGCTAGCGTGAAATTATAAAGCTTGTAGCGTGTTTCAAACATACTTCATCACCCTCGCCCATCTCAAGCTCATCAAAGTTTCATTTTGTCATCTTTTACACTTTACACGCACGACCCGAGAGAAGAATTCAATTGAAACTTTCTCTCATCATCAAGCCATATTTCTGCATAAGCATGATGCTTCATCATCCCAATGTCGACCTCACCCCAAGCATCACGATGATGAGTCATACGGAACTTTCCAAAAGCAGCGATACATAGCAAGACTGGCCAGCGAAAGTGAACTCCGGGCTTCAGGGACACGATTTATGTCCCTCGAAAAAAAAAAAGTTTCTGTAGAGAACCGGCTTAACGCTGGCAAAGAAAAATCTTGAAATTGAAGCTTCCAAGTTCACTGTTCTGTCAATAGAGAGCCCAGCGACAGGAGTTGGCGACCAAATCCATCCAGCAACCCGCTCTGTTGGCTTGTCTTGCTATGGTAACAACAATATGGACAATGGAAGGCTTTTTTCTGATGGCTGTTCCAAAACTGTCCACAATGGCAACAACAACATGTTGAATGATGATTGTACAAGCCAAAATACTGGTAGTAGTAGTAGTAGTAGTGATAGCACCAACCATTACCGTTCCACGAGTGGATTATCCCTAGAAACGAGCACGTCTGCTCTGGTAGGTACCTCACCCAAAAGCTTGTGCTCTTCCATCATGAAAGTCATGGAAGGAAATGCTGAATTGTTGAATGATGGAGATTTCAAAAAGGGCGTGAGTGGCACCACTCAGCCAGTGGTACCCATTGGTGTTTCAACCATACAAGACGACAGGGTCGCAAGTTCAGAAAGTTCTCGAGCGAGTGGTTCTGGCATTCCGACTTTTAGCTCACCCTTCTTTCCTCGTGCACCATCCGGATCAGGTAACAGTGCCACTCATGATAAAGCAGCTGCTTCATCGGGAGTGGCCTTTCTTGCGCCTCCCTTTGCCAGTACTAGTGGTAACAATCATTTGGGAATTAAGGCCACCAATAGTGATCCAACTTCTTCCTCAAACATACCTATTCAACCACTAGGCCATCATCATTCAACCCAACCAGCCCAGGGCAATAATAACCACATGTCTTCTTTGCACGGTACACCATCGCAAGTTGTTCCAACAGAGGTTTTAAAACCTAGTCCCGTTCGAACGACAGCCTCTTCCATTTTGGCTCCAAAGATTGGTCATGCTTTGGAGACTTCCTCGCATTCAACTTCTAGTAATGGTTCTTCAAGCTCGTCAGCCTCAGCACTTGCAGGAACTGCTAGCATCAACAACAACAACCGAATATTTCCACCACCACCACCACCGCTAGGATTTGGAACAACAAGTGCGATGAACTCCAATAGTTTGCAACCAAGTGTTTCAGGTTTCCCAATGCTTCCAGCTTCATTAACTACGCCTTTTCCTCCTTCATCCATGTCATCATCACTCCAAACTCAAACCTCCATGATGTTCAATGTACAACAACCATTTCCTGTCCAGAATTCCTTAATTAAATCGTCGTCATCAGTTGAAACCACTTCTCAGAGTAAAGGTAATTCACTCAAAATTGACACCACAAGAAATAGCAAAAAGATCCAAGAACAATACGAATCTGAGAAAGATTGTAGTGATGATGATGATGATGGTGATTCAAGCCATGATGACGATGGTGGGGACTATAGTGATCAGGAAAGCGCATCCTCTCGTTCGTCAAGACAAAAACATCACTCAGGAGGTCACAACAGTCAAGAGGATGAAGAACCCACACGAAAAAAGAAGGAAGACCCAACAGCACAAAAAATTCAACCAGGTAGCCGCCTTAATAGCCCTCATCAGTCACAAAAAACTTTTGTTGGTGGTAGTAATAGCAACATGTTGGGAATATCGCCATTTCCACCCTCTAACGCTACAAATAAGACCTTTCTTGGTACCACACCAAAGAAAGCAGCTGGTGGAAGTGTTACTGGATCAGCAACAACGATGACGACCACAACAAGTACAACACCACCGCCACTCTCTCATCACTCAAGTGCACTGAACCTTGCAGTGGCAACACAGTTGCAACCAATTACAACCAAGAGCACTGAAGCTCCTTCCAAGAAAAAGCGTAAGGTACAAGTCAACAACAACACCACAAATGCACAACAGCCCAATTTAGTAGCCAGCTCCAAAACATCATATCCCACAGCAGATCCCCTCAATTCCTCAAGCAACAACACCATTAGTGGAAGCAACATTCCATTTCCAATAGCACATTCTCCAATGAATTCCTTCCTTCCATTTCCTCCTCCAAGAAACGCCGTTGACACAACACCCACTCTCACCAACAGCAATAACATATCATCTCCCTCTACCCCATCATCAACGATGAATCAGGTTCCCACACATCACCCAAACAGTAGTAGTATGTTCGTCACACATGCCACAGCAACAACAGCAAGTCTTTCACTGGCGCCTTCTCTTGCGCCTTCCACTAGCATTGTGCATTCTGCTCAAAGCAACAATAATTCATATACTTTTTCTACATCAAACGCTTCTACGAATAACACTCCAAATTCCATTGCCATTCCTCCTCCTCCATCGCTACCACCTCCTCCCTTCACAATAACAGCATCCTCTCCCATCATGATAACATCATCTCCAGACCAAAAAAGCCACAATCGAACCTTAGTTGACTCACCAACGATTATAGGGCCTGAGAAGAAAGCTAAAGCCTCTCCTCTAGGGTCTACGCAAATATCCTTCAAACTTTGGCTCAAAACATTGGACACTCTTTCGATATCCAAATTAAAACTTGTTCAGGAAAAAGTCAATCGATTACTCAAGGAAAAGGAGAATAATGAGCCACTTGCTTCTACTAGTGTTGCTGTGGATCTTAAACAAGAAGAGGTTCCTGAAATTTCCAAAGACCATGACACACCTCAAGAATACACACCAAACTCTCAAGATAGCCTCATTACAGCCACAGAAGGAGTTTTTGAAGAAAATGAAGCAGCGGCGCTTCTCTCTCGTGGAGGGATGTCATCAATTGACACTCTACTTAGCGTAGCCCTTTCTGACTATACATCACAAAAAGAAGACAACTCTTCGTCCAGAAGCACAAAGAAATTTTCGATTGTGTCGCCACCTTCTCCTTTTCTTCCTCCGTTCCCTTCTTCAAAGAGTAGTACTATGAAGATGGTCACCAAATCCCTTACGTCTGATGACGATTCAGATGCTGGCTTTTCTGTTGAGTCTGAAACTCTTCAAATTGAGGGAAGGCAAGTTGAGCCATTCGTGAGGGAATATAAGGGCCACGGATTCCTCTATCCAGGACGACGAGGACTTAAATCACAGCAAGTGAAAGCTCCTCTATGCACTTTCCCTGGTATGAGAAACACTATTTTAGATACTGACAAGGGAGGTGATTCTCCGACCTTTGTTGAAGGCGAAGATATTGTCAATCCGGTGATAGATTTAGAACATCACTTGGAATTCTACATTCCAGACAAGGATATGACTCTTTACAACAATGTGAGAGCTTATGGGTTATCACTTCTCAAGAGAGTCGACAGAAATTGTTATATTGAAGAGAGCAAAATTCTCTTGGCTCGAAAGCCTACCATTCAATCCAAATCTTCAAGCTATTCTTTTGAAAATGAGTACTCGCTTTCTATTGTAGCTCATGAAGAAAAAGAATACCCTTCCGCAGATTATTCTATTCTACTCATAGAGACTAGAGGCAAAAAGAGAAACGTCAACGTCTCTGAGGAGGACAAAATTTCCAGATATTGCGAAATATCACACGACTACATCAATAAGCAGACGAAATTCAGAATTGGTTTCAGAATATGTAAGGCTCAAAAAAAGAAGCACACAAAGGGCATTTACTTGCTTCGATTAGTGGCATTTTTACGTGATCCTGCTGTTGGTGACGCCTCTTCTCCAACATCATCACCATCCTTATTCGAATCAGCCTCACCCGATTTTGGAATTAAAAAGGTTTTAGAGGAGAGTGACATGTTCAAAATTGTATCGAGAAGGTCTGTCGTTGAGAGAACAAGAATGAACAAGAGAAAAAAGAGTAGCAATGACGAAGAAGACGAATCACCAAGTTCCAATCAATAGAGCTTCCAATAAAGGAGTTGAGGCATAGTCCCGTAAATTTTCGACAATACTTTTGTACAACAACGAAAAAAAAACTCAACCCTCCTCTCTCGCTGTTAGTTCTCTTTCGGCACTTCCGCGTGTACAGTTCTTATTGTAAATATTAAAAAGTAGTAGAACATCGTCATCATGAACCAAAGTATCAAAACAACCTCCTCATCGAGCTCAAAAAAGACAAGTCAAGGAATTCCTCCTAAATTCATTGTAGATGATCGTGGACATATCATCAATAAGGAAAAGCATGCAGTTCCGAATTCTTCATTTCCCGATATACGAGAACCTCTTTGTCAAAGTAATTTCAATTTTACTCCAGTTGGATTCACTGGTTTTGGTGTACGTTCCAACCACGTCATACAAGGAGTGAGGCCCGAGCTTCAAAATACAGTCGATCATGCTCATCATTATCTCCACAAACATGAAAATCAAAAATCATTTGGGCATTCGACGATTAGAAAAAAATAATCCAATAGGATAATTGTGGCATGGTCACAATTAGGTTGGAATAAATAAATATGATCATCATATTATTGAAAATTAAATCTAGTAGTGGAAATCTAGACATTTTATCAAAATTTTGCTACTAATACAGAGATAATGATTCGTGAATTTAGTGCTTCTTGTGACCAGCTTCCTCAAATCCCAAATATCTCTTTACCAATTCATAGACTCCAAAAGTGACACCATGAGCAGGAATTCCCTAATTGGATTGAAGTTTTGTAACCAACGTGCATGTACGTTTGCGAAAATTTCGAAATAAATTCCATAAATTTCAAAATGTCACATTCATTGGATGGTTATCTCACAATAACTTACCTTCATCATACTTGGTACAAAACCCTTAAACAAAGCTTTGGTTCCTTCTTGTTGAATAATTTTAACAAACGCGTCCATCATTCCTGTATACGTAGTCGCAGTGGCCACTTGTCCATGCACATTGGCTTTCAAATTCTTTTTAGTGACTACCAATTCATGAGCTCCTTGCATGATCATTCTCGTTTTTACCACATGAAGTGGATAAAACAATGTTTGACTCAATACCGATGATGCACTTCCACAAAACATTAATCCTCCAATACTTGGTTGACCATTAGGGCTATGATTTACAAGAACTTGTTTCATGGCATCATAGGTCATGAGTGAAAATCCAGATGTCCAAATCGTATTTAGAATATTTGGAACAAGTCCTCTAAAGAACGGCTTGATGGGTCCCTCGTTTTTAGCAATTTTGAAAATGGCGTCAAACATTCCATTGTATTCACCAGTTGGAGCTACAGAAAGTCTTTTCAAATTTCACACACACCATAAACATTTTCAAAATATTCACACATACACTAAAAAACCCTCAACACATACCTTGTTTTCACAACTTCCAAAGGATACAATGCCGTATGACAAATCACACCCGATGACGATCCAGCAATAAATGTAATCACATTCGAAGACTCTCCTCCATTCATTTTGGTCAACATGGATTTCACTTGTTCAAAGGCAGCATATTTAATTGCCTTTTCTGGAGCTGATTTGATAATATTCACACCATTTCCTCGAAATAGACCTTTCACTCCTCCTTCTGTGTAAATTTCTTTGAGTCCCATCCACATGGAAGGTGGTTTTTTCGTTTGAACTTGATAAATTACTTTTAAACGTTCCATAGGTGCTGTCACGGTTTTACTGATGGCACCTGCGAGACCACCGGCAAGAACTGCCTTACTTGAATCAGTGATATTTCATACATGAATGGTAGGAATGGTATTTTTCATAGTAGTAGAGTTAGTTGGTCATGTGATCACAAAAAATAGTTGGTGTGAAACATAGTCATGCCAATAAAATATATATGAAAATATGGTTATTATTATCGTATATGAATGAATGGCTGAGAATTTTAAATGTCAACACCTACCTTGCATTATTTAGAAATGAAAAAGGTCCTCTCAAACTCACTGCAGCTTGTTCTTGCAAATTCTTTCCTGACACGAGAACCAAATCGACATCGTCACTCAACAAGGCACTTGCTTCTCTCCAATATTCAACCACAGATTCGAGAGTGACTTCGGGAACGAGACACAACATGTCTCGAAATTCTTCAAAGGAAATTTCTGCATCACGATTCACATCCATTCGATTTAATAATTTTTGAACAAATTGTTGATCTGTAACAGTGTTACGAGAAGTATCACCACCAGCACCAGCACCTCCTAATTTGTAAACTTTTTGAATGCCTTGCATCATTTCGTTGGCATCGAGTTTTCCGTCGTGATTGGTATCGAGTTGTTGAAAAATTAATTTTAATTCATCATAGCGATGAGTGAGAAAGGTTGAAAATTCTTCGAAGGTAATCGATTGATCGTGATTCGTGTCGATCTGTTGGAAGATTTTGAGGAGATGACGGGAGGGAAGTTTTAATTCGTGTGCAGCTTGTTCGAACTCTGAAAGTGTTAATTGGCCATCGTGATTGCGATCGAGCTTGTGAAATAATTCTTGAAGAGCTTTCTGATCGACTGGTGAGGAGGGAGGGTTCATTGATGATGAGGAATGGGTTGTGGCTTGATGACGATCGTTTTGAACTGATTTGTTGTTGGCCATCAGTAAATTTTTTTGTCTGAAAACAAGCAGAGGGATCAAACGTCACGTATCAAACGTTCATTGGCGGCAAATTTTTTTTTAGAATTTTATTTGAAGTTGGATGTCGCTTAAAGTTCGAACTGCCAAGCTCAGCACAAAAATGTTGTGTAAGTGTCAATTTATTTAAGCTTCACAAAAATAAGTGTAGAGTTGTCACCAAAGTAGCTCTCGTACTTAATTTTGCAAACAAGTGGTGTGTACAGCCATGATTGTGGGGAAGGTGAAAATTGTGTGTGTTGGATATCGCGAGTTTTGGGAGTCAAAATTAAGCAGTGTGGCAAGTGAGAGTATAATTCTTGAAACCAGTGGCAATAGTGCAATAACTTCCTCTGGTAGCAGTTTCCAAATTCCAAAGTTTGACAGTTCGGTCATAAGAACCGCTGCACAACCATTGATTTTGATAAGAGACGAGACATTTCACAGCATCAGTGTGTCCAATAAGTTGTGACTCTCTGTTCCATGTTTTTGGATCATAAATAGAAATGGTTTGATCCTTGCTACCACTGCACAACATTCCTTTGTGATAGCACAATGAGAGAACACCATTGGTGTGAGCTTTGATCTGTTTCACAAACTTGGAACCTGATCTAATATCCCAAATTCTAATATAACCATCATAGGTTCCTGCAACCAAGGTATTATAGGTTGGATCATAAACCAAAGACAAGACAAAGCTTTGATTTTCCAATGTGAGAGTGTTTTCAAAATTAGGACCAGACCAAACCTTAACCTTCTTGTCTCCAGAGCCACTGAAAAGAGTAGTATCACTTGCACACAAAACATTAATCCAATCATTGTGAGCAGGAATACACTTGACACATGTAGCCTTTTCAATGTCCCATGCTCTAATACGATGAGAATTGCCATCCTTAGAACCGCTAATCAATGTTCCATAAAAGCTGCACAAGGCACCGACCTTTCCTTCACAGCCAGCCAACACATGTTCGCATTCTCCAGTATTAAAATCCCAAGTGCGAATTGAGTTGTCGCCAGATCCACTACAAATCTTTCCATTATGACTATGCAAAGCAGAGACAAATCTTGAATGCCCCTTGAGAGACAAGTAATAATCTGTCAATGCATGCTTATCAAATCCTCTCTTTGCATGCTGTTGCTGATTGTCTTGAGCTTGAGTAAACTCTTCACGGGAAAGGTCATACACTTTAATAGATCCAACACCACCTCCGCTCAACAAGTACACAATTTCATTTCCAGTACCGTTGCGATGAATAACTTGTGAAGTTCCAGAGGCGTTGGGCAATTTAGGAGATTGTGACTTGACTTGTTGCATCGCTGCTCCATTGCTGAGGTCACTTAGAGTTGGAGTACTGCTTGCGGTGCTAGCGCTACTACTGCTAACACTGCTTGCAGCACTTTTTGGTGTGATAGCAATTGAACTGTTAAAATAAAGATTATTGGGAGAAGGTGTAGTAACAGGAGTGGTGAACATCATTCGTCCATTATTGTTTGTAATGGATGGAGTAGTAAAAGGAGATGTAGGACCAACAACACCATTGTTATTGTTGTACTTTCTTGGATTTGATCCAGAGCTTAGTGGTGTTGTAGAAATTGGAGATTCCATACCGATTGGCATTCCATTCATGGGCATCATTCTATTTGGTGACATGGTCAAATCTTGATTCAAAGTGCTTGGGAAGAGAGTGTCCATGTTGGAAGGATTATTGTTCATACCTCTATTTGGTGTTGCTAATACGCTCAATCGATTGGTTTGCATGAGATTAGTATTTGGAGCGTCACTACCATTTGAACCAAAGCTATTACTTCTGTTGTATCTTCCTGGAGTGTTTGTGACGTTGGCTGGAGTTGGTGATTTTCTTGGAGAAATCAACAATTGTTGAGCAGGATTGGTCATGAGAGAATATTGAGAAATTGATGAGCCATTCTCTCCGACATAGCTTGATCCCATAAATGGTTGTGAATTGATGCCATCATTAAAACCAACTGCACTACCTCCAGTACCCACAGCTGACCATGAGGAGGTTGTACATGTCGAAGAAGGAGAAAGAGGTCTTTCCACACCGCCATTACCACCAGTCACTAGACCGTTCATTTCTGTTGGGCTTGGACTGTTACCAACAGTGGAGGTACTATGACTACCACCACTCTTTGCGTTCTCCTTTCTTCGGTATTCATCCAGAATCCTGTTAAGCCTTTGTACCTCACATTGGTATTGATAAAGCTCGCTGGTTAATTTAGCAATCTTATTTTCAAGGAAAATCTTTTCATTGACCCAATTGTGAGCGTTCAAATTAGGTGAGTTCAAAAGATTGGAAGATTGAGGTGGTGACATCATTAACATGTGTTGTTGTTGTTGGCTGCTTGCCAGATTGACCATGGTTGGTGTACCTTGATTGCTGTTACCTCCGTTCAAACTCGCTCCTGATTTTCTTCCTTTGAGAGGAGATCTAATGAAAAAGTCAGTTTCAGACTCTTGTTGAGGAGAGTACTGGTGACCAACAGTTCCATTGTTCTGAGCTGTGTAGAAGATTTCGTGGCCAGAGTTGGAGGTAGGGTCCTCCTCTTGGTCAATATCTTTAATCAAGTCTCCAATTGTACCATTGCTTTGGCTTCTGTCAATCAAATTACTTCTATCATGCTGCTCAGGTGTGTTCCTGATATTACCAACAGTGTTGGATGATTGGTGTGAGTCATCCATTCGACCTTGAGGCATTAAGAGAGGGGATGAAAGGCCTTGTTGATGACGAGGGCTGGAGGAGCTGACAAGGTTTCCCCAAATGCTATTATTCGCAGTAGAATTAATCTTGGAAGGAGAATTTATCATCATGATGATTCTTAGAATTGTTGATTGGTTTCTTAGTAGAAATAATAAGTTAAGGCTGTATGTACTCTATCTAGTGGAATGAATGTATGTACTGTGCTACTGCGTATTGACAATTCTATTATTTGAATAATAATATTGCTTTTTACAATTATGATAGCAGAATTAATTAATATATAAATATATATTGTAGCTGAGTCAAACAAACAAATACGCTCGTATACTCTTAGTGCAAATGTCAATGTAACACAACAATAGTTGAATTGATTGTAGGATCTTCTCCTTCTCAGTACAACTAGGTTGGGAATAAATAATTGCTGTGGTTGGCAAATGTCAACAGCAATACACCACGTGTCCGTGAGAGTATGGTCACCATGAATGGCACATACGACAATGGTACACATCCAGGCGCAAGTGGTAGTTGTGGTGATGGGTTGGTTGTGGTTGCATTGGATGCATCCAGATATTTGATAGAGTGCAGTTGTTGTTATCGACCATCATGATGTCATAGTTGAGTGTATGAGTTGGTTTGTTGATACAGTCATAGTACATGTAGGAAATAGGTGAATATGGAAGCATTGGGTGAGGTTACAGGTTCGTTTCATTCATTTTCGTACAAGTAGAATCATCATCACGTTTTGTGTACAGATACAGTAAGTCACAATGTGATGAATGGAAGAAATTCATAAGACACAATATGTACATAATAATAATAATCACAATATAGATACAACAAATCGATCGAGAACGCAACGTACCTAAAAAATCTTCTGCTTCTTGTTTCCTTCTGATAACAATGAATCAAGTTCCATAAATGGGTGAGAGTCACACATGATCCAATGAGAAAGGATGTACAATGAGTGAAATAACAAAACATATAGTCCATAGGCATACAAAGAGTATGAATATCAAGGTGTATATATCCATGATTCATCATCAGAATAGTGTCGTGTACATACACATCGGATCAGATAAAAAGTCAAATACACAAAAAGCAAAATGAAAATTGAACTTACACAAAGATCAAACAAGAGAGTGTCGAAATTCAATATATAAATATCGATTCAACAACAACCTAAAAGGAAGAAGACACTAGAACCCAATGGAGTCTCTTCTCTCTTTCAAAAATGAAATACAGGCCTTCGAGAGTTGTAATCGAGCAAGGTTCGGCTTGTATTTGTTTCGTGTGCGTCCAGACCACGGATGATGGATCGGTCAATAGAGTAGGATCACTACTGCTGTTGCTTGAGTATTTGGAAACGAGTCTAGATAGAGGAAGGTAGATGGAGAGGTGCTTGAACAAGCTTCGGATAGAGAGGTTTGTCCTTCGAGAGAGAGAAGGTAGAGAATGAATAACAACGTTGTTGCTGCGTGATAGTAGTTGTGTTGTACTAAACGTAAAGATGGTTGATTTGAAAGTACTGTACAACAACCAATGAATACTTACGGAGGGTTGAATCACTCCCAACAGGTCTCTGAGAGAACGAGTCGTACAGGACCTAGCAGAGAGAGCGTAATCAACAATAGCTGCCGTTCCGTGGAGTGCTCTGAGGAGATTAGCTTTTATGTTCTGCTGCAGAACGTTTGAGGATGAAATTAGAGAGTTTTTTTTGGATGCTGTCTTTTGAATTGCTCTCACGGGACGAGTGCGTCTTTGAGAAGTGTCACAGAGAGACGAGAGCAGCACTTGCTCGTGTGTGTGTGATTGAGATTCTATTGGTCTTTTGGGAAGATGGTCCTAAAACTCGCAAGTAGTTTCCGTGGTTTGGTCTGAGTGAGGATAGATGCTCTTGGTGTTGTTGTACTCTTCAGGACACCATGTACAGGATAATGAAAATCGGAATTGAAGCACGAGATTTCAATGTTTCGATGAGAATGTGGAGAATGATGATCAATCATCACGGACACATAGAGGAGGATGATTCCAAAGGTTGATGTGTATTGGTAGATGGTTGAAATCCGATGAGTTAGTTCATTATTGTACTCTCTCCATTGATACCTACCTTTCGACTCTTTTCGTAAGAATACAACTCTGAGACAAGAGATTTCTTGTTGTCTCCTATGTTGTTGATTTTAGCAATTGATTCGAAAAGTATCTTATTATCAGTAGTATTCACAATAACAACTCCTATTCCTTCTTGTTCCTACTTCGGAATTTAGCTTTTTCACAAATTCGATAGAATTAGGTACAAGGAGTTGAGTATTTGTTTTTCGTGCAGTGTTTTGAATGATCAAGGGTTTGAAACACTGTTCTTTTAAAACTCTGCGACTTCCGTCTGTTGTAAACTCGAAAACGATTACAACACTCGGTTGTGTATGAAAAATCAAAAATGGTAAGCCCCTTAACGGGTTTTTTAAATTGTAGTGATACTTGGTAATTTCTCAAAACAAATTAACCAATGTGAAGATTGAAAATCCAACTGTTCCTACCTTACTCTGTGCTCATTGTTGATGAATATGCCTCATGAGAACAATGATCAGTCGTGAGTAGTTGTGAGGAATTAATATGTTAAAGAACATTGGTTCATGATTTTAAAAAATGCAAAAACCAAGAAGGCTTCATCTGCATAAATCCGCGTCTTCGGCATCCCATCAACATGCTACGGTTTCCAATAACTTGACGACGACACAGGATGGAAGCTCGACAACAACTGGGAATTATAACCACGGAATGAATAACGGCTCCGCCACAGGGGCAATCTCTCCTTCCACATCTGTATCAGCAAATATTTTCAATCAGCAACAATTTCCAACAATATCCACACCTGCTAATATTCCGAGTGGTGGTGGTAGCGGTAGTGGTGGCCTTCATCATCATGGTGGCACGTCATCATCTTCTTCTGGCTCTTCCTCTGGATACAGAAAATATATTTTACTCGTTCATGAAAAGGATTTCAGTGAACAGGAAATTATTATTAATGGAAAGGCCTTGAGTTGGCTTCAAATTGGAGATATTTTGGAAATTACACAGCCCAAAAATCCTCCAAATTCAAATCCTATTCATGAACAGCCTGCAACGGCGTCATCTCCTGTTACTTCCTCCCATTTGAATGTCATGGGAACATCATCAACACCAATCGACATTACAGCAACTAATCAAAATGCTTTTGACAATAATAATTTTTCTTCTTCTCCCTTTTCGTCATCGTTCCGAGAGAAGAATTTATCAAATAGAGCTCCAACACCTCCTACAATTGGAAGTGCTGGAGCAATGAAACAACAAGCTCCCTCCGTTGGAAATGTCACCATCAGCAACAATAATAATAACCAAAATAACAATTCAAATACCTGCTCAAATTCGAACAAGGCGTTTATTGTCAAAATTTCTTCACTTGAAACTATGAAAGGAATTCAATATTTGAGCATTTCCAAAAATATTGCCGATATTTTCGAATTTCAACCAAGAAGAGAAGTGTATTTGCGAGTCATTCCAAAAGAGAGCGCCATGTTGGATTATGTAGTATTTTCTTTGAGAGACCACTTTCTTTCTCGATCAGACATGTGGCGTTTTGGTCTCTATCTCAATGATACAAGCGTGTACGAATCAAAAACGTTGACATGGCATGGTGGAATTAGAGTACAGGTTAAGGAATTAATGAAAGAAAGCGTAGGAAAAGTGTCGGCGGGCCTTATTGTTTATGGACACACAAAAATTACGTACCGTTCAAAATCTGCTGTAATTTATTGGCTATTTCAAATGAGTAGGGAAATGTGGGAATATGATGAATATGGAAATTTAAATTTTGAAAGAGTCATTAATGGTTTCATTAAGACTGTATTCGATAGGTGGAGAGAAATTGGTGTCAATCATTCACTCTCCATTGTACTCTTTTCTAGGCATTACTTAACCGAGGACGATCAAAATAATTCCTTCTCAGAGAATAGAGAGGAGGATATGGCCTCTCTTGGAAATAAGACAAGCATTTTTCATTCAATACTAGGCTCAAAAGATGGAAGAAAATATGTTGACTTTTATAAGGTAGTAGACTGGAGTGAAACTCAAAGAACAAGGTCACAGTTTATTCGAGTTCGGTTAAAGACAGAATTTTTAAAATTTCAATCATATATTCAGAGCGTCTGTGAGAGAGAGAAAGTATCCCTCACAAACTCATCGGCAGCAGACGGAAATTTCATGGAAGCAATCAATCTAGTTCTTAACAGTTTTGACAAGTATTACCTAAATCGTGACTTGTCACGTACAGGTCAAGTTATTTTGCTGGTGTCACCTGGCTGTGGCATGTTTAATGTACAAATACCAGTGCTAGGAAAGATTACAACGAAGAGATTGATGGATGTAGGTCTTTCTGTTGACCTTATTGCATTGTCTGTTCCACCTCTTCATTCTGTTCCCATATTCAAGTACAAGAAGAAGGAAATTGGCTTTTCGAACAATGCTGAGTCTCCCACAATGAAAGAGTATACTTACTATCGATCGCCGGATTGGATCAATATTACATTTTATCGAGATAACTACTTCAAAAATGATATTAATCAAGACTTTGATGATTGTGAATGCTCAGACGGTGCCACCAATTTATTTCTTCCAGTTTCCAAAATGCCAAACCTAGACAACCTCCCCACAAATTTGCCTCTTTTTGAAAAATATTGGCTCAATATTCAAGCCGTCAATATGAATTCCTCGTCGTCATCATCAAATTCTCACAATAATCTAGCTGAGCTTTTTCGACAACATGACGAGCATGTATTCAAAATTTTTCAAATTAACAGACTCACACAATCCACCAACAGCACCTCCTTATCCCATTCTTCGTCCATGCCTCATACCAAAAAGTCTCTGAGCTCCCTCAGCAACGACTCTCTTCATGGAACACCAACAAAAAAGAAGGACAATCACATGGATCAGGTTATTAGCCCAAAATCTTCACATGGTCACATGGTTGCTGTGGATCCTCATCTCGAAGAGTTGAGGCATAATGACAATCATCACCACACAAATAATTTGCCAAGTAGTTCAAGCAGCACAGGAGCTACTCACGATTCATTCTATGGTCACCATGACCACCAAGGAACGAACTCGAATTCCAGTACCCCAAGCAATACCACTTCACATGCTCTACAAGCAATGCATCATTCTCAACATCACTCGATTGGAAATCATCATCACCATCACCACCAACAAAACCACAATTCTTTTTCAGGATCCACGACTGGTGCTACCAACATCAACAACAGTTCTAGCGCTCAACACAGCTCAACGACTCTTTTAAGACGACACTCACCTCATTCTGGAGCAAAAGAATTCATGGCTGAATTTGCAGAACGGCATAAGGCCAAGGAGCTGTTTTACATGAAACTCTATAATCCATTCCATATGGATTCCGAAAGCTTATCAAGCCCAAGCGCACTTCAAAGCAATAATCAACAAAACACATTCCACAGAAAACGATGGGGACACCTCCATCCTAGCTCTGGTTTGAGACCAACTCAAAAATCTGAATACATCAAACACTTCCTCCTTAATGTCAATTGGCAAAGTATGACAGAGCCTGCTTGTCTTCCACTCACTACAGATTATTGGCCAGAGAGTGCACTTAAAATTCTCAACGATTTCGACTTACATACCCATAGCATTACGGACACAAATGATATTTATCAAAACAATATTGCAACTCTTGTGAGAGAGTTAGTATGTCAGAGATTGCATCAAGGTTTTCAATTATTCAATGACGACATTCCCAAAGATCCACTCACGAACGAACCCATTGTGTTAATTTTGGAACATGAATCGAGTACCAATATATCTGAGCATGGAAGTACCACTCATAAGGATACAGCCGACTCAGACACGCTTTCAACAAATAGTTCTGTCTCCAACACGGAAAGTAGTACCAGCACAGGAGTTAAAAAAGGAGGACGCCCTGTCAGAGGCGCTTTGAGAGGACGAGGAGCCACAAGAGGACGTAGAAATGCCACACATGCATCATCGTCCCACGTCACATCTTCAAATTCAGACTCAGCAAATCAGTCTTCGAATGAAAGTATCTTGTCCAAGTTGCAAAAGTCGAGACCTCAAAAGATGGAATACTGCCTTTCGTCTGCAAATCAATTCCATAGAATCACATACAACCCCAATATTTCGAACATGATTACTATTGAGAGATATGTTCCTAAAGCTTCCAACAAGCCCACAGGTGACAAGAGCCTTTCCAACTCAAGCAATATTATTTCAAGCTTGGCTTCCTCTCAAAACGTTGTCAACAATAGTGCTGATCCTTTTAATAATGCAAGATCTAGCTACACTTATCGATACATGTTGTGGAATCCAACTCTTGACAGTTATGAATCTAGAGTGACTCGTTTTAATTCCTCAGTTGATTATAATTGGAACAAATTGGATTACCTTATTTGTGGAGATCACAATCAAATGACAGATGAGCTTCATAACAGATCTCTACAATTTCATTTCGTTCCAATCATGAACTCGAACAAACATTTGTTCTCATCCACTACACAACTCTTTGGAGCCTTTAACAACAATTCTAGCTTCTCGAGCACTAATTCACCTCCCTCAAATGTTATATCGGGCGGTATGGGCTCATCTTCGAACGGTGATCTTTTTTCACAAGGTTTGTCCAACTCGAATGAATACTCTGAAAGGATCAAGAGTTTTAGAAAATTCAAAGATTCCATTATTAATAGAAATTTCAGAGCCATGGATGGTGATGGCATTGATGTGACAATCATTGGAGAAGAATCGTCACCCAAAGATAACTCTCCTCAAACACTCTCAAGTAGTAGTCAGCCATTTCTGCTTCAACAACAATCAGCCTCCCTTTCCTCTCCCATCTCATCAGTGAAAACATCAAAATTCCAATATGTTCCTCAAGAAGGGGGTATAGATGACAACAGTCGTGTCGAGTGGATCAATATTGTTTATAAGGCGACCTATCATCCTGCAGAATTTTGGGCCTTCAAAGTACAATGGTTGGTATGTACTGCAGCCTTAATCGATGAGTTTTTGCAGTCACTCGCTAGAAGAGCTCGTCAGTGTGGCTTTGCCATGATTCAAACTCCAGCCGAAATTGATAATTATACAAATTATGTTCATGCATCCAAGCAGGCCGCTGAGAGACTGGTACACGGGAATTACAGCTCCAAGCAAGATGTTAAACAAGACTCCAAACAAGCTTTTGATCCTTTAGAAAATATTCATCCATTCAGAAGTTACGTAAGAATTCCAATTTCATCTTTCGAAGTCATGTACACGATTAGAAACGCAGTTTGTGAACCACCATTCAATTTCATTCCAGATTCCTTCCAGAGAAAGCTCTCGAAACGATTCATTCACAACAGTGGATGTATCATGTTGCACATTGATGTCGTGAAGGGCACAGACACAGCATTGATTACTTGGATTGACAACCCGTTCCAAACGTTTGACTTGTCCATTGCCCCTCTTGTCAAACAAAATGAAATTTTGAATCTACTTCGCAAATTGGTCTATTCAGAATCAACCACCAATGCTGTCAAAGTTTCTCCAACCACTATTTATTCACCCCATCACGAGCTGTGAGTGGTTTGTTGTTTTGAAGCAGCCCTTTTCTTGGAAGTGACCATGATTACAATGCCATCTAGTACTCTTTAAGGACAAGATTTTGGACGAACAAATATAATTTCAAAACAAATCATGATTTTGGCACTGATTTCTTCACGAGATAACAACGGCACATGGTCGTCCTTGTTGTTTTACTCTTTTCGAACATGAAATCCTATCAATATTGAGATTTGCGAGCAATGACTTAAATTGATTGAACAACGCGCTGCTGTATCAGCTGCTTGAAATCGTTCCACACAAAAAAATGCGTTCCCGACTTGCTTTGGCTGTTCGATCATCATCTCTCTGTTCACAAACTTCATTGCTCTCATCAAGAACATCATCAAAGATTTTAATTTCCAATAACACATCCATCCATGGTGTGAGAGCTTTTGGATACGGAAACAAAATATTAAGAAACCAAGTGGATGATCCTTTCTTTGAAGAGGCTTTGCAAAGTCATGAATCCATTGCAAACATTTCCGAGCCACCTTCGGCTTCAGCTGACTTGAGAAGCATTACACCAAATGGATCCGTCTACAGTAGAATTGGAACCAGACCATTCTCCCAAGAAGTTGCTTCCGTTCTCTTGGCTCCTATTCCCGACGAAGATATTGAGGTCAAGCCTGATGGTATTTTGTATTTGCCTGAAATTAAGTACAGAAGAATTCTCAACAAAGCATTCGGACCTGGTGGTTGGTGCCTCATTCCAAAATCAGACTATAAAATTGAGAATGGTCATGTTATTCAAGAGTTTGTGTTAATTTGCCATGGACAATTTGTAAGCCAATCATTCGGAGAACAAACGATTGATAATTCAGGTTTTAAGAGTATCGGAAGTTCTCTTGAAGGAGCAAAATCAAATGCATTGATGCGATGTTGTAAAGATATTGGAATTGCTAGTGAGCTTTGGGATCCAAATTTCATTTTAGAATGGAAAGCCAAAAACGTGGTTGGAGTGTTTTGTGAGCACGTGAAAACACAACAAACTAAAAAGCTCTACAGAAGAAAGGACCGAGAAATTGGTTATCCGTATGTCGAGAAAAAGTCTGCATATAGCAGTAACAGTAATAATAACGCACCGTCTGTTGCTTCTGTGGCCATTGTGGAAGATCAAGTCAGTACTGCAGAATTAGATGTAGCTCCACCTTCAGCCATCGATGGAGAAGAGTCCATGTTTGACAACTTTGCTTCTCAAGATGACGGTGCAGCTCAATACGCAAAACCAACTCGCACCACTGCATCTCCAGCAGCAGCTTCAAAGAGAGGATTTTCATTTAGTCCAACAGAACCTATTCCATTTGGCAAGTTTAAAGGAAAGATTTCCGATGAAGTGTTCCATCTTCCAGATTTCCAAAGCTATCTCAGTTTCTTGGAGAAGAATAATATTCAACCAGGCTATGTGAAGGCCATGAAACAACATTACAAGAAGTAATTCTTCATGAACATGTTTGTAAAATAATAATAATTACCAAACACCTGTGTGGAATTGTTTATAACAATTTGTAGAGATATCACGCGGCCAACATTACATGTTGACGATTTGAATTGTCATGCAGTTGAATGATAACGAGTTTCACACTCATTGTTCTTGATACATTCTTCCTGAACCAAATGGTTTTTGGAAATCCATAAATTTCGGCAATTGGTCTGGAATATCAATCACTCGATTCTCATAATTCACATGAGCTTGAGGTGTGAAAAATTGTTTCATTGCATCATCTGCATGATGTTTCAATTTTTCCAATGGACAAAATTCTTGTTTCATTTCATCATAGACACAACCCAACGTTCCAATCACTGGATATTCGGGCATTCCCTGAGCCACATAACCACCACACGCACCACAATAGTATCCTTCCATTTTCTCAGAGATTTTTACAATTTTCAACACCGAGTCCTTGCCGTGAGTCCATTCGAAATTTTCTTTTGCAATTCCAATGACGAGAGCGACTGGAGCGGAAGTGGCAAGACGACAATTTCTGCAATGACACAAACCACAGTAGAGATGAGTGTTACCTTTCACAGAGAAACGTAATTGACCACAACGACAAGAACCAGTTCTCGTCGTGCAGGATGGAGAAGGTGTCGAGGAGGTGTGTTCTTCTTGTTTGTTCGTTGTGTTATCTGACGCCGAGGACATTTTGTTCTGTTTTTTTTGTAAGATGGTGTCTCATAGCGTCCTTATTGAAACGCACAAATACCATGAAATAATGATCGATGCGGTCATGATGTCAATCAAATCAAAGTTTACAAATCAAAATTGATTGACTGCAGTTAAGGGCCAAGTACTCAAAGTTGGATGCATTCATTTCTTTCTTTACAGTAAAGAACAAGGTTATTGATGATGGTTGTACCTTTTCACAAACCTCCTGACACTTGAATAAAATACATCAAATTTATTTCTGTGTGTGATGTGCATGAACGCCATCATGGTGTTTGATCATAATAACCATCGTTCATATCATCATTAGATGATAATTAATTCTTCACCGAGTTGGAAGATCCTTGCTTTTGTAAAAGTTCACTTCTCTTTTGTTGAGCTTCCTTTCTCTTTTGAATCATTCCCTTCATTCTCTTATTGAAAATCCAATTTCGAACCAAATCATCCAACACCACATAACCCATCTTCTTTTCATCTAAAACTTCTAACATGTGTTCACATTGTTCAGTATTAAAATCAAGATTTAAACCATTGGAAATAATTTTCATCTTTTCAACATTCAATGCTGCACGTTTGTCATGAGATTGCGGATGGAATTTGTGGAATAATTTCTTAATATCTTCTGAAGCATGATTCATGTTAATGGATTGCTTGATATCTGAAGATGTTAAATTCTCATCGTCACCGAGAGATTTGTCTTTGGCAGCTGAAAAGAAACGATCCACGACAATATCCAAATCTTTTCTAATAAACAATTCCTTTTCGAGATCAACATTGAATTTAAATCTTAATACAGTATCCAAAAGACTGTCACGAAGAGAAATGGCATTGTCATGATACACGACATAGGCCTTCTTTCTTCCTAGTAACATGAAATTGATGAAGAGTCTTGTCTTGTTATCCTTATCAATGTAGAAGGATTGAAGAGTTGAGAATGGAATTTCTCTCTTGATTACTCCATCTTTGAACACGAGGACAGAATCATAGGCGAATTTGAGAATTCTCTTTTGTCTCTTTCCTGATTTGGTATCCTTCTCAACGACAAAGGTTTGTTGTTTTTCTAATGAGGTAAATCTCACACCAACATCTGCAATGGTTTCAACAAGATTGTCACGTTGTTGATCCGAGACACAATTAAATCTCTTTTGAACTTCTTGTGAAGTAGGTGTGGTAATGGTCTTGGAAATGTAACCAAGATCGCCACCTCTTTCTTTCAATTGTTGTTCAGTTTCCGATCGATGTCTAATAATAAATTCATTGGTTTGTTTCTTGGTTCGAATGTCAATGATCGAACTGAATGGAATTTCATCAAGAACAGTTCCCAATTTGGAATCTAACACGAGGAGAGATTCATTCGTGATTTTCAAGAGACGATCATTTCCACCTTCACCTTTTTCTCCTTTCATTTGCATGAGATTGTACGTTGTTGGAATGAACTTTTTAGAAACGAATGGAATCCAAATTTTGATTGGTTCTATAATGTCACTCAACGATGTCCAATCGTATTTGGTCTTGATAAGTCTCTGTCTTGTTTCATTTGGAATGATATTGAAAATATCATCGACAGCATTCTTGGTCTTAAAGTTTGGATGCAAGACATACACTTGTTGACAGTTGGACAAGTGTTCAATCTTCATCAATCGAGCAAAAGCAACCACAGCTCTATAAAGCAATGCTTGATATTCATCAGTCAACTCTGCCCAACTCAAGTCAATAATCAAGCAATATTTGCTATTGAAAAGTGGACCCAAAGTTTTGTAAATATAAACCATCAACTTGTCATTATGATTCAAGAATTCTTGTTTCAAACGATGCAAAATCAAATAAACCACAGGTAAATTGGTACGAGTAGGTTTTCCAACATATAAAAATCGAGTTCGATCCATTTCACTCAAATCAAACTTTTCAGCATTCTTCATCAAATTGTCCATCGAACGTTCCAATACCTTATCTTGAATTTGATCATAGGTAGCACCTACGAGTGTTTCTCTTTGCAATTTGTTTGGTGTTGCAGGAGGTGTATCTGTAGCTGTATTGGTGTTTGGTTTTTTCACACTACCTCTACGATCATCGGTAGGTTTAGTTGGAGGTGGAATTTTTCGTTCTCGTTCTGGAGGTGGACCCAAATCTTGAACAAGAGAAAGAAAGTCTGTCTCTGTACTCACAATACTCACAGGTCTCTTGTCATGAGTCATAATGACTTCATTTTGCAAGGAAACAATCAACTCGTAACCATAATCGTAAATGAGAGTGTGAAGAAAGAGTAAATCTTCCATATCGAAGGATTTGTAGTGAATGTCTTCAAAGGTAATGGAACGTTGTAAATCACCGAATGGATTCAATCCTTCTTGTTGTTTTGGATCGATTGGAAGTTGACCTAAATATCTCAACATGTTATTTTGATTCTTTTGAATCCAACCATTGAGAGGCATGAGAGCAGGAGTGGCAGTGTCGAATAATTCACCATTCGCAAGTTTTTGAATACTATGAATTTGTTGGTCCATTTAGAAGTTTTTGAGAGTTTGTTTGAAAAGATGACAAGTGACAAAGAGGAGCATATGTATATATATACCATCAAGGAGAGGGTTGGTGGTGATGAATCATGATGGTATCAGTGATGATGATCATGATGATGGTGAGGTCATTTCAAAGAAGAAGAGATATGTTCGTTCGTTCGTGAAATATGAGAGTTTCATTCCGCACCACATACAAGTGCGCCAACATCCATATGTCAAGTATAATGGTTTTGGTGGTTGTTGTTGTTGTTGTTGTTGGTTAGTAGATTCAAGTCGAGTGGATCATCATGTGTGTAGTAACAATCATGATCGTAGACCAAATTGGATCATCATTATGAGGTCATCCAGCGATGCATTGTTAAATGTGTTCAAAACATCAAGTACAGCACCCATTGTAGAGAGAGAGATGTGTATATATATATCCATACATACATGTCAATTCACACCAAGTGAATGGAACATTCAAAGCGAGAAAATATCATCATCATGATTATATATATATATATAAATCACACACAAAAACACAAAAACTTACACTCTTGCAATTTGAGTCAAATTTGGTCTCACATTTCCCTTCTTCCAATCATCCATCTTGATAATATCTGCATTCTGTGGCATGGCAATGGTTGGACAAATATAACGTAAACACACAAATCCAGAGACCAATGGGAGAATCATCTTTTCAATATCGAACTTGTAGAACTCTCCATTTTGTTTTAAAAAGTAACACACAGCTCTCAATTCCCGAGGCATTTCTTCAATCATGGCATCACTTGTGATACGATCGACAAATCTCTGACAAACTTCTTCAATTTGTTGAAGTCTCTTGTCAATAATTTCTTGTTTGTTATCTCCTGAAATTTTCTCTGGATCGACTTCCAAATCAAGTGTCTCTGCTTGCTCAACGACTTCATTGACGACCTTTCCTAGAAGTAATCTTAAATATTCAGTACCCACTCTCTTGGTATATTTACCCATCATTTTGGAAACGATGGAATTGACACGAAGGATGGTATTCGGATGTTGTTGTTTTCTATCAAATTCTAAACCAATCAATGATTTAATGATGGCTAACGAAGCACCAATTTCATAGGATAAACTGATGAGAGAGTCAGCTAGTTTTTCATGTTGGGCTGGAGGAACCACATCGGCCAGCGCTTTGGCATATCTGGGATCACTGGTCATGATTTGGACGAGAAGTTTGTACTTTTTACCAATGTCACCTGCCAGTTTTTGAATGCCCTTGGCTGGTTTGGATGGAGGGTTCGTTGTTGCTGTTGCGGTCGAGGGAGAGGTCGAAGAGGAGGGCTTTTTGGATGTCTCTGACATTTTTTTTTGTGGTTGTTTCTTTAAACAGTTTGACTTTCACACGTTGATGATTTTGACAGGCGTGACAAGTGTGCTTGAGGGCAGAAGAATTTGTTAAAGTTTGTACAAAAGAGTGAAGAATTGTACCGAGAACTGTGAAACATGTGATTGAAAAAGTGATTGTGTGTACGTTGGTGATGTAAAAACTATCAACCATAAGCAAAACTGTTGAGTAAACAGGTGTATTACCGCAACAACAAACCGGAGTAAACACAGGTGTTTATGAATCAAATACGCTATATTTTTGATGTTATCATGAAGCCGTCGTAGCTCAGTTGGATAGAGCACAGGACTTCTAATCCTGGGGTCGTGGGTTCGAGTCCCGTCGTCGGTAAACTTTTTGTTTTGCCCACCACGATTTTCGTTTTGACTGAATTTTGACCTCTTTGATGCAAGGTTTTTGACGCGAAAGAGTTTGAAAAAATGTTGGCACAACGAGCTGCTTTTCTTTGTAAATCCCACCAATTTTTTGCAACGAAACTATTTCTCAATTTTTCATGTTCCATTCTTTCAAATTTGAACCCTTCAACAAGATCATTCTCACAATCATTGTTTTTTAAATCCAAACACCAACTTGAACATGTTCAAATACCAAACAACATCATTCTTGATGAAAGACCTATTTCAATATCGGAAAGATCCTTTCTCACTCCATCCATGAAAGAGTACGGAAATGGACTTGTATTGAGAATTGTACGATTTAGTATTGTAGAATCTTTGGATGAAATTTCCCAATCATCATCATCATCATGGAAGAAAATATTTCATCAAGTATTGAAGGAGGCTTTAACGCGAATTCAAAAAACTCAACCTTTATTACAAAGTAGAATTATTCGTGATGAGAATACGAGTACTGGATTTAAATTTGTCATGATTGATGATGAGCATGTGCCTGAAATTCCATTTTATGAAATTCAATTCGATCATGGTAAATATTCATCATTGCAAGATTATTTGGAAAGAAGCTTGTTGCAGAGAAGCTATGATTTGGAAAAGAATTTTCAATTGGAAGTGTATTATCATGTGGATTCTGTCAAGTCTGAGCTCTCTCTCATGTTTTGTTATAATCATTGTATTGGAGATGGATTATCATTGTCAAATTTCATTGGCAGTGTTTTGAATGAATGTGAAAATATTTACATTCAAAACAATAGCAACCAAATGAATAGCAGAGGAGAGGGTGTCCATTCGCATCCGAGAAAATTATTACCCTCCTCCGATCAAGTAATTTTACAATCACCATTCAATTCATTCACCAGCAAAATGAAGGCACTCTTGTATGGAATTCCTTGGATCTTTAAAACAATAACAACAAGAATTAATCAAACCCTTGTCGATGAAAGTAAGAGGTTTGAAAAGAGACAAATGTGCACAACTGTGTTAGAATTGGATGGCACTCGCACAAAGGCCTTGAAGAAGTTTTCCAAAACACATGCATTGTCACAAAATTCGCTCATACTTTCTCTTTTATCACATGCATATATTCGAGTGGCATGTAGTCATTACATTGAAAATCATCAAAGAATCTCTCAATCTCATCAAAGTCAATTCAATAGTACGTTGAGAATTGGTTATCCTGTAGGGCTATCACTTATACCAGATTTGAATTCAGTGTTGGATGGCTCAAAACTGACAGTACATGTTGGTACCATGATGCGAGATGTGACCATATCACCACTCGTCTCGTGCATGACTATTCCTAACATGAATGACGATCAAAGAGCAGACACACAAAGACAAGAACAAACTCTTCAATCTAGCATTATTGAAATTGCCAGAGATATTAAGGATAATCATACCAAACATTTTACAAATCAATTCACGCTTGTCTACGTCATGACATCAGCTGCCAATAGAGAAAAAGCCATTCTAAAATCCATCGAAACCAATGATATTCATTTTGGAGGGATTCCCCTCAATTTCATTTTGACCAACAATGGACATTTAGAATCCGTGATGAAGAGATGTTATCAATTTTCTGATTCACTTTCCTTAATGATGGAGTCCATGTATGCCGTGGCGAATACTTCAGCACTTGCAAGTGCATTGGCATGTGGTGTGTTGACTCTTCCTGCAGACAATGCCCACAACAAAGAAGCACAACTCATAGTGTCCATCTCGAGTGTGCAACCTGTGGTTACACGAGAGAAATTATTGGCCATACAAGACGAATTAGAGAATTTGATTGGCATGATTGCTCAATGAGTCTGTGTGTGTGCGTATGCATGCAGGTATTTGCACTATTTTGAACACACACGAACTTGTTGAACAACAACATGTACAATACAACTCATGATGAACTATTTAACACACGAGTGCAAGTTTGAAAAACAATTTCTTAAAAAAAAAATGTTAGATTCTCCTCTTTGCGAAAATTCCAACAATACATCAAACAGTAACGACCCATTCATTGTTGGAACCACTGTTGGATCACAAGGCTGGCCCATCATCAAGAATTTAGATCAATGTCTCAATGCTATCGGAGATGCCAAAGAATTTAACATTATCCACGATGGCAAGGGTTTCATTTATATAAGTTATCGGAGAGTGACCTCGACCACATTTCCATCACCGATAAGTACGGTCAATGATTTAATTCGGAGAGAATTGAGAGGTTTGGCATTTGATAGTGAAACCAAACAACTCGTTTCCAGATGCTTACATAAATTTTTCAATGTTGAAGAGAAGGAAGAAACGAAAATGGAACGAGTTCAGCAAAATCTTGAACGTAGTATTCAATTGGGAAAGAAGATGCATGTCCTTGATAAATTAGATGGAAGTTTGGCCATTCCTGTGTTGCAAAAGAACGAATTGAATGAAAAACGATTGCGATTTAGAACGAAACAAGGCTTTGGTCACAACTCAACTTCTCGTGGCTGTGAAAAACATATTTATGGACTTCGAGAAGTAAGTGACGAGGAATATGAGAAGCACATTCCGAGTGTGGATGAATTTTTAAAGACATCCAAATCCTTTAAATTCGGAAATGTCATTCAATTTTGTTTGGATTATATTGAGAAAGGAATGACACCAGTTTTTGAATTTTGTTCACCAGACTACAAAATTGTCATCATTTACGAAACACCTTCTCTCAACTTAATTGCATTGCGTGACACTTTCAATGGAGATTATGTGGATTTTGATGAAATGACTTGTATTGCACAAGAATATGACTTGAATTGTGTGAAGGCAACACATTTTGATTTTATTGACACCTCCACATGCACCTCCGTTTCTGAAATTATTTCTGAAATTAAGAAGAAACACGATTTTGAAGGATGTGTCCTCCGTTTTTGGAATGGTGAAATGTATAAAGTGAAATCCGATTGGTACAGCACCATGCACTTTAAAAAACAACGATTAGAATTCAATTATGTCAACGAGTCACATGCATGGTGGTTAGTATTGGAAGGTGGTATTGACGATCTCATTCCCATTCTCAATACAGAGGAAGAGAAACAACGATTAATGGCTTTCAATGATCGACTCGGACATGTTCTTGGTGCATTTTCTGAAAATCTGCTGAAACAGGTGAAATCCATTCTGGAGGAAACAAAAACTCAGAAAGAGTTTGCTTCTCATCTCAACACGAACTTCAAGTCAGGGTTGAGAAAACTCATGTTTGATGTTGCTCGAATGATAACCGATCAAAAGAAGGAGGAAGAAATTACTGATCTTGATGCAAAGGTGAATACTCTTGTGAAAGATTTGATATTACGATTGGTTTCACAAAACAAAATTGAGGATGCCAGAACATTCTTACGAGATCCAACTCTCTCCTATCAGAAGGATCCAACTTCTAGTTCTCAGAGAAAGACCCAATTCGATGACGAAGAGTAAAAAGGACGGGTATGTTTCACCATCATGGTCTCACAAATTACCACATATGGATTTCTCAAAGTTATTTTTGTAATTCTGATTTTCGATTCAAAAACAACACAAAACAAATCGACATGACATACACGTTCTCTCAGCTGCTTGGCCAAAAAAACTCATTCAGAAACGTGCTTGCTCTGGATCCCAAATCGAATTATGTTTCATTTGATAAACACTTCCCGGAGTACGAACTGCAAGCGGTATTTTCAAACAATGGATCACTTAACGTAATTCTGACCTTCGTCTCGTTGTATGATGTGTGGTGGTCTATTCGTTTTGTATGTAAACATTGGTTTAAATACTGCTTGAATTCAAGACGAATTGATTTTGACGGTTTGGCAGTTGAGGACTTTTTCTTTTTGAATCAAAAGGTTACATGTTTCACATTAGAAGACGCTTTTAATGATTTCATGTGTCACTTGTGTTGGACAGAACCAGGAAAATTTGGAACCATCTCTATTATAACAAACGTTACCAGCTTGAGTATTTACGTAAAATACCAAGCAACTTTGTTAAGAAATGATCATTTGATTCAATTTGCTGGAATTCAGAGAAAAAATCTTAAAGAACTGAATCTCATTGGAAGATCAAATGTAACAGGATACGGATTTAAACAATCGTTTCAAGTACAAGAGACGCTTGAATCACTCTCAGTCATTGAGAACCATGCTTTGGAATTTTGTTATTTGCAACATTTACCAAAATTGAAACGACTTGAAGTGAACGGTTGTCCATATTTTCTTAGAGAATCATTAGACAACAAGCAAGCTATGTCAATAGTATTTTTCACCGACTTGACGTAAGTTTATAAAGAAGTATTTCAATATTTTCAAATAATTTATTTGTGAAATCAAAAGTCATGTTTGTTGTGATGTTGATTACACAAAACATCTCGTACAATCAAGCAAGAACCTACTGGTTGTTGATTGGTCCAGTTCCAATCAAGGCTATTCACACGCCGATCACAACTTCGCCGCCAAAGAGCTCATTGTACGCTCACATCAGATTTGTCAAGATAGGCCCAACCTTCAAATGAACTGTTTGAAAATAATAATGGACGACAGAGATTGGGGGAAAATACTCCTTTATACTTTGACACATTTAGAAAAATCAGCAAATATTCCATTACATTTACCCTCCTCGATGAAGATGTATCTGGAGCTAGGAATTGAAATTCTAGCTGACAGCGTTGAAGACAAGCAATCCAAAACAAGGATGTATTTTCAACAACTTTTAAATTCCATGTATACAGTTAGGGATCAGAACAGAAAGGATTCTTATGACAATAATAGCACTCCCATTGCTTACAAGTATTTCAAACCAAGCTGGTTGAATGATCACAATGTTCAATACGGTCAACAGCAACTTGTTGAATTACTAAAACGAATGTTATCTTCGAATTGACAGCATTTAAAGAAAGGAATTATTGACAAGTTTATGATTAACGAAGAAAGACAGAAAAGATTATTTCATTCCCCATTGCAAACACTGGGTATGTTACGCGTATAACAAGTTACATTCGAAATAGTCACAACCAGAGGTCAGTTATTGCAAAAGATAGGAGTATTCACAGTAAGACAGCAAGAAACATGCTGAATTGGTCACATCACAGATTCAAGCAAAGACTGCTGCACCAACCTATAGAATTTCCATGGCGCCATACATCCAAGACTTGCACATGTTGTGGATATAAGGTTGGTCATACTAAGTGTTTCATTGTACATCATGTGGCTTAATTGTTGACAGAGATATCAATGGAGCACGTTGTGTTAGGTCCTTTCCCTGGCTTCATGAAGTGTTTGCTTGCAAATTGTTGGTTTAAATAAAGGCGTAAAGTGCGGGAGGTTTTTTGAGGATGTTAATACATGCGAACCAAATTGAACGTTCAATAGTATTATGGAGTTTACAACCACATCTTCCTGTTAGTACGAGCTCATTATCCATGATGTCTCATAGGTGCGTTCGTAATATTACCATTCGTGCGGTTTAATTTGGCACCAATCAGGATTACAATAAATAGCTCATCTAGAATCAAAACAAAATAACAAACAATAACAAAAAAACAATCAAAACATTCATTGCAAGCTATACAAGCAAAATATTCACTTTGAAATCAAAATGGTCTATGAAATTGTATACTTTGATCACTATGGAAGAGTTGTAAGTACTTTCTGTATACAATCACCTTCTCTGATCCATATTATTTCCAAAGGATCTTGTTAAATTGATCGCCGAGGTTGCTAATATTCCTTACAAGTTTGTTGGAATTGCGGATAAGGATTGGAAAGATTTTCAACCAACCACTCGTTACGGATTGTTACCTTTCGTGAAAATCAATGACAAATGGACTCTCTATCAAAGCATTGCCATTTCTCGTTTCTTTGCTCAGGAAGGAGAAGGTCACTTGTACCCATCCGATCGAGTGGAAGCAACCATCACTGAGGAATATGTTGCTGCTTTGGAAGATGCTTATAATCAATTTGTATATGCAACGTTCCTTGCTCCAGAAGACAGAAAGGAGGAAGAAACCAAGAGACTCACCGAAGGAGTGTTGACGAGTGTCTTTAAGGTGTTGAATGCTGAATTGGAGAAAAATGGAGGATATTTGCTTCCTGGAGGTAAACTCACTTGGGCTGATTTGTATTTTGTTGAGTTTGCTAGTAACTTGAGTTACTACACCAAAATTGATCCTGTTAAATTCGCTCCTCAAATTCCAAAGCTCAGAGAAAATGTATTGAAACATCCAAGAGCAAAAGCTTATTTGGAAAGTGAGAGAAATCTCAGAAAGAGTGTGTTTTAAAACTTGGAGGAAATAAACCACTACTACTCTGTATATTGTGTCGTTGGTGTCAACTCGTTTTTGATATTCATTGATAAAACAATTTACGAGCATGTTTGGATATTTCTTTGATTGAATTCATCTTGTTTAACTTTAGCAACAATGGAAGTGTGTTTTAGATGGCTACGGCCATATCACGATGAATGCACCTCATCCCGTCCGATTTGAGAAGTTAAGCATCGTCGAGCTGCATCAGTACTGAGGTTGGAGACAACTTGGGAACCTGCAGTGCTGTAGCCTTTTTATTTTTCATTCCTTCCTTCTAAGTTCGCAAATATGGCCTACAATTTCCCATATCGGTGTTCGTTTCATGCAAACGAACGAAACAAATGCATACAGTTATCCAGTAACACCCTTTCCTCATTCGTGTTGTTGACCACGATGTCATCACAAAAGGTTGTTTGCCCATTTCTAGTCTTCTCTTCAAGGCAACCATGTGAACGACACGAATCAAACGGAGATGAAATTTCAACAAATCTTTTCTCTTTTTCAACTCCTCCAACCTGACGATCATCTCCGAATAGTATTTCACTTGAGACTCTTTCCACCTTTCTATCCACAAGAAAAAAAGATTGACAAGAAACAACAAACCATGCCAACGAATTATTCCTCAATGTTGCAACATTCTCTCCTTCTCCTTGGACTTTCCTTCCTTTTGATGGTCGTAACTACCAGTATTGGAATGAATGTTGTTTGGGGAGCTAACCCTGAAAGTGGTCATGTGAAACACATTGTTGCTTTCCGATACGCCCAAAACGTCACACAAGTTGAGAAAGACCTCGTCATGAAAACTTACTTTTCACTCAAAGATCGATGTGTCCTTCCTACCAATGGAAAACCTTACATTCTCGCCATGGATGGAGGTTATCCCAATTCACCAGAAGGTTTCGATCAACACATGGAACAGATTTATATTTTGACATTCAAGAATGTTGCAGATCGAGATTATTTCGTAGGAAGACCTTTCCATTATCCCTATGATCCACTTCATGATGCTTTTAAAAAGATGGTCGGTCCCTATTTGAGAACACCCATTTCGGAAGGGTTAATTGTGATGGATTTTACTGTCCTCAATGAGCCCTAATGATCATGTCCAAATAATAGAAATAACAAGGCTATATTCCATATGATGTTTGTGCATTTTCATATGGCCAGTGTCCTTCGCTCATTCAATAGTTGATGGACGTAATAAACGAATGTATGAATTACTAGTAAAAAAATGTATGGATGATGATGATTAAGGTTCCACGAGGAAACAAACAACATTGCCAGGACTGAGGCAACCACAAGCTCTTCAAGATATTTCCAAACATCAATCTTGAGCGGATCGGACGGATTGGCTGTCCCGAATATTCAGCCTCTCTCTTTTCAAATGATCAAAGGCCAATATTGTGCGCGTTGAAGAGCTAGTGGATTCTAGTGCGTGTAAATGTCTGCTAGTCAATCGTTACCTTTCCCCTTCCAACAGTTCTGCCAGTTGACAAACAAAAAGCCGAACAAAAAAACACAGACAGGGAGGGTGAGCCAAAGCGTAGGCAACCAGCCTATACCCAACCATTCTTGGCGACGTTGACGAACTCAAGTGTCATCACGAAAATAAACATCTCCAACCAAAAAAAATGCCTACAGCAAACAAAACGTTCTGGCAGAAGCTGAGTGATCAACACAACCACATCAGCAAGTTTCTTCACTTCAACAAAACAACACGCAAACCAGAGTAGGAAACAGAGAAAACAATTCATCGAACTGAACAAACCATCAGTGGAATTCCTAGTCGTCTATTGTTGTACATTCTGCTTTTCCGATGGCCTTCACAATTTCTTGATCGTTCCCAAACTTCGACAACAGCAAATCATACAACATAAGCACATCCACAACGGCATTATGTGCTATTCCGGGAAGAGAGTCACATACTTTTTCTCTAAAGTGGTTTTCTAATCCCTTTTTTCCAAGCAAGTTTTTTTGCATAGTAGAACAATAGTAAATTGTTGATCGGAGTTTAAGTGGTGCAATTGCAGCACTAAAGAAAGCCTTGTCCAAACCAGTTGAATGAACCAACAACATCACATCAGCAGTGTCATTCCTAGTCAAATAATTACAAATTTTAGGAATCATGTTTTGCAATGTTTCACTTTCATCCAAAATCTGAAATTTAGTTTCGTGCATTTGTAATGCAATAGAACTCCACACACCACTAGGGGATACAAATATGGAATGTAATTCATTACTAAATAATGATAACATTGCAAATTGAATTATGGAGTTGCATTTTGGAGAAAATCCTGTTGTTTCTAAATCTAGCACAAAGAAGTTCAATGGTCGTCTTGTCTCTTGATTGATACAGTGAGGCGTGGGAATTGATTTAAGAGGTGCAAAATTATATTGAATAGTCAACCTGTTTTTGAATTTTGAAATCAGGTAAGGTGGTTTGTGTTGTACAATAATATTCTCATTGTTTTTGCAACTTTGTTTCCTAAAAGCAACATCTTTTTCTAATTGAGCAGAAAATTGCAAACATTCTAATTGAGCAACTGTTGCTTCTGCTTCTTCGTCTGAAAATTGATGTTTAGCTTTCAAATGATTTGTAAAAGACCCTTTGATAATATATGGTTTTTGTTTTTTACATCCAGAAACAGGGCAGCATAAATATATACATTTAGGAGCACACACTTCAGCCCTCAACGTAGTTTTTCTTGAGTAAGTGGCTACGTTTTGATTAATAATTTGTAATTCTTTGCAAGTTTTTTTCTTGACATTTCTATCAAGTACAATTCGACCAGGAAGAGTTGGTAAAATCTTGATAACCAATTTCATACCAAAATAATGATCAGTTAATGGAATATCTGGGAGTGAGAACCCACGAACATCGTCAGTGGAATGTAATATTAAAAATATATAGAATGAAAATAGTGCGCTTTGGCAAAATTGTTTGGTTGTTGGCTTGGGAAACATTCCTCGAATTATTGAAAAGAGTAGCTCTTCATAATTTGTTGTAATGCAACTGGGTTTGAAATTTGGAAACCGAGACGCTAATGCAAGAAATCCTTCAAGTGTGTGAACACATATTTTCTTCGTTTTTTTGGGATAATTGGGTAATTTTTCGAAAATTGTTTTGCTTTCACTCAAAATATCAATTATATCCGGACTGTTATCATTAATGCAGTCATAAATATCACGAATTAATTCAAGGTAACCAGCAACACTATTTGCCTCTATAGTGCCAATTTTACGTAATTCTTGCAATACAGGTCGTTCTGTTAAATTTAGACATGATTTCAAATTCATAATATCCGTAGGATCAACTTCTTCTCTGTCGAGTAATCGATACAATGTCCTATGTTGTATCATGTAATAAATTATGGTCTGCATTGAGATTTTCTCGTGCAATATTGTTCCATTAAATAATACATTTCGTTGATTTTTGAAATTGTGAACGTAATCATTGACGAAAATGAAGTCTTTGTGTTTTTTTCTAATAATTGTTTGCACAGCATGTGCATCAATTTCTGCATCAGAACATCCACACACAATTGTTACAGATTCTTGGAGCAACTCTTTGAAATAAAGTATTTTGCTAGTGACAAATTCAAGTACGTCTGTTTCAGAACTAACTCCAAACCAACCCAGCGGTAAATGCCATGAATTATCGATGGCATTAATAGAAAATAAAATCATTTGGTCTATTAGATGTTTAACACCAAATTGTTTCACGTCTTCAACAGTGTAACAATATTTTTCACTTCCAACAATTTGATCTCCCAAAACATCAAAATGTTTAAACACTTTCATTCCATCAAACGAGATACATGTATCTTTACAAGAGTCAGGCAGTAACATGTTCTTTAGGGTAAGTGTGATGTCGGGAATCATACCATAACAACCAGCAGGTGTCCATTGTTTAACAGTATTCCAACTTGGTATAATTAGATTATATTTTAAATGATTAAAATTATTCCGTTCAATATTTTGATTGCGCTCTCCTCCCATTCTGATGAAAAATTGTTTTCCACAATAATATTTCATCACAACCCAATATCTTCTTTCAACCTCTGAATATTTGTGATGAAATGGATTCTTTGTATAATTTTGCAACTGATTGAATATAAAGGATCCAAAAAATGTCTCTAAGAATGGAGTAAAGCTTGACCTTGGAACCTTCAAAGCTTGTGTATCACGGTGTTCATTGTTCGTAATTTGTTTGTTGTTGTATTGTGTCGACAATGCTTCATTGTATGAAGTTTGAGCTTTTCTAAACACTGTTAAAAGTTTGTGTTCATCTTGGCTGACTGGTATAAATGGCACAAGTTTACACAATAACTCATACATCAATAATGGAAATGATATTAATTGCTTGGGTTGTGGTAAAATTCCTTTCAATAGCATTTCAAATATATCATGCCTATTTTCCATGATTGAAACTAGGTGTTTTTCCAATTCACTACATTGACGACACTGATTTTGAAAAATACTACAATATTTTGAACAACATGCTGATTCTAAGGTGAGTTCGTCTCGAATAACGCCAATTATGTCATAATCGCAATTATAAATTTGTTTTCCTGTTAATAATTTAGAATAATTGTTCCGATTTATACCTCTGCAAACGTATTTCAGTTCGGAATAGCACTCTTCATAACTAACATTAGTAGCTGGTGTAATATTTTCAACCATGAACGGTTGATCTTCAAAATAAACTCTTTTCTTTACTGACGGCATTATTGAAGCAGTTGAACGAATATCGGGAGCATTGTGGTTGTGTTGATCACTCAGCTTCTGCCAGAACGTTTTGTTTGCTGTAGGCATTTTTTTTGGTTGGAGATGTTTATTTTCGTGATGACACTTGAGTTCGTCAACGTCGCCAAGAATGGTTGGGTATAGGCTGGTTGCCTACGAAGCTTTTTCTATCTGGCTCACCCTCCCTGAACACAGACACACCCTCACGGCCGGGACTTCTCGTTAGTGGTTGTGCTAGAATTAACTTGAAGCAAAACCAATTCACACACGCTCGTCGACTCCTCTACCACCACATGGATTGTTGGTAAGTACATGGGGTAATCAACTGTAATTCGATCAATTCTTTTGTCAACGAATGAACTACTGCGGGTGCGTGTTATCTGACTCTCATTTTCAAATCATCACGAATCATCATCCTGTATTGTGGATTCGAAATTCATGAACGTACGACCAATTTCCTTTTTCTTCACTTTGGACAACTGTGCGTGAATATTCATCATCACGAATCACCGCTGTTTGTTATCATGATGATGATGATGACGACGATCACCGTTGTGTGAAAATACACCATATCCGCAACTGCTGATCTCAAAATATTCCAATCAACAACAGATCAGCATTGGCAGCGTTCTCACCACAAAAAATTTTCGACGACCACTGACACTTGATCCTTCTTTTTGCCTATTTGACAGTCAAAGACAAATTATCTCTGGCAAGGCAACAACAACAGCAGTCAGTTAGACTTCAACATTGCAATCCTATCATTTCCTCACATCTTCCCTTTGTGATTGACCCGATTCTCGTTTTTTAAGAAATTGTCACACAATCTTCTTCTCCCGTTTCTCACAAACTGAAAATTATCAACACGTACACAAACAGCGCTGAACACACAAATGTCACTCTCAGAATATGTTCGTAGAGAGGATTTGAAAAGTCTCTATGCGCTTCCCATGAAAGAAGCAAGCAAAAAACTAGGAGTGAGTGAAAGCAGTTTAAGAAATATTTGCAGAAAACACAATATTGAAAGATGGCCGTGTAAGTTTATCATCATCACTATCATTTAATACGAATTATTATTGTTATGATCGTCTTGGATGGTTTCATGTATTCTTCAACGATAATTTTGATTTCGCTCAATAATGCTTTATCTTCCATTTTGCACATTTGTGTGAATTACCCTATTGATTGATTATAATCGTATGGCCACAACATAATATGAATACACTCTTGTTAATTCACCTTCATCATCATCACCTTGTGATCACATTCGTTTTGTCCAATTGTGACGATGACACGACTTTACATTTGACTTTCTTCAAAAATGGAAACTTTTAATTTCGCGCAAACAATTGTGTACAGATCGAAAATTCCAACAACTAGATGCACACATAGCCTCTCTTCAAAATGTTGAAGCATCACAACAATCCGCTCAACAACGAGAAATGATTGAAAGCTTACTAAGAGCAAGATCAATTCTCGAAGAAAATCCAAACATGACATGCGAGATGGCAATTCTGCAAGCCAACAAACAAATCATGTCTAACAATCCAAATGCCTCCTCACAAGACATGACAGCTGTCATGATGATGATGATGATGAATTCGGCGTCACAAGAAGATTCCTCTCCAACCATTTCATCATGTGCCGAAAGTGTGGCCCAATCATCTGCACAAATGAATCCATCCAATAATCATCATGCCCAAAATGGAGCAAACTTTGTGCCTATTTATCCAGTTCATGTGACATCCCATCTCTCTGCAAGTGCTGCACTGAGTGCCATGGCAAGAAGAAAGAAACCAACTCATGGTGAACTCATTTCTCCCACACCATCCAACAACATGATTCACAATTCAAACATTCCAAATCTTAATAACAACAATGGATGGAATTCTTCTTCAATGATGACCATGGGACAACGATCCATGCCACAACAACAACAACCAAATCAACACATGATCGATCCAACAGCAATGCTTAAACAACATGTCAACACAAGATTCACAGATACTGAACTGATGCAATCCTATGCAACGATCAATAATGGAAACATTCCAATCATGATCATTGATCCACATCAACAGCAACAACAACAACACCACTCTCCTCAACTCAATTCACCTTTTTCTCAAGAATTTTCAGAGAGACGTTTTGCAGTTTCACACCGAGATTCGGTTGCTCTGAAATCAGGATTTTTGACACCCACTCAAAATTATCCTGTCAATGGCAACAATGCATTCATGATGAATAATAACAATACAACACTTCCATATGGAGTAGCACCAATGGATGAGAATGAAAATGTCATGATGGATTCAAATGCTGGAGAAATGAATCACATGATGAGTCATGAGATGGCATCTCATTACCTTGCTCAACAACAACAATTCCATCAGCAACAACAACAACAACCAATGAACATGCAACATGTCCAGATCACAACAACCAATGCAGACGGATTGATGGATCCAAATTCCAATGAACTGTCACCCAATGGAGATTTAACATCAAAATCAAGACACATTTCATTGTTGAAACAAGCTCGAAAACAGTTACCACAACCAAGATCTCTTTCTACTTCGACAGCAACGCAACGTCCTCTCAACACACATCACCCATTATGAGAGATTTGAATACAAATTGGATGAATAACAACAATAATGGTAACAATAATATGGGACAAGTGTCACCTTTAAAGACAGGTTCTTTTGGATTTCCAAGTCCACAAACACCAACAGTCTCCACACCAATTCAACACAATAACTCTGGAAACAACAATAATTCAGGAGGGCAATTAAGCGGTAACAACAACAACATGCTGCCAAATGCCAATGCAACTAGCGCTTCACAACAACAACCTCCATCTCTGAGAAGCACCATGAGTGGATCAATTTTCTCATTTTCATCAGATCACATTATGGATGATGAGGATGGAGATGTTGGAATGTTAATGAGCACATCTCACAATGATCTTTCATTCAATTCCTTGTCATCCTCACCTTACTTGTCTCCTTTTATTAATACTCAACAACGTACTTCAACTTCGTCTGTTTCATCCTCGACTTCTGACATTTTCCAAACATCGTCTCCACACAACAATAGAAATTTTTCACTAACTAACACAGTTCCACCCATCAATAGCTTGTTCCGTGATAGTAACAGTAGTTTGCAGGATCCATTCAATAACGATCAATTTAACATTTCCAAACAGGAACAAAGAGAGACGAACCAGAGAATTTTGGAAGCACTTCGAAGCACTCCTCTGAATCCTGTTGGTACTGGACAAAATAGTGCAACCAGTTATGATCCACTATTCGACAGTGATGCCTTTTTGAGAGGAAGAACAAGCTCTGTAAGCTCGACAGACATTAGATTATCAGATTCATGCACAACTCCTTTGACACCTACTGAGCAAGGAAGGTCCTCTTTTTCTAAAATTTCTCACTTTTAGTTTTATTTGTATTTTTATTGACACTGTGACTTTGAGGAATTAAGTTTTGCATACCGTATTTCTACTCTAACCTGGCAACATGAATGCCTGAGTATTTTTGACAATCAACACACAATAAAAATTTTGTAATTTTAGTTTGCATCAAACTCGCGAGTACGGTCCATGAAATACCAATGCTTACCCAGAGTTGAACAAAGTACAGTTTATTTGTTAGTAATTTCCTTAGAAACAACCAAATCTCCTAATTGTGTGACAAGCAAACGATAGAATGCGTTGTAGTCAAGAATATTACCTTTTCCTCTTCTTACTTCGACAACTGAGAATCCACCGCTGGTTTCTTCAATCTTAACGCTGAAGGTGATCACAGACTGATTCACAGTAGCCATACACTTGATTTCATCGTCTCCCTTAGTTGTTGGTTTGGCCTTCAATTGATCTAAGGTATGGACGATAGCTGTTTGTGCTTGGGACTTGCTTCCTTTAGCCATAAATCTGGTTTGTCTCTTGATTTTGACGGATGCATCGGAGGACATGAGAGGATTTATGGAACCCATCATCAACATGGAAGCCAAGTCGAAGGCGTTCAAAGTACCTGCCTTAAATTGAGTAGGTTGAGGAGTTGTGGAAGGTTGAACCTCAGTTGCATCTGCAGTAGACTTAACAGAGGCGTCAATTTCCTTGTCAGTCAAGCTAATCTTGGAAGTAGTCTTGTCCATCTTAAAGTCAACCTTGAACCACTTGTGATCCATGACTTGGTCAATGGTAATTCTCTTATCAGGATCTACTACAAGCATTTTGCTAATGAGATCAGTTTGAGCTGGAGTAAAATGAGGTGGGTATGAGAATTTACCTAATTCAATCTTGGCAAACAGACCCTTCATTGTTTCATCCTCAAATGGCAAATAACCAGCCAACATGACATATAAAATTACACCACAAGACCAAACATCTGCCTTCTTGCCATCATATCCTTTTTCCTTCAACACTTCAGGAGCTGCGTTGTTGAATTTTAATGATGATTCATGTAAGGGTTTTCACAAAGTATCCAATAAATACGTGTCAAAATGTTCTAGAGCCACAATACTTACCAACATAGTTTGGTGTACCACATGTAGTCATGAGGAGCTTACTTTGTCCGTCGGTTCCAGACAGTGCAGATAAACCAAAGTCGCTAATTTTCAAGATATCTTCTGCGTCCAACAACAAATTTTCGGGCTTCAAATCTCTGTGAGCAATTCCTTGAGAGTGGCAATATGCAATTCCCGAAATCAATTGTTGGAAGTATTTTCTTGCTGTATTCTCGTCGAATCGTTTTGCCTCAACTGTTGTTGTTATTTGTTTGTACGGAAGGTTTGTGGTGTAATTTTATGTTCGTATGAAATAATATTATGTCATTATTAATAAATCGTAATTGTGCAAGAAAGGATGATTTGAGCCGAGATCAGTATCATTGTAGCAATTCGGAGTAAAATCATCACAATGTTGATAGGAATTTCAAAAGCAATTGTTATCGAGCACCACAAACGATAATTACAACATACCAATTCTGTCAAACAATTCACCTCCGGTAATCAATTCCAATACAATGTAAATATGTTTAGAGCTCTGAAGAACCTCTCTCAATTGTACCACGTGTTTATGTTTGAGGATTTTCATGATGGCAATTTCTCTCTTGAGCTGAGCCTCCATGTTTTCTTGCTTGACCATCTTTCTATCAATGATTTTGATCGCCCAGTGAGAGTTATCTGTTGTATCCACAGCTAATTTGACTTTAGAGAAGGTACCTCTACCGAGGGTTTTACCCAATTGATACTTTTCAATCTTCTTTGGCATTCTGTGTGGTGGGGAGTTGGAATTATTCCATGATGACGGATCATCACGTTATGAACAATAATAAAAACAGTGTCGGTTTGATATAAAAACAACAATAAGGATCACAAACGACATTCAACAATAGCACCCATTTTGTATGAAACGTCGTATTTACAAGTAGAACCCCAATTTTTAATCCAAGATTGATGAAACAATGGAATGAACCATGTATGTATCGCTCCGAACAAACCGTGGACGTACCTTGTGAGAGATGAGTATTATTTTTTGTTTCTGTAAATTGGATGGATGAAGATTCTGTGAATCATTCACTGAAATCGAAAAGGCTTCTGCTTCAGTGATCGACCTATGTGTTTATTGTTCATGAATCTTTGGGTTTTTAAACGATTATAGAATTTAATCTCCCTAAAGTTAAGTTCACAGAAGGTCACACAAATTTCTCTCACTTTTTCTTAATAAAATTGCAATATTGTTTTTGAATGTCTAAGCGTACGTCCCTATCAAACTTGTCGAGCATGGACGGATCTGTTTTCATAATTTCGTCATAATGTTTGGCAATATTGAACTTGCAAAATCCTTTCATGAGTTTATCGTCAACGACATCACAAATTTCAAGAAGTTGTATCATGGTAGGAATGTCCACATTTTGCTGCTCTCGAATGACATTTTTCGAATATTCATGAAGCTCCCCAAGTTCAAATTGAAAACTTGACATGTAAATTTCTACAGCATTGCTTTGATCCATATCCACAGAGCTCAAGTACAAGGTATAAATATAATTAAGGATGGTAAGAACGCTACGAATGGTGTTTTGTTCGAAAATCATGACTCGAGTTTTGGACTCTAAGAAATTCATTTCGAAAACAGAATGGAAATACTTGCTTCGTTTTGTTAGGATCCACTTGTGTACGAGGACACTTCGATACGAGGCCACATCCAAATCAAGAGAGGTTGGTGCCACCAAACGAACCATTCCAATAGGCACAGGATTTTGATCTATTTTGTGTTGAACATAGTCATTAATATTTTCAATCACTTCATCCTCCAAAGTGAGGAATGTTTTCATGGTTTGAGCGAGGTAGACAAGAAGGCAGTGCGAATTCATGTCAGAAAATGTAAACACATCGGCACATAGCGCTTTCTTCAGCAATGGCAATTCCAAATAACATGCCAAAATATAAATATCTTCAAAATCGCTGGTAGTCAAATATTTCGTCTCAAACATCCCTGAATACAGATATTGCATGATACACTTAAAACTCGTCCTCAAATTCGTAATATTTTGGATTGGTAAATCATCCAATAAAATTGCAACAGGATGGCCATGTTTTAGAGATGCCTCAGATGAATTTAAGAAATCATTCATGATGTCTTGAGCTCTCTCAGTTTCATGTTGTTCAAACATGTCCAATGCAAAAATTTTCTTCTTCAACACTGAAGACCTCGCTAACATTAATTTGTGTCCATAAAACTTTTCTTGTTCAGCGTTCTCATCTAATTGATTAATGAGGATGGTCACATCACACTCTTCAGGGGCTCCTGTGTTATACCATTCCAAATAAAATCGACACAAGTCGAGATCATCCTTTGTACGTTTTTGATGAAGCGTTCTAAATGATGGAGCAATGAGAGCAGAGTTGTCTCGAGCTTCAAGAGGCTCTTTGCAACAAACAAATCTTAGAAGTGTGTCTTGAAATGAGACGAAGGGAATTTGGTTTGGAATTCCTCCAAGTAACATTAATTTGCCTGCTATGGAAGTGGCTGAACAAAATGGAGTAAATGTGTCAAATATTGAGTCAAAGTTTCGTGTGGCTATTTGCCATCTCAGATTTTTTGAATCAGCCTCAAATAATGTCGTATTCCATTCAGATCCATTCCATCCTCCAAATAATAGCAAGGCGCCCCCGTTACTGTACAGAGAAGACATTGTAAGGCGAGGAATGACAACCCAAGAATCAATACTGCTGACTTTGAAAAGTGTCTTGCTGGTAATATTGAATCTGTAGAGGTCTGAGAAAATTCTACTGTTTGAGTGACCTCCAAAAATATAAATATTGTTTTCAATGACTGCCATACTTGAGCCGGCTCTGGGTTCAATAGGACACTTGCTCATGACAAGCCGTATCTCTTTCGAGAACAAATCAAAACAGTAAAAATCGTTTGAGTATTGTTGAAGATCTCCATTAAAACCGCCGAAAATATAAATTTCGTGAAAAGTTGAAGCAGTAGCGTGACCACATAGCTTGGGAATGAACCCGTTATAGTCTTTCCATGCAAAATTGGTTCCAGCAATATTGATATCTTGTCAAATTGTATCACGAATAGTGGTATTTCATAAATATACCAAATTACGACCCATCACTTACCTGAAAGAATATTTCCTCTCTTGTCTATGCCTCCAATGACGACAAATACGTTTGAATGAACCACAAAATCAAAAGTATGAAATATTCGTTCAGATATTTTAGATTCCTGTCGTTTGGGAGAGAGGTTCATTTTGTCCAAATCTAATGTAATCAACTCATTTGTTACTCCATTGTCTGTTAATCCACCCCAAATGTATATCGTATTATTTTGTTTCACATATACTGATTTGTGGAGAATTCTTTTCAATAGAGCTTTTGAAAAACTTGTGACGTTCGTACATGATTTTTGAAAAATGCTTTGTGAAAATAAATGTTCAGTGGAGAATAACTTTCCATGTTCCTTAGTGTCGATCAACAATTTGATGGAATTATATTGATAATTAGGCCGTTCTAGAATTTCTTGCCGTGGTGGTTCAAGTGTAGATTTCTCTTCCATATTTTCAATAGTTTGCAATAATCGTTGCCAAATCGTTTTCGTTTCCTCTTTGGTCTCTGGAATGGTATTTGCAATAGTGTCACTGTTATTTTCACTTGTTGTCACAGGTGGGGGTTCAGTTGGAGTTTTGTCTGTTGTTTTGTTCACTGGTTTTTCGCCTTTTTCAATAGATTTTTTGCTTTTGGGTTTTCTTTGTTTTTCAATTCGCTTTTCACTTGGTTTATCAATATTGGTTTCAGAAACAAAAGCTCGGCCAAATGTTCTCAGCCATTCATCTACTGATGCCACCATACAAGACAGTGCATCTTCGTTGCTTTTTCGAAGATTCTAGTTTCATAAGGTAAAATTTCTCTATGTCCATTATTAAATAAAAACACTCACAGCCAAATGATCTTGTAACTTCTTTGCTTCATCTTGCAATTCCAACTCGGCAACAATTTGTTCAATATCCATCACTGAAAATTTGGTAACATTGTTTCTCAAATGTGCCAATCGTTGTTCACTTCCAGTCTTAACCACTGCACTCTTCACTCGTACTCTTGTATGCACTTTGGCATATAAAACAAAATAAATGATAATTTCAAAACCCGTCCGACATAATTTAGAACTGTACCATGGTACAGCGGAATGTGGTTCTTGTTCCTTTGTTGAAAAGTCTTGAATTTTGAATGGATCGTTATGATGATGGTGATTGGAAGATGCTTTTGGCTCCACTTTCAACACCATTTGTAGCTCCTCTCCTTGTATTTCTGTATTTTCATCCGAGAATGATGATACTACACGATACGAGAGAGGACTTTGTTGAACAATCGGGTCATGAATGCCCTCGATTACCACATGTGCAGCCTTTTCCAACGAGTGCTTTTTGTATGGAATCATTTTTTGAGATAGGGAAGTGCAATTCTGTAGCACTTGAGATGAACAAGTTGATGAACAACTGGAATGGTCCTTGGGAGTCATCTTGTCAAGCGTTGAAACAAAAAAAACGAGTCAAACACTATCCGTTCGATTGCTTTGACGTTTGGCAGGAGAATAGACAAGTCGCAGATATTGGCAATTGCAACTTTCGGAATGCTTAATTTCGTCTCATTTCGTCATCATCGAAGCTTCTGTTAAATTTTACATCATCACACGAATTTACGACAACACTATTCAGAACTACTTGCCAAAATAATTGTCATCATCAATAATAATAATTACATTTGAGAAAACAACACGATGGCACCTCTTCTCTACTTACTGTTGACCATTGTTATTGCAAGTATTGGAGCCGTTTGGTTCTTCTTAAAGTCATCTTCTTCATCCAAGGAAAACAAACAATCTTCGGATAACGATAAGAACAAACAACCAACCACCTCCTCTGACAACAAGAAAACTAGCAAATCTACTAAAACAACAACCATTGATGATCATACTACTAGTAAGAAAGACTCTCAAAAAGAAGAGCCTCTAAGAAATGACATGGATGACAAGATAACGGAAAATTTGTCCAACCAAAACGACCAACAACAAGTGTTGCACCAACAATCAACGGGCACACAAAATGAGAATCATCAACAAGAGGGTTCAAACAACAACAACAACCCAAGCACACAAAAGATCATTGATTCAAACAACAATGATGTCGCTTCACATAATGCCATCGATACGACTTTATCAACTCCGATCCAACAAGAGCAACCGACGAAAGAAGAGGAACTCGAGCTCATAAACAAGCAATTGAACTCGATTGAAATTCTTCAAGCATTGTGCAATGGTGTCATGGAACGAAACACACACCGAAAAGCAATTTCCATGTTAAAAGCATGGTCTCAATCAAAAACGGTTCGAAATGCAATGGTCACTAGTAAGAGACAACTTGTAATCATTCAATCATGGGCTCGAAGATTGAAAGCTAAAAAAAGTTTCGATCATTCACAGAGTTCTGTGAATACCATTCAGGCTGCATGGAGATCCAAGTTTGAAACCGTTCAAAAAACAAAACAAGAAGAAAAGGTCATTCGTATTCAAAACATGATGAAAACCAAACAAGCGACATTGGAAATGAGAAATGCTCTTGAAAATATTGTGAAATGTCAAGCTCAATTACGTGAACGATTGACTCGAAAACAATTGAGTAAGGAATTGGAAAATGTGGAAAAAATTGAAGCTTTGGCCAAGAGACGAATTGAGGAATTGAAAATTCACAAAGTTTTAAATGCCACCACACGCGTACAATCGCTTGCAAAACAATCATTGCAAGAAAAAAAGTTCCATCAAAGTATGGAGGATATTCACATGTTGCAATCACTTTTTCGAGCAGCTCTTGCTGAAAAGAAACATGTACAATATTTAGATTCTACATTGAAAATTCAAGCTCTCCTATTGCGTCAACAACAAGTGAATCATTTTTCACAATTGCGAAACCATATTATTTTACTTCAATGTGCTTGCGAAGCCAAGTTGAAAAGAAATAATATTGAAGAACAAGCGAAAAGTGCATTGACTATTGATGCTCTCTATCATGCAAAGCGAGAATATGAAAAGTTTTTGGCTCAAAAAGAGGCCATTTCAATGTTCCAACAAGCATGTCGTGGACTTTTACAACGACAATCGATTCAAGAATCTAAGGAGAGTCTTGCCAAGTTGCAATCATGGATCATTGGAAAGATTGTACGAAATACTCAGCAAGAACAACACGAGAAGATTGTGAAATTGACTGCTTGTGTGAAATCTAGATTGGATCGTCAAGATTTTAACCGTGCAAGAAAACAAGTCCTTGCTCTTCAATCTTTGATTCGAGCCATTCTTGCAAAAGAAGCGACCGGTAAAATGCAACAGGAGCAAACCATAGTAGCCTCTCTCATTCAAGCTATGAATCAGAAACGTTTGGTATTTTCGAATTTCAATGCAAGCAAATTCAATTCGACAGTAATTGGTGCATGCTATAGAGGAATATCTCAGAGAAAGGAATTCGAAAATTGTATCCACAAGTCCATTGTTCCATTGCAAGCACTTGGTAGAAGATTCTTAGACATGAAGAATAGAAACAAACTCGGAAACTTGATGGATCAAGTCTCACAAGTTCAAGCTCTTGTTAGATCGAAAAAGTGTCGCCAAGATGTTGAGCATGATATCCAAAAGTTGCAAGTAATCCAGGCATTGATCGTTGCCAAACGTGAACGGTCTTCTTTGCATTCGAAATTGTCACTCTTGAGCATGCTGTCTTCCAAATCAAGGGCTGAATTGAACAGAAAACAATTACATAGTAATTTCACACGTGTGAACTTTTTGAATACTCTTTCAAGACGCTACATTGAAAACAGAAAATTTAATAATCTCATGAATTCTCTCACACTCTTACAATCTCGCTCTCGTGCCTTCATTGAACAACGGAATTTGAAGACACAGATCATGAAAATCCAATTATGCCAAGCTTTATGTATGGGAGGTCTTGGAAGAAAGATTCTCCAAGAAGAGAAACAATTAATTAAGGAAAATGAATTGAAACAAGTCATGGAAAGCACCACACAGTTACAAGCATTCATTCGAGCACAAGTTGTGAAGCGTCAACAAAGACATGAATTACAACGTGTAATTTCCTTGCAATCTTTGTTGCACGGACTTGTTGCAAGAAAGTATTTACAAGGTCAACATGAACTGTCCACAGCAATTCAATCCCAGTACAGAGCCATGCAAAGTCGTCACAATTCCGTCAAGGCTCTCACATTTGTCACACATTTACAATGCAATGGCCGTAGATGCGTTCAAGAGAAGCATGTCAACAAGAGTCGTGAAAGAACCATCACTGTTCAAGCTATGGTAAGACATTATTTGTGTTCTAAAACTATGAATGCAAATATGAAGGCTGTAGAATGTGTTCAAGCAAGAGGCAAGAGTGTATTGACACAAAAACAATTACAACAATCTCTTCAAAGACTTGTCACTTTGCAATGTCTAATGAGATGCTTCAAAAACAAACACAATCAAATGCAAAAATTGAATCGAGCACGAGTATTAAGTTCTCTGATTAGAGCCCATCTCTCACGCCAACAATTGAACTTGGAATTGAGAGACCTTGTTCAAATTCAAGCACTGATTCGAAGCCATGTGCTGCAACAAGAACAACGAACATGCAATTCTACCACTCGAATGGCACAAGCAATGATTCGTGGAATTCAAGAAAGACGTTCACAACGTAGGAGCAAAGAATCCATCGATCTCATTCAAGCACTCGCAAGAAGATACATTGCTCAAACAGAGTTGACTCATTGTGTGTCACAATTATCAAAATTGACATCCAAGTTAATGTCTACCCATTGCAGAATACTCATGACTCGAGAATTGCAAGACATTTCAATGATGCAATCATTGGCAAGATCCACAAAATTACGAATTGAAAAACAACACCAAATGGACCAAATTACTCAACTTCAATCAAGAGCAAGACAAGAAATGAGCTCTAAACATTTACTTGTCTCACTTCAAGCCATTCATACCATACAATCTGCATTCCGTGCGAAACAACAACGAGATCATCATTCCAAACTCCAAACACTCGTTCAATGTGTGCGCGCATGCTTCATTTCTACTCAATCTCGTCAACAATTCAAGCAATCTCTTGAACATATTGTTTCCATGCAATGCCTCCTTCGACGACACCATTCTTCTCAAATCCAATCAAACAAGATGTTGACACAATTTGTGACCTTACAATCGCTCCTACGTGGCAGTCATGATCGAATTCAATCTCGCCACACCATGTACGCTCTTTCACAAGTTCAAAGTATTCTCAAAGGAACACTTTCTCAACACAACTACTGGAGTGATTGGCAACGAGTATTCCTTCTTCAAGCTCGTCTTCAATCATTGAAATGTCAAAGAAAATTCCATGCACTCAAAGAACGAGCATCCTATTTCCAAGAACGAGTCGATCAAGTGTCTCTCTTACAAGGTTTCATTCGAGGATTTTTATATCGAAGAGATGATTTATTATATGTGAGTAGCAGACATAAGAATGCTGCTGGTTCGAGTGTGATGGTTCCATCGACTTCGGATATTTTACGTCAACTCTATGACGAAGAAGAAGAAGAAGAATATTATGAAGAAGCACATTCGGATGAAGAAGAACTTGATGGTCAAGATTTGGAACATTTATCAATTTCACAGAATGAACCACAGGACGACCATTCTTCAACTGTTCTCACTGAACACACTCAACACGATGATCATGCCATTTTAACAAATAATCATCACCATCTTGAAGAGACACATCCAACCTTAGAAGAATCACAAACATCCAATGCCATGTCCAGCATTGTTGGAGATTCTCATCAAGCAAAGAATGGAGAGGATGATGGTCTTCATCTCAACATGCCCTCCACGAGCAGTAATGTTTTGTCCTCTTCGATGGAATCTACTCCTTCAGTTCTCACTTCAAGTACCAATCATTTCCACAAAAAGTCTCAATCCATTACTTCTGTCTTCCCCACGAAACTACAAGGAGATCAAAACACTTCCACAGGCAATAAGAATCAACAAGCACCTCATCAGAGAAGAGACCGAAGAAATTCTGCATTCCTCAACTTGAATGCAAAACCAATTCAAAAAAGAAGTCAAGTTCACAAACTCATTGATGAATGTATTCGAAACAAATCTTCAACATTGGACATCTCTGGTTTGGATTTAGATACCATTCCATATGCTGCTATTGATTGCAAACATGTGACATCCTTACGAGTTGCAAATAATAACTTGGCAACCTTACCTTCTTGGTTTTCTGAAACATTTAAAAACGTTACTGATTTAGATCTTCATGGAAATCAGCTGTATGAGCTACCCATTGATTTAGCACAGTTACCTCTTCGTAAAATTAACATTAGTCAAAACAAGTTTGAATTTATACCTCAACAAATTGTGGAAATGAAATCTATAGAAAAGATGGACCTCAGTGGAAATGTATTATTGAGCTTACCTACAACCATTAGTCATTTGGAAAAAATTGAAGAGTTGAATATTTCTGAAAATTGTTTAATGACTCTTCCTGAAGATATGAAAGAATTGAAAAGTCTCAAATTTTTCAAATATGACAACAATCCCTATTTACAATCAGAAATTTCAAGAATTGCTGAAATTGCCTCTGCCATTACCGGTGAGAAGAGTAAGACCATTGTTCAAAAATTGAGAAATACTGACACCTTGGGATATAAGGAAATTGTCACAAAACCAAAAGACAATGTGTATCTTGATCCTTATGGCGATTTGACAGATTTATCCGATGCCACTGAAATGTACAATGATGAAGAGCAAGAATCTGACTATACCATGGCTGAGGAAGGTAATCTCTCTCCAAGAGGAAATAATCAATCACTGGCAAACATGTCAGCATCTTTGGACACACCAACCACTCCACCCACTCGAATCAATCATCATTCTGATCGAAACGATCAATTAGATTCTGCAATTTCCTCTCAATTGACTGTTCCTTCGACCAACGATCAAACCATCTCGGATACAGATTCTGAAGATTTGAGTACAACACCTCCAAAATATGTTCCACAAATTGCCATTCCAAAAATTACATTGGATGCAATTCAGAATCAATCGTTGGATTCTCCTGGAACGAACTCTGCTGAAATTTCTCCTCAATCTGTGCCATCGTATGAAGATTCACAGAAACGAGTCTTTGGAGTGTTGTCAAAGGAGGGAAATGAAAGAACTTACTCGGAAGTGGTTCATATGGATCAACCCTTATTCCATGATCATATGGCCAATTCACACAAAAAGAAGAAGAATCGACCCAAATCGACCTCATATCAAAAACGATCGAGTGTTGAAGATTTAGATGAAGAATTATCAGATCACCAAGATGTTGACAATGAAGAAGACGAATTATTGGATGAACACGAAAGAGAATTGAAAGAAGCAAAGAAAATTAAGGAAAGAATTAACATGGTTCTTGAAATTTTAGAAAGTGAACGAAAATATGTGAAATATTTGGACGTGTTGTGGGATTTGTTCTATGATCCGATTGTGAATAATCATTTTCCACATGATAAGGTGAAAACTCCTGATGAATCAGAGCGTCTTGTTCCCAAATCTATTGCTAAATCATTTTTCCCTCATGATTTACTCACGATCAAGACGTTTAACAAGAATTTCCTTTCCAAATTGGAAGAACGATTCAAAATTTATAGAGATGATCCTACGAAAATCTATGACATGATTATTGGTGACATGTTTATCAAAATTTCACCATTTTTCAAAATTTATACTTCCTATCTCAGTTCTTATGAAAGTTGCATGACCAAAATTAGAGATTATCGACAACATGATACTCGATTTGACAAGTGGCTTGACAAACGCAAAATGCATCCAAAAGCAGCTGGTTTAGAAATTGGTTCTTTCATGATCATGCCTGTACAAAGAATTCCACGTTATTTACTCTTATTGACCAATCTTTTCAAAAACACACCTGAAAATCATGGCGATTATTCAAATTTAATGAGCGCCATTGAAACTGTGAGTGAATCTGCATCGACACAAAATTCCAAAATTAAGGAAACCAATAATAGAATTAAGGTCTATCAATTATCTAAACTCATGAATTTGAGTGATTTGGTACAACCTCATCGACGATTGGTTCGTGAAGGAGAAGTCATCTTTGGTGACAATCCACGAATTGAATGGAAAATGTATCTCTTCAATGACTTGATTTTATTTAGAGAAAAGAAGAGACAAAAGACAAAGGTTTCAAAAATTGTTAAAGCATACTCTCTATTAGATGCTTACATTAGTGGAGGTGGACAAAATCGATTGACCATGGTTTTAACCAATGCAGACACGAATCGAAGAACTGAAAAGGAAATTTTCTTTTCTTCACTCGAAGTGAAAATGGAATGGGTCGTTGAAATTGAAAAAGCTCTCGAAGAAGTGAATGAAAAGAGAGAATTCATGTCGAAAGGATCGAAATCAGTCGTGAGAACGAGTGGTCGAGCTGGAAGAATTTTCAGAGCTCTCAAATCTCCAAAACGAGATTCTCCACACATGCACACTTCGAGTTCCATGTCTGAACTCAGTCGAAGTAATTCCACCATATCTGCCTCTTCGAATCTTAGTTTGATTTCAACTCCGACAGGTTCTTCAATGTCAACTGGAAATTTAATATCGACACCTCAAACTCCATCAGCATCTTCGTCGTCCTTGTCCAGTTCGGTATCTTCCTTATCATCGTCCTCGCAAACACCAACAACCAAATCAAAGAAGAAATCAATTTTAGGAAAATTATTTGGAGGATTAAAGAAGAAAGCAAAAGAGGGTAAAGAAAAAGATGTTAAGGAATAAATTTATTTAATTATTAATAATTTTATAATCGTTTGTTAACCACGTGCTTTGAAGGTTAATTGGAATCAACCTTATTAGAGCTGACAATTTTAGAAACTTTGAACTCAATCACTTCTTTGAGAGACAAGCCAATCGATTCGTTTTCTTCTTGAGACATGCAAACTTGACATCCAATACTCTCAAAATATCCACAAGTTTTTTAGGAAGTTTCACAGCTTGTGCCATTCTTTTTCCTTCTTCCTTACAAGTGGTCACTCTTTGAATTCTCTTTTTACAAAGTTTCATTACTCGAAGAAGGTGTGACATGGACTTTTGATAACGTGTGAATGATTTCTTCTTTCGTTGAGTCATCTTGTTCATTTTACGTTTCAACCTTTTCACATGTTTCATCGCTCGTTTAGCTTTCTTGCTAGCTCTTTTCAGCGCTTTTTTCTTTCTGTGGATGCGACGTTTGCAACTGTTCTTCCTTTGTTGACATTTCACATTTTTGGAAATTCTATGAATGACTCGAACCATTTTTCTGACTCTGTTTTTTGCTTTCGATTTTAACAATCTCCACTTGCTCAACTTTTTCTCAATTTTCTTCACTCGACTACGCAACGATTTCCAACGTCTCAAAGTTTTCTCTACCTTCTTCTCATTCATCTTTATTCTCAACTTGCAAAATCCACTTGCCATTCTATTTCTGTAATGAAAACATGACGAATGTTTCTTCTTCTTTTCTGAAATTGCAAATGGAATTGTTGAATTTATATTCGCAACATGTAGAGGTTCGGAAATTTGTTTGTTACCCTTGTTCAACTTGTGTTTTTTAACTGCTTGACTCGTTCCACTCACAAATGTTGTCAATTGTAAAGAATAGAAACAAAGAAAGGAGATGAAAAGAATGAATGTGAGACGCCAAGTTATGACAGAGTTTGAAGTGCTACTTTTGTGTAGTGCTAAATTCATTCTCTCCATACAACTACTATTACTACTTGGAAGACAGAGTGGAGAGAATTTTTTTTAATATACTCCAACATACAATGTGTTTGATGGAGAATGAAAGAGAGCTTACAGTTGACAGGATGAACGTTGGTCATTGATAAAGTTCTTTCCTCGCTCAAAATGAGTCTCATGATCAACCTTACCCAATTAAATGTTCTCAACAAGAGTTTTGAAGCCCTTAATTCATTCCTTAAACAACAAATTTCATCTCCTCATTATCAAAAACATTCTCATCTAGATTCAGAATTATGGCAATCATCTCTTGGCATCATACTCTTCATGAGGCTGCTCCTGTTACTCTCGAATAAGCAACCAAAGCATCTGTCATGACAAAAAAGGCAACCTTCGTTTTTTTTTCTGACAGTTGGCTGGCCAATCATAAATTCACAAACTCTCTGTGCAAACTCCTCAAAAACAATGAAATCACTCTTCAACCGTATTTTCGGCAGTAACTCGTCAGATTCACAAGCTCAACACGATCTTGAACAAGTCTCTAGTAGTTACAACGAACAAGAACAACACTCTATCAATCATACTCCTAAAAAAGAACAAACAACGAACCGCTATTATTCTTCAAATCACACACCAATCCAATTCATGAAGAGAAGTTTAGCACAATCGTCGTGTCGAGGAGCCGAGTTTATGAAAGAGAATGGAAATAAGAGAACGAAATTATTTACTTCGGGTATGTCATTGGAAGCCTTATAGCTCGATGGAGGTGGATTATTATTTCATCTTGCTTTTATATCAAATCTTCACAACAATATGATGATCTTTTTTGATCATAATCTATTTGCAATCATTGAACAACGTGATGATCGAATCAATTAGGATCTAATGATAGTGCTCAAATGGGATTTGAAAAGAAGTCCATCTCCGATAGTGGTGGTGAATGGATTCAAGTTCATCAAATCAAAGGCTTAACGCCAACAGAATCCGAAGTGATCTTGAACAAAATTAATGTTATTGCAGTTGGTAGATCTCACTCTCTATTTGCTAGTAGGTAGATCATTATATTCAATCATACTCATGTATTCGAATTATATTTAATGAATATATTTGCATGATTTGTTGTTTCAACAATAACAACAATAATAATAACTTTCAATCCAGCAACCGATGGTGGTATCTACGGCTGTGGAAAAAACAATTACAATCAGTAAGTAATTGATAGAATTATAATAATTATTAATAATTCGAAAATGAATCAAATTAAGATTGGGAAACACTCCAACCTTTCACGGTACGACCGATGTCGAGCTCTTTACGTGCATGAATGATGAAATCTTGCGAGCCATGAAACAAGAAAAGGAAGCCATTCGTGAACGATTAACATCGTCGTCATCATCTTCTTCTTCCAATCACCAGAATGCATTACAAGAATTTCTCAATTCCACTCATTTTGATCATATTTACACAGTGGATCACATTTCATGTGGTTGGTTCCATACGCTCATTATTGTGAATGGAAATATCATTTTGGGAGCTGGTCACTCTTATTTTGGACAACTGTTTGGTGCAGATTTTAACAAGAATTTTGCAGTATTGAATTCAAAAATTGAATTGTTTAATAATTTTAGTAATGGAAATCCATATTGTCAGTATACAGTGACACACTCATCGTGTGGAACATTTTCGAGTTGTGTCGTTTTTAATAGATTTTTGATTTACCATTGTGGTGAGGCATCCAAAGGAGGTAATTTTGCTGTTCCTAATTGCTCTGAACTCAAGTCGCCAGTGAGAGACATTGCTCAGACAGATGCCAGTATCTACGTCATGTTAGAAGATCACTCTTTGCATTGCCAACAGAAGGAGTCTGATCATTTCAAGATGGAGCAGAGACACGTGGCTGCCTTTGGAGGAGGTCACATGTCCAATACTTCATACTGGATCAAAGAAATGACAGACAACCCTGTGGTCACAACAAGTGATCAAAAGAATATGGAACTTTTCTCTGTTCCTCCCAAACTTGGAGCTATGGAAATTGAATTTTTTGGTGGATATTACTGCATGTTTGGAGTTATTAACAAGAAAATTCTCTTCATGCATGGTAACAAACTCAACTCGGCCAAGCTCACAGATATACCGTTCACAAATGGACTATTCAGCCCTCTGATTTCTGCACAATCATTAATGCTTTCTACACATGCTCACAACAAAAAACTGGCAGAATATTTGTTCATGGAACGATACAATATTGAATGTGTCCAGTCTGGATGTGATGTAAATTTATTATTGATTTCTGAATACGTTGGAAATGATTTTATGAAAACCAGATTATTGAAACAAGTCACAGACGAAAATTATCAACGATTTTGTGACATTGAGATTATATGATAAATAAACATTTGAAAAAATTCATGTATCTTTACCTGAAGTTGTTATTTCGTTATGTTAGAATAAACCAATATTTGTCATTATGACACTCAATGAAACTTGTAATCGAGTTGCCCTCCAAAATCCCGTGGCACTTTTGTCACATCTAGAAACTCATCAACTTCGCTCATATTGTACACCATTTTGATTTTGTCTGCAGTTTTCTTGTCTAAAAATTGATTGACCATCTTCATGAGAACCTTGTAAGACCAATTTGGATTGTACACCATCACACATTTCATTCTCTCAGCATAGTAGCTTGATAATGTTAAAAATTCCTTAACGACTGCCAAATCAAAATTCTTCATTGCTACAGTCCTTCCATCGTACACAATGGTGTATTGTTCTACATATTGATTCAATACCACATTTTCAATGTAATTCAAATCAACTCTGTGATTCATCTTTTGAAGCATGGGTAATACATGTTCTTCGTTATAGGTTCGAATCATTTGCATTCCAAATTCTCCCATATAGAGTGTATAATTAATGCACTCATCAAAATCTCTATCGTATGTGACATGATTTTGTGGATAAATATAAATAATAGGAGAATTCTGTTTGGTGTAACCCAACCAAAAGCCCTTCATTTTCGAATATTCTCTCTGTACACTCTCTTTCGTAATTAAATGTGGTTTTTTATACAATCTCCAAGCAATGGTCTCATGAATCAATGTTTTCACAGCATTCACATCGAATTTTCTTGCATGACAAAATCTTAATAAACTAAACACATCCAATACCAAGCCGTAATCATCAATTAAATCCTTGACATGGACACTCGTATCGACATGATTCTCTTTACCATAATTGGATGAAAGCAATGACAAATCCATTTTGATCATCTTTTCACTTTGACTTTTCATAAATTTGGAACTCAACACATGTTCTACTTGACTCAAAAACTCATCTCCCAATACATATCTCTCAATATTTACAAAACATTCCTTTTCAGAATCAGTTGCAGTTCGTAAAAATTGATTCCTTTTCGCAACTTGCAATAATTCATCATACCATCCATCATTCTGTTGAACGGTCAAGTTCTCGATAGAATATTCACATGAAAATTCTCTCGAAATTCTGCCATATACAAACACATGAGGAGGTATCGAAGAAGAGCTCAATACTTTCTTCCATTCATAAAACAGTTGCCCATGAGAAGGCAATTCCATTTTAGAAATGTCAAGATGTGCATGCGAATCATTGACAAGAATTTTCTGAAAGCTAGAAGTAGTAGCAACATCCTCTTCTCCTCTCTTCGTACTTGCTCTCTCCGTCGGAATTTGTACGAGAGGACTCTGAGGACTCAAATTCGATTCAGAACCTTTCAATGAAGAGGATGAGAGAGTATTCGTTTCGAAACAAGTGGAGGAAGAAACTTCTTCTGTTCGAGTCATTGCGTGAGAGATGGAATGAATGGTTTGGAGATGAGGCTCAATGCAACGTGATGGTTTGTTCGGTCGGGAATAGAAGGAACAATGAGAGAATGAGTTTCAATTTTTTTGAATGTACGTCGTGTCTCTCGTAATTTTTATGTGTCACGAGCCTAATGGATGCATTTCGAGGAGGTAATTGGAATGCTTTTATCAAATTTGATTTGTTTTTTGATTGTAATTTGAGGAAGCTTGCTTAGTAATTTGGAAAAGCGGGCATTTTCCGATCCCGGGCATGTCGCTTGTCAATGAGATCCGTCAAACACAGACAAAAAATGTCACCCCCTGCCACAAGCTTGAATGATGAAGACAACACAAATGAAGATTTATTTCCTTCGATCACTTCACCAACCTCCAAAATCAAATCTCTTAAATCTCTCAAAGCTATCCACAAAGAAATTTCTTCCATTCTCAACCCAAAATTCGAACAATGTCGATTTCTCTGTCCAGCCACTCAAATCATTTCGGAAACAAGACACCGAGTGGTCATTCTATCACTCATCTATCATCGACAAAATCGAGGAGAATATGCTGTATTTATATTTAATGAAAATTTAAAATTGAGAGAATGTATTCCGATGAAGAGTTTTAATTTTTTTATTCAATTACAACAACCACAACTGTTGACCACAAGTGGAACGAAGAGAAATTATTTAACGACTTTGGAAGATCAGGAAATGATGAAAAAATTTTTTGAAAAATCATGGAATGATGACAACGACGACGACGATGAATATCAAGATGATTATACGGAATTGAATGTAAGAGATTTTAAAGATGAATCATGGAAGACACATAAATTCCTTGCAACATCCACTCGACTCGTTCTCTATCAAGTCGTGAATGAGCAAGCTCAGGATTTTGTGTTTGCATTTCAAAATGATCAACAACTCATGACATGTCTCATGACCTTGTCAGGAATTTGTTCAGAATTGGATGTTGAGAATGAACATGTGGAATTTGATCAAGTTTTTGAACTTCCCTATGATTTGGAATATGCCATGTTTAAAGATGAAGTATATGATGAAAACAAATCAAATATTTACAAACCTCCCAATGGTTATCAATTTTTCACATCACTCTCGAATATTAAGGATCAAATGAAGAGAGCTAACACCTTTATGAACATGTCACAACAATCCATTTCTTTGAGACATCAAATTCAAAGAAGAGCTTTGGAACAAGGTTTTACAAACAATTCTTCACAAGACAAGTCACAAAAGAGACTTTCCTCGAAATTGTCTTCGCCAGGTGTCTTCTCAGTAGGAACTCCTCCTCTTTCTTCATCGTGGAATCTTTTGAATGCATCATCAAATTCGAATAAGGAAGAGAAACGAAAATCTCTCAATAACTCTCTCTATACCTCACTCTTACAATCCAGTGTCATGAATAACAGTAATAGCAACAATACTAATTTACAATCTAAATCGACCTTGTCAAATTTGACACCTCAACCATTTGATTGGGTTCTCTTTTTTATTGAACGCTATGAATTGGATGTGAATGAAATTGAATTTTTAAATCCACTCTATCAAGATATGGAAGATGGAGAAGAATTAACAGAAATTCAAATTATTGAGAAAAAGAAGGCAACCTTGGTCGAGGAAGATCTTGTCACCATTTCAACCATGGTGTCAAATTCGACATCCGTCTTGAAGGATGGACAACACGAAAAGAAGAATTCTATTGGAACTGGACCAGAAGAAGACGAATATGCATGGTTATTGAAACGTTCCGAATATGATATTGAAGAATTTGTTAATTCTATTCAGAGACATTTATGTGTGAAAAGTGAATCCAAGAAACATTCTTCAATCAGTTCAGGCACCACACCAACCATCAACAAGAATGGAAATTCAACTACTACTACTACTACAACGAATACCACTCCAAAGACAACAATCACTACTACATCTGTGAACTCTTCGAAAGGAACAATACCAACATTGACGACCAGCAAGATGGTGACCACAAGTGCTCAAAACAGTGTTGGAGTATCTCCAGTGTCATCACCTCAGTCACCACCTCAGATCAGTTCGACAACATCACCAACCACTACTTTGACAACAAGTGTTCAATCTACCTCATCCGAACCCATTCCAGTTTCGGGTTATCAATCAAGTTTGATTTCAAAATTACAAAGCATGTCAAACCTTACTGGAACCTCACCAGTGGCAACAACAATGACACCAAATTCACCTCCTACTAGTGTGGCCAGTTCAACACCTCCTACTTCCAATGTTAAGGTCATTGGTTCAAAACAAGCCAATGTAGCAGCTCAACAACAAAAGGAAGAAGATGACGACTCGGATATTTCGATTAGTATTTCTTCTTCTTCTGACGGTGAGGATGAAGATGACGATGATTTAATGCTCAGTAGTGATGATGATGAATAAATTACACATTATTCAACAACACACTTTTCTTTTCTCGATTCGATGACAAAATGCATTCACGACACATTGAATTGCTATTTTTACACAAGGAGCACGTTTATTACAACTGTCCCTTCTTACATTGCATACTTTCTTGTCCACTCAGCAGCGGTCAATTCAAATTGTTTTCTGTTGGTTTTATATTGTTGAGCAATGTCTTGCACGAGAGGATCATCTGGATTGGCGTCAGTCAAAAGGGATGAAATAGAAAGCAAAACCTTTGAAATCGTTAAAGCAGGGGACCACTCTTTCGTTAAAATGTCTAGACAAATAGAGCCGTTTGAATTGATGTTTGGATGGTAGATCTTAGTTACAAATTGTACCTTTGGAGGCTTGAATGGATAGTCTGTTGGGAAAGTGACTTTCAAGAAGAAGACTCCTCCTTGATATGGGCTATCGGCCTGTTGTTGCGTTGTCATTAATAATTAATAGTTGTTATTGTTGTTTGGTTCAATGGCAATTTAGCGGGGATTTCAGTAAAGAGTTCGAGCAAAGAGTTGTTGTTGTTGTTGTTGAGAATTTGATGATTCAGTGAATGTATACAAAATTCAAATCGTAATTACATCAACATTAATCGAATAGAAAACATAAAATTCCAATCACATGCATCAATTTCAATCCATAATGAAAACATCATCGTAACCGAATTAGCAATTCATTACAAAATCACGGAACAATTTGCAAACAAAAGAACACAAGTCATCATACGAAATAAAAATACATTCCAACGTTAATTTCCAGAAATTCGCGTGGAAAACACTTACCGGTCCCATTATCGTTGCTTGCCATTCATACATACTCACTTCAGGATTTATAGGTCCAGCGGAGCAGTTTTGTGGTGGGTCAATTTGAAGGTCTTTGAGTTCCTTTTGGATTCTTTTGAGCGACATGATGATTTATACAGGTGATGTGGTTGGTAATGAAGAGTCTCTGGTGTCTTTCGTTTTTTTTTTACGAGAGTGATTTTTGAGGTATTGGAAAGCGCCAAGTTTTGTAATCGGAATTGGTGTATTTTTAATTCAATCGTGTTCAAACAAATTGGATCAAGAATTTTTGTTCATTCAGTGTTATCGGGATGACGAGAAGCGAATTCCCAATTGTTTGTGTGTGGATTGCAATCCAAACTCGAGAAATCATTTCCTTGCGGAAATTGGAATGTCGAGGTGTTTTAGTTCTTTCAATTCCTATCCCTCAGCATATTGAACAAGTTCTCTTTAATATCAATCTTGCAAGGAGAAATTTTCTCAGCCTTTCTTTTGAATATCAAAGGAAACGGACCTCAAACGTTTCAAACAGATTTTTTGAAAGAAAAAATGCTTCATTCGAGCTCACAAGCCACATCATCATCAACACCCGGAAAGAGCCGGCTTGTGTTTGGAAAACTTTTAATTTTGATCATAGCGATAGCAATTTTATTTTCAACAACAAGGTTGAATTTTGGAGTTGAAGGACATATTATTACTTTTAGGAGCGAAAATGTAAGATTTGGTATTTGTGATTTTCAAAAAACCAACCATGATGATGATGACATTGTGATACTTTTACGATTGTTGAATAATTATTGTGATAAATCACGGGAAATCATGGGTTGTTCGGGTACATGTGATCGCACCATTATGTTTGAATGGATTTATGTTCCGAATCGCATCGGTCATTGTATTTACTTTGTCTTTCAATTACGTTCGGGAAGATCACTATACCAACACAACAACCAAGGGAATTGGACAAGTATGAATTGGGAATGTACGCTCGAAATGATTTACCATTGAATTTTTTGATTAGACCTATCGCCAATGGTGATACATTTGTGAAAGTGCAATGTAAGTTGTCATGGATCTCTCACAATATTAAAAATATTAAATTCAACTTGTAACAAATTGCAGTGGCTGTGTCACGATCAACCATTCCCAAAGAACATACTAAATTGATTGTACTAATGGGACGCACAAAGGCCGTTGAATCTGCTAAATTAGACGATACAGTATGTTTTGCATGTGAATCTTTTCTAATGCATAATGGTACATTTAACAATTTTTAACATTTTTTAAATTCTCAATTGCACAATAACAGAGAACAGCATGTGCTTTGAAAAGCGTTCCTTCAAACATTTTACTGTATCGCTCGTTAACACCCGATGATGACATTGATGAGAATTTTGAGATATCAGAAACGGATTTTTATTCATTCATATTGCATTACTGCCCTCCAATAGATACCTCAATGCCCAATCTACCCAATACCGTCTCATTCTTTTTAAATGGAGAGGTGCAATTCATCAATCCCTATGGTCATCTACCTGGACAATATTTTTTCTTCATGCCAGTAAGTGCCAAGGTTAGCTCTTTTGGGCTTTAATTTTTTCGACAAAACATGTATTGACAATTTTTTGTTGATTTCATCCATCAACAGTTCCAAGCTGTAATGACTATTGCTTATATTATTTATGCTGTTTGTTGGTTCTTTGTATCTATCATTAACAGAAAAGAATTTCTCATACTTCAATTTTACATTACTGCTGTCTTGATGTGTTGCTTGGCAGAATCAGTCATTGTCTATTTTCATCTATTTTTGACAAACAAAGTTGGATATATTGATCTAGGATACATGATTATGGTTCAATTAGCGGCAGTACTCATGACAGTACTCCGAAAAACATTTACAAGACTCATTGTTCTGGTTATTTGCTCTGGATTTATTGGAAAATCGAATGATGAATCTTCAGAAAATTCAGAGAACGAAAAAGCTTCAACAGGAATTGGATCATGGTCTATCTTATGCTTTGTGACCACTTTTGTAATTACTTGTAGCATTTCAGAGCTTGGAGACATGCTCTTCTATAGAGAGATTATTTCTCACACATTCTTTTTGGTCATGTCCATACCTGTATCAGTCCTGGACTTTATATTCTACATTTGGTCGCTCTACTTGTTATATTCTACTATGAAAATGTACAAACCATCGAGTCCCAGAGCTGTGACTGCCAGTGAGAGAGTTTCTCCTGAATGGAAAAAAGCAGTCGCTCACAATCACTACTTTTATTTATACCGACGATTAATGCTTGCCATGATTATTTATGCAGCAATGGTCATGCTATTCTTGGCCTTACAATTCTTGTACGAATATGGAAGATATTACATAGATGCTTGGTATTTGAATTGGTTTTTCGACACGGGATCGTTCCAAATGGCATTTTTCTGTATTTTCGTATTAATTGGATTTTTGTATCGTCCTGCAAAACATAATTCTCTCTATCTTCATGCAGAGCAATTGCCAACCGATGAATTGGATGCTGAATTGATGTTGAAAGAAGGAACGGGTCTTGAGTATCACAGCGATGACAGCGATGAAAAAGACGTTGAAATGATGATGATGCACAATGATCCTATGGATGCTAGTGAAGAATCCAATAACCAAAATGAAAATGCACCCCGAAAAAGTGAAGAAAAACTTGTTTTTGTTCAAGAGCAAAGCAATGAAGAGAATACAGAGTAGAAGTCTGCTCTAGTAGATTTACTTCCTTAATTAATTTATTGATAAATACCACCTGTCTCTTGGAGTGTGAGATGGTGTGAAGCCTACAATTCATAAAGAAGCGAAGATACTCCACAGTTATACATTAATGGTTGCCTTCTTCCATTTGATTTTCTTGTTGTACAAGTGGCTGTTAATTTCATCTTGAAGTGCTGACTTGTCCGCATCATGATATCGTTTGTTAAGGTCTTCTTTTAGTTTGACCAATAAATCTCTATCTTTCAAGTCGTCCACAATACATCGAATTGCAACGTCATAAATTCTGTACTCTTTTGCAATTTCAAACTTCAACTCGATTTCCGTTTTCTGGAATGCGTACGACTCGAGTAAATCTCGAATCATTGGACGTGGCGCCTTAAATATTTTCAAAACCTGAAGAATGTTGTGAATGTTGAGAATTGAGTTGGATTCAGATCTGTTGGGCTTACCAGAGATTAATTTCATGAAAGAGCTATTTTCTTTGTGAATTTTCAAGTCAAAAGCTGAGCAGTAACAGAGACCATCTTTTTTAGCTTTTCCGAAAATATTCATGACTCCTTTCCAATCTCCAATACGACTTCTTGCAACGACCGCTTCATATAGAAATCGGTGTTGTGACAAGTTAAAGAATTTTGCAAGTGATTTTGGAGAGGTTACTTGATCGTCAGAGACTGCATTATGGTAAAATAGGCAATATTTTAAGGTTTCTGAGAGGGTCGTGTTGTAAATTGGATATTTCTTGAATTGAATAAATAGAGAATTCTTGCCGGATTTGGCGATTATATTATCTTGTTCGTCAATTTTGATTTGTTTGGTGATGAGATGAATAAGATTAGCCACTGCAATACTTAATTCTTCGGCACAATCAAGAGAATATTTGTGTGACAAAAATCCAGTTGGATTATCAATTACTTGTGCATTTTTCTGAATGAATGACAGACAATGTTCTAAATCCTCAATTCTCTCATAGGGCTAACATTGACATTGTTACAATTCATGAATTGCATGTATCCAACCAGGTTTTGAAAGTTACAATTCATTATTTGAATCATTGAGAATTCTCAACACACATATCACTTACATCATGTTTCTGAATAGCTAATTGGTATTGCAGTAACGCTTGTTCTCGAATCATTCCATGAAATTTGTATACTTTCAGCAGAGTGGATGTGTCACCAAGCTTTTTTAAAAATTTAATGTAGAGCCATACATAATATCCTTCTTGCCTATCTGACTCTACAAGTACGTCCATGAATGATCTAAAATTCAAGGATTGTTCTATAGATAACAGAATGGGCAAGACAATGTCATAATTTTTCCCACAACTTTTGAGTAATGATATTTTGTGTTTGGAGTCTCGTAATCTCCTCAAATTACACCATGCGTCTAATTCCTTGTTTTGTTCCACATAATAATTAGTTTTGCTATATTTATATTCATATCCGTCCTCAGTTTTGCTACTTTGGTTGATAATTTCAGATTCTTCGTCTTCCTCCTCAGTGCCATACACAGGAGGTTTCTTTTTAGAGGTTGTTTTTGTTTTTACAATATGAACCTTGTTCAATTCATTGCATCGCAGACCTTCTCTAATTTCATCAGAAAGTGTTAAAACAATAACTTTCTTATCACTAAAATAATCATCAAAGCCAGAGTCGTGTGTTGATTGATTAGATGGTATTTCTTCCACCATGTCATGTAGTGATCCTCCTTGCGATTCTTGTAATTCTCGTTTAAGCTTTTGATTTTCCAACTCGAGTTCAATTATTTGCTTTTTCAAAGATTCAAACATTTCCAAAGTCATTTCTTGTTTTTGTGAGGGTGATTGTACAGGATCAGATTTTTTCACATTTTGTTCAGTTGTTTCGTTTGTCACTTTTGAGGTAACCGATGAAGGAGGATTTGAAACTTTTGGTAGAGGTTTGACTGTGGTTGTTGAATGTTGTGACCCAGTCTTTGATTGTGGTACATTTGGTAATTGTTTTGTCTGTGGTAAATTAGGCTGACCAGATTGTGGTGGCTTATTATCAAACATTGAATTGGATGTCATGGAATGATTCGGATTCTTATTGCTAACCGAGGAAACATTATTCAAGAATGAATCCAATGAGTCTATATTACTATTGCTCTTGTTATGAATAATCTTGTCGTTTGAAGAAGGCTTTTCAGATAAACTCTGACTTGATGAATGAAGAGTTGATTTCGGAGCTTCGGAAGAACGATCATTCTTCATCATCGGTACTGCAGTATTACTCTCTTCATTGTACGAATTGAAAGTGGTGTGAGAAGAATTAATTTTCCCTCCTGAAAGCATCAGAATTGGATCTTCTTCAGCCTCTTCCATCATTTTCTTCTTCAATTCACGCTTTCGATTCACCCAAGACATTTTTTTCTTTTTTTCAACACCAAAAGAATGGATACTTATTCCAAAAAGCAGTAGAATTCGAGGAGAGAAACATCGTCCTTGTTTCACTTTCAAATTCTCAAGATTCAGCTTCCTTTATCTCAAATAGGTTGAGTTGAAAAAAATGATGAGTAATCAATTTAGTGCATTTGTCAATAACGCCGCATCATCGTCGTGCAAGAATGCCTTCGGAATGCTAAAGAAGAAACAATTTTGTTGTAGTTTTTCTCTAGCTCAATCAAACGGTAGATGGATGAATCAGAGTAGTAAATTATTTAATAATTGGCCGTCATCATTTTGGATGCAAAAATCATCATCGGAATCTCTCGTGAGATGTTTCTCTACCATCATGAACGTACATAGAAATTCCTCTCGAGAAAAAACAACATACTATGATACCAATCTTTTACCTGAATGGTTCAAAACATCTCTCTATAATAATGAAGCGGCTAAAAAGGCCCTCTCCGAGTTTGATGTTGAGTTTTATGACAAGCCTTTCATCAAAACTTTTCCAGATGTGGACAAAAATCCACATGAAACGCCAGGGCTTGATAAAACCATGTTTCATTTGCGCCCCGAGTCTCTTTCAGACGCTGATTTGAGTAAATTATGCTTTGTGCAGAGAGGAAAGACAAAAGATTATATTTGTGTGGGAGAGGCTTACTATTTCCCATTATTTAGAGATTTACCTGTCCATTATACTCCATCATGTCCAAGTTTATTATATATTGAGATACCAGATAGCAGTGGAAAGGAACAAACACCTAAAATTCTTTATCAAATTGCACCTTTTGTCCCACCAATGTTTTGGATTCCTTTAAAGCCCTCCAGTGAGTCATTGGCAAGACTTTTCGATGAAATTATGGATATTGAGACAAATAACGTAACTAGACACATTCAATTCCATGAAAACTTGCTTTCGCATATTGGATTTAAACTCGAAAAATTGAAAGAGTTGGAAAATGATCCAAAATCAGCTGAAAAGGTGTACAATGAATTGCACATCAAATTTTTAGATTATATCAACAAAACATTGGATCCAAACAAGTTAGAATTTAAGGAACGAGTTCTTCAAGAATATCCCAACCAAGTATACTTATTCTTGGGAAATGTTCCCAAACTTGAATTGTTAGAGCAAAGCTTTATGAACAATCCTTTTGTTTTTAACACACCTGTTTTGTTGGGTAGCTCCAATCGATTTGTATCCAGTGAGAGCGTCCAAACTAGCATGTTTTACACTGTATTTTCGCGCTCGCTCATTATATTAGAGGCCAGATTTGATTTGCATGTTGACTTTTCCTCAAATTCATCCGATGTAATGGTACCAATTTTTGCTCGTGTCATGTATCCCAGCAATCAAAGGCTATCAAAACCATGTCCAGAACGAATGAACAAGGTGTTAGGTTCAAACTTCCCAGCTGATATGCCCATTGATGTTTGTTTGGCTTTATTCGGACAAAAGAATAGCAATGCCGAGACAATTGCCAGTGAGCTTTTGGAACAAGTGAAATCAGACGAAGAAATGGTCAAAGCAGGTATGATGGAAAACATCCCTGAAAATATGTTCAACCCCTCCATTCCAATTGCTCACCTTGCAATTCTACGTTATGGCAAGTGGAAAACTGAAATATTTGACAGATTTAAAAGACATTCAATTCCAAGTGTTAGAATTGCATGCGTAAAGGGATGTTTGGAATTGAACATGTTAGAGGAGCTCAAAGCATTTAGAAGTTCAGAGACCCACCATGAAGTTCTTCAATACGTAGATGAATCAATAACTCGTCTAGAAAAGAAAATAGAATTGATGAAGATGAAGGAAAAGGATGAAGCCGACGAACTTGAAAAAAGGAACAAGAAGTTGGAAGAAGAAAACCAGCAACAAGAACAATAATTATTGAAATAACTTTTTTGGAATTGTTTCTAATTCCAAATAGAGAACAATTTTATTAATGAACCATATCCAAAATGTAAGACTGATTAATGAAGTACGATATTGATAATTTCAGTCAAAGTAGAAACCGAAGGGTCTTCCAATTGTTATTTCTTGTTCACAGCCATCAGTTGTGTAAATTAACAATATTGAAAAATTTGAAATACGTGACATTATTGTAATACCTTCGACAGTTGCTCTGTGATTTTCCTTTCCACAAACCTTTCCGAATTACCAACGTTTATCTCATGAGTCTCCAATCATCGGCTTTCAAGTCTGTGATGCTACTGGTTGTTGTGAGTGTGCTCTTGTTAGCAAGCACCCATATACATGCTCAGCAAATCATTCCAAACGTCACAATTATCGCAAACCCTGTTGGATTTCCAATTAATGCATGCCAAACAAATCTCACTTTGAGCGTTGTGATTGCCTCTGTTCCAACTATTCAAGGAGGCAACATACTTCTCTCTAGAAACTTCACATGGCTTGTCAACACTACAGGAGTGAACAATACCGGAAGCGTAATTTCAAAACTTGCTGGAACTTCAGTCAATTCCAGTGTGATTATTGTAAACACACAACTTCTCAAGACCAACACTGCTTACTACTTTGGTGTGAACATTACTGATAGAATACAAAAGAACCAGACCACCATTACAACAGTTTCTCAACTCGCATTCCTTAACAATCCAATCTCAGTGAACAATGGAACTGCTATCGGTGGAGCACCTGCTCTTCCTGTTTGTAACGGCAAAACTCAAAACTCTACTCCAGTAAGTCAGTCAAAGAAGGGTCAAGTCAGTCTTGCATCACCCTCCATGACTTATGGTGGTGTGTTGTACCACATCACTTGTTTTGCCTCTACCTTGTTGTTAGTAAGCGTTTCCTTGATGATCTTTGATATATTCTTCTAGTTAGATGACCACTTCCCATGGGAAGAATTTCCTTGAATTGAATAAAGTTTTTTACTTGTATTCTTTAACATCCTTTGGGTTGTTACACAATGAAGGGAAGTGCCACTAATTACACTTTTTAGTTGCTGGAGGGGGTGGAGGCAATTTCATCGGTGAGTTTCTTTTTACAAGGCAAAGATGGTGACTTGGACTACCTTGGTTCATTGGGTGGCAACAAACTGGGTACGCCCAGCGGTTGGTTATTTCCACCCGGATACTTATGGTATCTTGTGGATGGGATACTAAACAATCGTGTGGGTGAATCAAGAGCATGTTCGAAAATTTCCATTTTTTATCAATACAGCCAACCGTCATTTGTCCTATAACTGCGCTGCTAAACGAGAAAGCATGACATCTCTCGTACTACCGATAAACAACCTTGAGCATCAAAAAACAATTCTTTACATCCCCACAATGACAACGGTGATTGGCAGCGTCCTTAAATCAATCAGTATCACACAGAATCGCACTCTGGATGTATTCGTTACTGGTGCCACTGGAAATGTTGGAATGGAAGTGTTGAAATGTTTATTATCAACAACAAAAAAGAATGCCACAAAGACTAACGACTCGGAGTTTGCTGATGCTGAACCCCCACTCCGAAGAAGAAGTTTGAATATTTATGCTGGAGTGAGGCAGCTCAATGCTTCAACTCTCTCTAAATTTCATAAGGAATTATTCAATAATGATCCTTCTGTTAGGATTGTGGACACATCTTCAACTAATGAACCTGTGGCAATTTTTAAAAAACAAGATCAAGGCTCCTCCAGTGATGATGATGAAGCCATATTGCTGAGGCTCATACCCTTTGATTTCAAGCAACATGGAGGAGGAGAGGTGTTTCAAAGAGTCCTCGAAGGCAATTCCATCAGTGAGTATCTTCCAAAGGATGGTGGCTTTCATCGATTGTTCTTAATGAGACCGCCCGATTTGTCCAATATTCAACGAGATATGAAACCATTTCTAGAATTTATAACACATTCTCGTCCTGCCAACAACAATTCAACAACAACTTATCTTCCCGAACAAATTGTATTCATGTCTGTGTTAGGTGCAGAAAATAACAAGTTCATACCCCATTACAAAATTGAACAAATTCTGAAAGAGCATTCCCAACGAGTGCCGTATGTATTTCTGAGGCCAAGTTTCTTTATGCAAAATCTCACGACGACTCACCTTAAGGAAATTCGTGACGATTCTCAATTATTCATGCCAGCCGGAAATGGTTCAACTTCCTTCATTGATGTCAGAGACATTGCACAAGCAGCAGCCCGAATTCTAACGGAAGAAAACGCAGAGAAGTATGCCAATAAGGCTTTCGATTTAACAGGAAGTGAAGCTTTGACCTATTTTGAGGTGGCAAAAAAACTTTCCGACGCTTGTGGCAGAACTATTGTTTACGCAAATCCTTCAATTCCAAAATTCATGTTTCGAACATGGAAGAGCAATCCAGACGTTCCATTTACTTATGTAATGGTTGTGACAGCACTCTATGCCGGTAAGTTTATTGTCAAGCAAGAACAATATTACTATATATAGTTTGTCGCCTTTATTTAAATCAACAATTTGAACAAAACAAACAAATCGAACAAAATGCTGATCTTGCAAGCAAACACTCAAAGAGTGAAAGCCAGGGGAAAGGACCCAACGCACACAAGGTAGGGAAGACCCAACACACAAGGTGCTCAAAAACTAATTCTATGAGTAGTAAGGAATCGAAGAAGAATATTTCTGGCTCCATTGATATCTCTGTCAAAAATTGAGCCACATGATGGACAACGAAACACTTCGGATGATCCTACTGTATAAATATGTCCACAACATGAGCAAGTTTTGGATGTGTACGCTTCGTTGACAATATAAATGTGTGTCCACGGATGCTCTCTAGCTTTGTGAAGCAATCTTTGCTTGAATCTGTAATGTGACCAAGTCAACATTTTTCTTGCTGTCTTGCTATTAATTCTCCTATGGAGTTTCTTTACCATTTTCTGAGTCTCAAACGAAGGAAGTAAGATCACTTGGTAGTTTCGACACAACCACAAACACAGTTTCTTGTGTAAATCATCCACGATATTTCTAATCTTTTGTTGAATTCTTCTTCCTGCTCTCTTGTACTTGTATCTTTTGCAATGTCTGACTTCTGGTTGAGACCACTTCGATTGCAACTTGTCATACGCGCAACACAATCTACCAATTCTTTCGGCACCTCCTGAGCCCCATTTGGTTGAATAACCATTCAAATCAAAGGTGGTCTGAAATGTTCTTACTCCTGGATCCAATGCTACAACTTGTCCTGAATG